CCCCCCCCCCCCTCTGCCCGATGCCGCGATAACGAGCTGCAACCTCCCTCGTCACACCGATAACGAAAAAGCTGCGGCGGGGTATGCGGTGCGTCAGTGGACATGTCGTGCGGCGCGCATCACGGCTGATAGTGCACGATGTGATGCGATAGGGGAGGACTGGCTGGGCGGGTGAGACGTGCCGATGAGAGGGGGATCGGGCGGGTATTTGTATGTTGAAGAATGCGTGGGAGAGCGTTGTGCGTAGCTGGGGCTTGAAGAATCATTTTTGTTCCATTGACTTCGCGATCAACTTCTCGTCGCGACAGCCGCACCGGATATTCTTGCATCATCATCGAAGCCAACATGCCCGAGGTCTACCACGCTCACCCAGACTACGGCTTCGCCCGTGACTTTAAGGGATATGGCGAGAAAGGCATCGCCTGCCCCTGGCCCAACGACGCCAAGATCGCCGTCTCTTTCGTCATCAACTACGAAGAGGTCAGTCCTCCTCCCCTTCCATATTCTACATCTCATCAGCTAGAGCCCCCAGCTAACATCCACCCAGGGCGGCGAGAGATCCGTCCTCCTAGGCGACGGCGTCTCCGAGACCAACCTCCGCGAGAACCCGATGGGCGGCCCGCGCATCAACGAGCGCAACTACAACGTCGAGTCCGAGTACGAGTACGGCTCGCGCGCGGGCTTCTGGCGCCTCTTCCGTCTCTTCAACTCGCGCGCCATGAAGTTCACGCTCTACGCCGTCGCGCAGGCCGTCGAGGAGCAGCCCGAGGTGGCCAAGCGGTGCGTCGAGGAGGGCCACGACGTCGCGTCCCACGCCTACCGCTGGGTCGACTACCACGACTTCCCCGTCGAGAAGGAGAAGGAGTACATCCGCAAGGGCATCACCTCGCTCAAGTCGCTGACGGGGTACGCGCCCAAGGGGTGGTACTACGGGCGGCCGTCGCCGCACTCGCGGACGCTGGTGGCGCAGGTGTACGAGGAGATGGGGGAGGAGCTGGTCTGGGCGAGCGACACGTACGCGGACGACGTGCCGTACTGGATCGACCTGCCGCTGGAGCGGGAGAAGAAGGAGGACGCGAAGGGGTGTCTGATGGTGCCGTACAGCTACGACTGCAACGACTTCAAGTTCCACATCGCGGGGTCCGGGTTCCGCGACCCGAACGGGTTCTACACGCACCTGAAGAACGCGTTTGATGTGTTGTACGAGGAGGGCCAGGAGGGGCAGCCGAAGATGATGACGATCGGGTTGCACTGCCGCATCATCGGGCGGCCGGGGCGGTTTGGGGCGCTCAAGGACTTTGTGGATTACATTGCGCAGAAGGAGGGGGTTTGGGTTGCGACTAGGACGGAGATTGCTGAGGCTTTCAAGGCGAAGTATCCGTATAAGAAGGGACAGTTGGCTTAGGGAGCGTTGGCCGATTGAATGGTTTGATTAATGAACAAATTCTTTCGATGAGTGAATCATTGCGACAAGACTGAGTGATGTTTGCCAGCTGAAGCTTTCTGCCAGCTGGCAGCCCCAGGGGCTAAGTTTGAGCAGTTGGAAAAAGATTAGATAAACTCAACTTACTCACAGTTCATCCGAAATCCATCGACACATCCAATCCGTCCTGTCCTTCAATGAATAGCGGGCAAAAAGAAATGACATCTGAGGCAAAAATGTGATCAGTGGGAGGCTTGAACTCCCGACCTTGGCATTACTGAACATGTGAGATCACATATTAGTACCACGCTCTAACCAACTGAGCTAACCGACCCGATATAGCTGACTAATCGGCTGTTGAACACACGGTCAGCCTTGATACTTATAAAGGTTTGACATCATGTCTTCCCGCCTCATACTCTGTACATCATCAACGCAATCCTTCCAGCCCTCCAAAATCCCATTCCGAGTCCACAGTAACCGAACTATTCACCCGCTTCAAGTCTTCGTCCGGGTTTCTGACCATCTGACTGTCTCACTCACCGTGAGCCGCTTCGCCATACCCACCCTCCGACACCCTCGTGTACCCAGACTCGTCATGCACCATCTCATTAAACATCTTCCAGCCCTGCCATCCACCGGGCGCCTCTTCATCGACCTCCATGAAGGCCTCTTTGACGGCGTTTGAAATGGCATGACTCATTCCAGGCTTCGAGGTCTCAGCGCCCGGAACCCCGGCCCCGCTCTTCGGAGCCATCTCCGGACCCGCGGGCGGTGCGACGGCTTCTTCGAGGTCAACTCGGAGGGGCTTTGATCCCGGCTCGGAGGATGAAGGGTTGACTATGGTCTTGAAGAGACTCCCGGAAAGGGCGTCGAAGATGTCCCGGTACTTGACGGCCCCGGGCCACTTCTCGCCGAAAATGGTCAGAGACTGGGAGCACGCCCTGGTCGCTTCGAGGGCGTCGTAGGAAAAGAGCGAGCGGTCACGCCAGAGGCAGTAGACGAGTGTAAGTCCTGCGATAAAACATGAGTGGAGGGCCATCATTGTGTAGCTCAGTGTCTTCTGCTGGTTCAGGCGCTTGTACGTCGTGCAGACGCAGGCGGCCGAGCGTGCGCAGATGAGAAACCGCGGGTCTGACGTATTCAGCGTCGGGAGAAGGACGGTGAATAGGGATAGCACAGATTTATGGTACTGCCTGTTCGAGGGATCTTGTCAGTATGTGTGACTCCAGGACTGAAGTACTTAAACCTACAGATTGAAAAAGTCTCGAGAGTCGTGATAAGAGCTCTCTGGATCGTACATCCAAGTTATCGTCTTGGTACCTTTCGGGGGATGCGGGATCGCTCTGGCCCAGTCGTCAAGCTCAGCCAGTATGGAAGCCATTTTGGTATCGAGCTTAGCTCTGTCTTCCGGAGACCCAGCTACATCCTTATCGACACGGTAAACTCGACGATGAATCCTTGATTGAATCCTGCGGAGCTTGATAATATGAATGAAGGGCTTCATATTCGACCAAGGCGCATCCGGAGACTCGGGCGGTGTGCCGAGGGCTGTCAACTCCCAGAATATCGGGTCATCGCTCGGGAGCTATTGTCGCATCAGCAAGAACAACATGACTGTTCGAGTCTACATACCTCCACATTGATGTCTCGATCAGCAATGGCAAACGTGCGACCGAGAACCACGCTGGTCATTCGATCTAAACAGTAACAAGCCCAAAACACACGCCTCCTGATCTCGATGTCGAGCGCGCTGTGCGTCGACTGGATGCTGCTGTGCTTCCTGTGCAGACCGAGTTCGATGCAAAAAGTCATGGCATACCGTACTTGCGACCAACAACCAGCGCCAAACGGACTTCGTTGGCCGTGAACGGCAAGAAGCAGGAGAAACTGGACAGTAGCGAGGTTATGGTGCTCGAGAATGAAGTCCATCGGTTCAATCGCCGCAAGCAGGTGTCGCTAGGCGCGTCAGTACTATAGCCACCCTCCGACAGGTCACAGAGATAATCTCACCTCTGGGTCGACATCACATGGCTTCTTGGTCAACTGCAAGAAACGTGCTGATATGGCGTAGATTAGATGCAGTATGCTTCGCTGCTGTATCGGCAGAGCGCCTTGACTGTATTGACCCTCGAACAGAGAGATGTACAGTTTTCGATCTAGGATGGGCCATCGGGTATGAAGGCGGTCAAAGAACACATCGAACAGCATCTTGGCATTGCTCGGGCTTGGGAACTCGGACATTGGATCGTCGGACTGCGAAGATGGCGACGCCCCTGACAGCGGAGGCCGGAGGACCCCGGGTTGCGCTGCCGCCAGCGCATCGCGAATGGCCTGATCGCCGGCTCCGTGGAAGATGGATGACTGGATCATGCGTGCAATCGTCGCACCGGAGCTCGAACCCAGGTAGAAAGGCTCCGGTGCCGTATCCGTTGTGCCAGAGGCGCATAGAGACAAGTATGCCACCCCGTCGACGAGTGAAGACGGTTCTTCTTCAGAGAAGGAATCTTGGGATTCTCGCCGTTGAGACTTCGCTTCCGGTGGTGGTCCTGAAGTCGATATCGTGGCTGTTGAAGGGTTCGCGAAGTGATCCTCGGCGAAGTCCGGCATTCGCGCCTCAAGAAACGCGATTCTCTCCTCCAACGCGCTGATGTACAAAGACTTCCCACCCGGATACTGCGGTCTTAGAGTCCTCTCATAAAGACATGCGGTATTCGCCTTCTCACAGGACCTGCAACTCGGATGACCGCCATCACACTACCATCGTCAGCGTCCGGTCTACTGACTGCGTGAACGACTCGACGCAGCCGGAGTGCGTACCCGTTGCTTTCTCCGCTTACATCGCTTGCACGCGAGAGCGACTCGAGATTTACGGGGCGGCGGAGGACCTCCGCCCCCCGGCGGGGCCGTGTGTGGGCTCACTGGGCTCTCCGGATGAGGAGATCTCGATGCCGGGGCCGGTGGGTTGTCCATGAATATCTCGTTGAACATTGCCGCGACTTCAGTTTTTGACAACGTGACTGATGGTATTGACTCAGTCAAGATTGTTGAAGGAATTGGGTGTGAAGTAGGGACGTTTCCAGCCGATCGGATTTCTGGGGAAGAGATAGGCCCCCAAGTCTGTGAAAAGGACCCAATGCAACCGCAAGAGACTGGTATGGGCTTGGTGGCTTGATGGTGCGAGAAGGCGTTGATACCCCACAGATAGCTACCCTTGGTTGTTTGCTTCGGGGTTCCGTCACAGATAAGAATGCCAGTTGTTTCCGTTGTTTCCATGTCCTTATCGTCGCTAAGCCTTTTGCAGATATCTGGTTGGTCAAAGAAGGCCTGTCGGGGATTCTGCATGGTTTGTCTTCAATCCTTGTATGTTTTCCCCAGATTTGAAGATCCCGTCCAGATGCGGCAGTCAAATCGTATCTGACGAGACAGGTCAGGATGCTGTCGCTGACTTCGAGTTCTTGCATCCTGTCTTCGTCTAGGATTACCAACATCAGATGCTTTCTTATATGACCTCAACCCACTCCAGATCGATTTAAAGACTTTCCCCCCGGGCGGGATGCGGGCTTGCTCAAGTCTTGAAATATTTGAATACGTAGTCCAGGGGAAACTTTCGGATGCTCAACAGAATTCGATATAGGCCTTTTCAATACCATTCGACCATGTCACTTCTAAGAAACATGGTTCCGCTTGATCCAGCAGTATCAGGCATCTGTGAATAGCTCTACGGAAACCTGTTTATGCCACCATGAAGCACTTCGCGTCTAAAAGTCCACGGTGTAGACTACTGTCCGTCATCTTGAACTGCGGACGACCAGACTAAGGCTGCGGAGGGGTTATTGCAGATCGCGGCCGGATGTGTGTTATAGTTCAAGTATCCCTTCTTCATCTCCTCTCCTTCGAAACTCGTCTACACCTCCTAGCATGTGAATCCATCTACACCACTCACATCCGCGCAATTGCCTGAACCTACAAACCAGCCCCAAATTTCAACACGAGTTGGGGTGTCCAAGTGAGGGACCGAAGCTTACTTTTCCGTGCCATGGCGACTAGTGATCACAACACACTCTTGGCGCTGCCCCCAGCCTCGACCTCGTTGCCCAGATGACCTTGTCTCGCCCAGGGTTTACCCCTCCTGCCCAGCTCTACCCCAAAGACCGCCCAGACTTTCACCGACTAGTCGTCAAGGTGTTGTTGCTTCTTCACCACTAAGCCTGAGCACATCATCATGGCAGCAAATAAAAATCGATACCAAGAGCGCCGTTGATGTAAAAGCTTGGCAGGCGAGGACTTGGCAGTGCGGGGGATTCGTGATGTCGGCGCCCAAAGTCTTGTCTTTGGTGGAAGGATCGTTAATCCGCTTGTCCAAGACACTCACGGAAACGTGCATATATGGGAACCGGATGTATAAATCGCGCATCCTCCAGTTTATGTCGGACAGGTGGGATAATTTCTCTGTCGTCTGCTCCGAATTGAAGCCTGTAGCGGCACATCATATTTATCTGCCAGTCATCATCAGCTCTGTTCCATCATGAATAGACGGAAAATCGAGAAAGAGGATGCGCTTCCTGGTGTTTTCGAAGAGGTTGAGAGCACCTTGAAAGTCGATCCAACAGTTCGAGACTACTCAGGAGCTCACGAGAAGCTAGACCCGCGCGAGATCGCATTAGTGCGCAAGCTTGACTGGTGGATCATGCCAATGTACGTGCAGAACAGACACTTGCGTGTACCAAAGTCTAAACTAACTCACCAGTTTGTGGTTGATGGTAAGTCGAGTCCCATGGCATTTCTGAGCGTGTGGATTATGACAACAACAAGTACTGGTTGAACTATTTGGTAAGTGACACGGCCTCTGCGCTGAATAAAGGCTGTTTGCTGATATGTGCTGGTAGGACCGCAACGCGATCGCCCTTGCCCGACTCAATACCCTCGAAGAAGACCTCAACCTCACCCCGACGCAATACCAGACTTGCGTCGCGATCCTATTTGCCGGATATGTCATAGTTGGGATCCCTGCGAACATGGTTGTGACGCGAGTCCGCCCCAGTTGGTGGATGGCTTCATGCATGGCTGTGTGGGCGATCATCAGCGGCCTCACGGCTGTGAGCAAAGACTACACTGGGTTGCTGTTGACCAGGTTCTTCCTTGGAATCACGGAAGCCCCTTATTACCCTGTGAGGAAGCCCAACATCACTGCTCGTAGAGTCTAGCTGATTGGAGATGCTGTGAAGGGTGCCCTATACGTTCTTGCGACGTTTTACACACGAAAAGAGCTTGCTACGAGGATATCGATCCTCTATACGGGCAATATTTTAGCAACTGCATTTGCGGGTCTTATTGCGCTGGGAATCTTCCAGATGCATGGAATGGTGTGTAGACCTTGGAACTCTGATCTCATGTCTTGATCACTGACATTGTCCGGCCCCAGGCTGGAATATCCGGTTGGAGATGGCTTTTCATCATTCAAGGCGTAGTGACGCTCATCATCGCCATCATTGCCTTATTCATCCTGCCGGATGAACCTCTGACCACGCGATGGCTCACGCCCGAAGAAAGAATCTTAGCAAATGAGAGGATTCTGCGCGATACCGTTGGCAACACCGGACAGACCACGACTTGGAGTGGCCTTCTCGAGGCGGCCAAGGACCCGAAAGTGTGGCTCTTCACAGCCATGCAACATTTCCACCTGGGCGCGAATGGTTTTAAGAACTTCTTCCCTACCGCCGTTGAGACTCTGGGGTTCAGCGAGACTGTCACGCTTGTTCTGACATGTCCTCCCTATCTCATTGCCGGTATCATTTCAATTGCATGGTCGTGGTCCTCTGGAAAATTCAACGAGCGAACCTGGTTAGTTGCCCTAGACGTCTGCCACTGATTTGACTGACCTGCTTCCAGGCACATCACCATTGCCAAGGCGATTGCGGTCTTCGGATTCATTCTTGGATGTGCCACCTTGAATACAGGCGCGCGTTATTGTGAGTTTTTGCACAGAACCAGAGGTACAGATTATTGAGCTGATAATACTTCCATAGTTGCGATGTGCGTCTTCTCTATCGGGTAAGTATTGTTCTCACCACCTCCAGAATTCGCACTGATACAGCTTCCAGAACGTACGCCGTCAATAGTATTATACTCGGGTGGGTATCTGCGACATGTTCTCAGACCAAAGAGAAGAAAGCGTCCTCGTTGGCCATTGTGAACTGCATTGCCGTCAGCTCGTTTATCTGGACGCCTTACATGGTTCGTCTCCTTGTTCTCCGTTTCGTTGACCCAGTGTTGACAACAAGTGCAGTGGCCCAAGTCTGACGAACCCCGATACACCATGGCGATGTCGACGAGCGCAGCTCTGAGTGTCGCGACGGCTGCGGGTGCGTGGGCGATGCGATTTTGGTTGATGTCAGAGAACAAGAAGATTCGGCGGTCGGAAAACGAAAACGTCTTATTCTACGCTTACTGAGATTTGAGACGTCAGAAAGGTGCCAGCAAGCAGGCAGATACATGTATCAGCAGAAAGCCGCTATCAAGTACAATATCAGTGAGGCCTAGATCACGGTTCGGCGTTATGTCGAACCGACATCTGAAATCATCTAGAAGTCATACCAGAAACAATTCGAACCCCGTGCTACGCTTGAACCTCCATGTTGCACTCATTATGGTACGAAGATAAGCGATGCGAACTACCGTCGATACGATAAACCGTCAGACTAAGAACCTTCAGCTATTCAAGCTCACCACATCATTCATAGTCTGCTGTCTAAGTCATGCGTGTTGTTGTAGAAGATACCGCACCTGTCATACCAGCATAACATCGCACCGTCTTCGTCATCACACTGGCTATTTTGCAATGTAGCCCCGCGAAGTGGTCGATGTCGGTAGTTTCTTACCGACAGCCCAGCCATTCCCGAGTTGGGATACCAAGTCGCGCATCGCAGATAAGGCCAACAACATCACGCCGTCTTATCTCAGTGGAGAACAAGAACCATGCCCCTGGCCACCATTACCATGCCAAGGACCTCTTCCAATGCGCCCATTTGATCCTTATCGAGGATGACATCGGCCCTCAATCGTTCGCATGGCGACGCAGCGCTGTCGGTTGGAAAGCCGCCGATAGCAACGTCCGATACAAGACAAGGTCATCATTGGCGTGTAAGAAAACATGGGCGACCGTGTTGAAGTGTTGTCATTCAAGAAGGATGACATCGCCGCCATGCATTAACGAAATGCCTGGTAAGCTACCTTCTGGAACTTCGGCGCACCGAACCGGTTCAACGCGACAACACCATGGCTCGTATTCACATACCCAGTCGCGCGGAAATGGCTGCCCCATTCCAATCCAAAGAGGCTTTCAAGGGTTGGATCAAGGCTCCCGAGGCACCAGAAGGTCACACGCGGATAGGTGACTCGCGATGGTCGAACAAAGACCTCGAACCGACGCCGCCGGAACAGCGAACATGGACCTGGTATAACTTGCCTCTGTACTGGTTTTCCAACATGTTCGGGACGACGGGGTGGAATGTTGCATCTTCTCTCGTGGCAGTGGGCTTGGTATGCTTATCAAACCGTGTTTCTGAGAACGTTTACTTACACGACTAGACATGGCAACAAGCCTTCATCTCCTGCATCCTCGGCTCGATCATCTCCGCACTCATCGTGACTGGGATGGCGCGACCGGGCGCGATGTATCACCTTGGATAGTGAGTCTGAGTTTCAGTGTCTGAAGACATCCGCTGACCTCAGTTTAGCCCCGTCCTTGCAAGATCGGTGATGGGCATGTACGGCTCGTACTTCTTCGTGTTCATTCGAGCAATAGTCTGCATCATTTGGTACGGAATCCAAACATACTATGGTGCAAACCTTCTGTCCGTGTGTTTCCGCTGCATCTTTGGAAGCGGTTGGGAGAACCTCGCCAACAACCTTCCTGCGGGTGCCGACGTTACTTCGAAGCAGCTCTTAGCTTTCTTTATCGTCTGGATCGTTGAATTCCCATTCGTAAGTAACCCTCATTCTCAAAAGCACGATGTCAGCTCACCGTTTTAGACTTGGGTTCACCCAGCCCACATCCACTACATCTTCACAATCAAAGGCTTCATCATGCCCTTCGCATGCTTCGGCCTCTTCGGTTGGTGTATGGCCCACGGAACCGGAATCTCCAACATGAACGCTGCCTCTGAGGCCGGTAGCAGCGCGGCATCTAGTGTGCCTCTTGGTTGGGCAATTATGAACGGTATTAACGTTATCATGGGCTCCCTATCTCCTATGCTCGTTAACCAGCCCGATCTTGCACGATACTGTAAGAAACCTCGTGACGCGGGGTGGCTCCAGGGTGCCTGTGTTCTGTTCGCCCAGACTCTCGTCTTCTTCCTTGGCTTGGCTTCGACAACGTCTCTGCAGGGCGCATGGGGAGAAGCGTACTGGAATCTCTGGGACCTCTTGGACGCCATCCTCGACCACTACTGGACACCCGCGGGGCGATGCGGTGTTTTCTTTGTTGCTTTCAGCTTCATCGTCAGTATGTTTGCGACAAACTTCGGCGCCAACTCCATTCCTTTCGGGGCGGATATGACCGGGCTTTTCCCCAAGTACTTGACCATTCGACGAGGGCAGATCGTCTGCGCTATTCTGGGTATTGTCGTACTCCCGTGGAAACTGATTGCCAATGCTTCAGCTTTCCTCTCGTTCCTGGGGAGTTACAACATCTTCATGGCGCCTCTCTGCGCTGTAAGTACTCGCCTCGCCACGTTTCTGTGATTCGAATGCTGAACCAAGACAGATCATCATCTGCGACTACCTCATTGCTCGCAAGGGTAATGTCCATGTTCCGTCACTCTATGATGGCTCTAAGACAGGCCTGTATTGGTTCAAATCTGGTGTCAACTGGGTTGGAGTCTTCGCCTGGATCGGAGGCACGTCGATGGGGCTGCCCGGTCTCGTCGGGCAGTACCAACCGGGAAGTGTCAGCCAGGCCGCGAAGAACATGTACAAGATGGGCTGGCCGTTGACATTTGTCACCTCGGCCGTCCTCTACATCGTTTTGATAAAGATTTTCAAGCCAAAGGTGTTCCCCGCGGGATATGAGAGTGCACCCATGGAACGCGAGTGGCTTGCGAAAGAGGGTCGGGATGGTTTTTTCGAAGGTGAAAGAGGCGAGATCTATGCCCCTCCATCTCCGCAGATTACGGATGGTGAGGAGGTGCAGATTGGCGAGAAGGGTCAGAAGGGGGAAGCATGATGGTTGATAGGGTTGATAGTTATGCGGGAGTTTGGACAATATTTCCGAGTTAGTGATGTCGACTTTCTCGAAACCCCCTTTTCTTAGTCTGCAATACTGTTCGAGTGTTGGCTTCACTTGAGGCTTGAAGCCCTCGTTTCGCCATCGTGGATTCCGTTAGCGGCATCTCCGGCCTCCGGCACCGGCTGGCTCAACGGCGTCAATCCGTTGCGTAATTTGGTGGGCCCGTTCGGCTTATCATTGCTTACGAGCCGATAATTGGGAGGCGGCCAAAACCTGATTATTCGGCCCAAACATCCCGATGTCATAGGTACCTCATCGTTGGTACAACCCACCAAAGTCATCGGAAAGACCTGTCCGCGGGGATTGGAAGCTCCAGGCGACCGGGGCCAATGCCGACGATAACGGCGTGCGGGGTTGGGAGTCCAGCCGTTGGAGATGTTCCCCAACTTGTCTCGTAGTATTCTTCAACGTTGAAGACTGCTGCACCTTGTCCCATCCGATCGGACATGCTCACGGTACACGGGCCGGCTCGTTCTGACGTTTGATCAAGCAAAACCCCGCGCTATTGACTCGAGTCACCTGTCGTCTTAAGGTCAACCTCATTTGTCGGAGAATCACGGCAACATTACTTTTGTCTCCAACTCACTGCCGCGATCGGTAACTCCCAAAGAAAACGCTAGCTAGACCAGACACAATGGCTGAGCCATATCGACTTACGGCCACTGAAGTGCGCGCTAAAATCCTGGCCGGCGAGTTGACCGTCGAACAGTATGCCACATCTCTTTTATCACGTATTGCTGAACGTGATCCTGTGGTGAAAGCATGGGAGTATCTGGATCCGGAATTTGTCCTTGAGCAGGCAAAAAAGCTCGATGCGATACCCGCAGACCTGCGGGGACCATTGCATGGTGTCGCGATCGCAGTCAAGGACGTTATCTACACCAAAGGCAGGTCATCGTTCTTCGCGTCAAATACTCTCTCCTAACCCAGCGACAGATATGCCCACACGCCACGGCTCAGTGTTGTACAAAGACAGTGAGCCAAAGGTTGATGCAGGATCCATTATCGTCCTGCGGAAAGCTGGAGCATTGATTTTGGGCAAAACCACGACGACGGAGTTTGCGGCGACAGTTGAAGGACCGAAGACGCTCAATCCCCATGCAATCTCCCAAGGCGTAGTCAGAACACCGGGCGGCTCATCATCAGGTTCCGGTGCCGCCGTGGCTGACTTCCAGGCCCCGATCGGCCTCGGCACACAAACCGGCGGTAGCACCATCCGCCCGGCCTCCTTCAACGGCATTTACGGAATGAAACCAACATGGAACTCAATCTCACGTGAAGGGCAGAAGATTTACTCTCTTATCCTCGACACGTTGGGCTTCTTTGCACGCAGCGTCGAAGACTTGCAGCTGCTTGCCGATGTTTTCCAGCTGGAAGATGACGAGGCGCCCAAGGAGAACTTTGAGGTTAAAGGTGCCAAAATTGCGCTGCTGAAGACCATGGTTTGGCCGTCCGTTGGGCCTGGAACCGAGGCAGCGATGACCAAGGCTGTTGAGCTCCTCAAATCACACGGAGCTGAGGTCGAGGAGATCGAGTTCGACCCTACACTACAGGATCTCCCGCTATGGCACACGAAGGTGCTGCACAGCGAGGGAAGAGTCAACTTTTTGCCCGAATACCGACAGGGCAAGGAACAGATGAACGAATTCTTAACCGGTCATGTGGAAAACGCGATGCATTTCTCCCGAGCTGCACAGCTGGAGGCATTCGATAACATCGGTTTCGCCAGGCCGATGGTTGATAAGATGTTGAGCAAGTATGATGCTGCTCTAGTGCCGAGCGTGGTGGACGAGGCGCCCGAAGGACTAGGAAGCACTGGAAGTGCTGCTCTCAACCTGATATGGACGGTGAGCATCCAAACCATGCATCCCGGTGACTATTTTTGCTAACAAGTCCACAGGCTCTTCATGTGCCAGTCGTCAACCTCGTTGGATTCGGCGGATCGCATGGAATGCCTGTTGGTGTCTCCCTTGTCGCGCCCCGGTATCACGACCGTCATCTCTTGAGTGTGGCAAAGGCAGTTGGCAAGGTATTTGAGGCAGAGGGCGGATGGAAGTCTCAGCTGTAACCATTGTTCACATTCATAGATCAATCTTAGATGGTGTTGTGAAAGGGCGATCGCCTATAATAACAGTTTGGTCAACTGAAAGTATGCCAGCTCTTCTTTCCTTTTGCTGTAGACTCGTACAGCAGGCGATGGCCACAAATAACTTACTTGGTATCACAACATGCACTTATTCTGGAAAGTGAATACTCTCAAAACAACAGTGAGGGGGAGCAACAACAACAACAACGACGACAACAACGACAGGAGTGACAACAGCAACAATAGCAACAACGGCGACAACAGCATTAATAGTGACAACAGCGACATCAACAGGTTTCAATAGAGCCATTCACAGATGCCCAATGCTGTCTGGTTGGTCAAACGCAACCACGAGAAGTTACATGGGGCTGGCAACAACGACAGAGGGTTACGACAACCTTTCAATTATTTTCATTCCCGTACACTAAAATTGTTGATCCTCCAAGTTCTGAAGCAGGCCCCCGCCATCTTCCATAGGAGGTAAAAAAGACCATGATCGAATATTTCCAGCTAGATTTTCCTGTTCTTTCCCTGATGTTGCTTTGCCATTGCCGTCGCTTACATCGTTGCTCGGAATGCTGCCATCATCAGCTTCAATGGATCTCCGCAATTACATTGAAGAGGTACTTACTCAAGCCAGGGAAATGTCGATATAAATTCATTACCCATGTCAGTCAAGGCAAAACCAGCTGGACAAGAAAGAACGTTCTTCGCCATGCGCATAATGTCGATGCTCAGTGTCTTCCCCGTCATCGGTCCAAAGTGCTTCATGCCTTCAAGACAGTGGATGGCCTCATCCACCGACAGAAACGTGTCTCTGGCGTGATCTGGCGTGGCTTCAGAGTCCAGGACCCCATAAAGCAGAGTGACACAGGCAGCGACGAGGTAGATGGCGAGAGAGCTGTCGGAGCGAGCATCAGGCTGGCGCATCGACAAGCTCTCGTGTGTCAGTCGTATCAAGCCTTTCGCGGATGCGGTCAGAATTCCCATAGATTGCCGAAGGTTAAAGGATGGAGGTAAACTCGACTGGGCTTCGGCAACGGAGGAAAAGAAACTGGCGAAGACCAATGCAGGCCGATGAACCAGGATCCGAAGCATGTAGTAAATGATGCCGACGTGGAGGCGTTGAACCTCCTGCCAATCGTTTCCAATTGGTCCCTCGGTATTGCGAAAATCGAGAAAGTCGGGCAAATCTTGGAAAATGGCCTCTAGGGCCGACTCGCATCCGTGAATGTTAGTTTCCATCAGGAGATCTCTTGCGTCGGAAATTCTCTGAGATGAGTAGATGCCTGACATGATGCAGTCGGCAATCTTTCCCATGCGTGCCATGACTCTCACAAAGCTCCCATCTGTGATCAACCCGCACGGAGGAACGCTGTTCATTTCCTGCAAGAGCCCAATCTCGCTGGGATCCTGCGGAAATGGGGTATCAATATCTTCATCTCGAAAGCTCGACGGGCGTCCTATCATCAGTGTTGTTGTTCTGTCCATGACGTACGTGATCCAGAACGTCAGTCTGTACTGATCGGATTTCTGGCCAAGACCGTCAACCGCTGTTGATCTATTGCATCCCATGGCTATGCATGTTCTTGATGCACAGCCGATGTAGAAGAATGTGTCGTTGGGCCGAAGTCCATGCTGAGCGTAAGCAGCCTAAGCCGGCGGCACAGATTTGCATGTCAGAAGTGGACTCAACTTCGCAACGGAGGGGTTATTACTGACCTTCAGTAATAGAAGATGAACTAGTTGGAGGGATGGTTCTCTCATTGCAGTGATTGGAATATCCACTGCTTGTGAGAAGTATTCAGCCCAGGCCTCTGCGGAGTCGAGATCTTCTTGGCCCATGACGGGGCAAACGCGTGCACCGATGGCGAGGGCAGTGAAGACAATCTCCTTCATCCATGGAGGTCTCGATGCTGACCGAACTTCCCAAAGTTGCGACCACTGAGATATCACCTCCGCATAAGAGAGAACAGGCATCTGCGGGTGCACTATCTTGAAGTAGTTCCGGAGGAACCGATCTCCAACCTGTCGAGGAATGAACCGAGCTGTGTCAGATTTCGTAGAAGGGCTTTCCGGTATTGAAAAGAAGAATCGTTCCAGCCCCCACGCTCTAATACCCGGAGGAATGGAACTTTCTTCGTCATTTCCACTTTGTGCATGTGGTTGACAATTGAGTCGATCATATGCGCGTTGAATGAAGGCAGGATGAGATGATGGGCCTACAAAATGATTCAGACAAGTTTTCAAGGTTGTTATAGTTGCTCCATGTTACCGTAGAATTGGAATGATGTTTCCGAGTTCGACACACCTATACCAGTCTGAAGTTGAGCGTGCCATTGTTTTACTGAAACCGTAGGCGAGGAACTATGTTCTTCGCGAACCACAGTATTCGCAGGCGTTTTGGGACTGGCCGAGGCGTGCACTTGGTCAGGGTGAGCTCGAAAACGTCGGCGGAAGCGAGGGGGTCCGGATCGATAGACACATGATTCCCGGTGATGGAAACAGGTCGAGCAGGGCTGCGTTCCTTCGCATCTGACCTTACGACGCCTACACCGCTCACAAGCTCTCGGGACACGGGTGATTGACGCGCCGTCGTCGAAATTTAAGGCTGTTGCGGAGGATGAGCCGAGTGACTTCGGAGAGACTGGGGCCAACGGGTGGCCAGCATCGACATGGAGTCTAGATTCTTGGCCGGACATTGAACATGAAAATCGTGAAGAGTCAGTTGTGTTTCTCTGAAGGCGCACAACAACCGATTAATTGCAGTAACAACGTTGTTTGAGGTACGAGATGAGCACGATCATTGCAGTTGCAAGCCTGACTCGACGCAATCAAGAGCATTATTAATCCAGAACAGCGGAAAACAGTTCCCATCGGCCCGATAGCTGCTGAGTCGTTTGTCTTGTGGGGTGGGTTTGTAATTTCACTGTCTGAAGTGACGGAGAATCTGAGGGATGCCGATTTCCCGTAAAGAGAACCGCTGATGACATAATAGAAGCAGTGGGAAGTTATTTCTGAACTGTGGTCGTGTTCGAGATCGTTGCTGGAACTGCATGGAATTGAGGATCTCAAGTGGCCAGTCTGCATCGATTTTAAACATGGATGAAGCGATGGTGCTCAGTCCCCCACGCCAGATTAGCCTTAATTCCATTGATCTCATCCAGGGTTTCAGCAACTGTCCCTATGTCATTATACAGCCCGCTAGTGCTCCTGGATTACGCCACATTGTGAATCTGGTTCGTTAATGGGAACTTCTGCTGCAACAATCAGAATGCTGATGACCTCATTTTGGGGAGCGATTCTCGTGAAGTGTTGCAGGAGTCGCAAATCTCAAAAGTCTTCGGGCGACAAAGATATCATTTGGGGAGGCGGCGTGCTGGAAGGCCTACAGCATGGATGGTGTAAGGGAGTGTCGCGGAGGCGGCGGTGAGGCGCGTCGGACAGCGCAGTGCGCGACATGAGTTCCGGCGTTTCAATTATTCAGCGGAGTTATCTCTCATCAGCTTTCTGATCTCCCCCTTGACTAGCGTCCCCAAATTGCGTTCGTTGCAAGCTATCCTTGCCGGATTCATCCGTTTCTCGGGCCGCCAACATGGGGTGGGGCCGTTGTAATTCCGCCCCGCCCCGGTGCGGACCGTCATGTGGGGCGGAATGTTGCGGGCCCGAACATGTAATTCCGGGACACCGCCGGACGGTCTCGTCGAGAAGAGCACGGCGCGACAGTGAAACTCTGGGCACTTCAAAGATTCTTCAGTAAGCAATGGGATATGACGCGGTTTGGATTCTTTGCGTAATTACCAATCGCAAATCTTTCTGCTTCCAAGAATGGTTGTTAATAACTTGTGAACATAAATATGTTTTAAAATTCCTGCAACCGCAACATTTGACCCAGATTATCCGGGATTTTTTTTAATTGGATTTAACAGTGTAAATACAACAATCAGGCCTATCTAGCTACGCCTGTCATATTCCTGTGTCCGGGTAGACACTGGACTCTCTAAGCCCAGTGCACACTTAATCATGGAGTCCTCGCAGGTGAGTTCAAGTCCTGATACAATTCTTGCCTACATTTGACTGACGAGAATGCTTTTCAAGAGCCCGAAGAGCACTCCTCAATCTGGTCCTTCGGAGCACCTGCCACTTTATCGCACAGAGGGGCGTGGTCTCGGAGTCCTCTTTGAGGATGTCGCGGTTTTTGGGGCTCCTCGTGTACAGAGGCAGGTTGACGATACCTCGCACCTTTTCCTCAACATCTTCAAGTGGCCGGTCGACCAAGCTATGCGGTTTGCCGGAAACCGGCGCCTGGCCCCGAGATCCATCGTACAAGACCTCACAGGCGTCTTGTTTCCCGGAGAGACCGCAATCGTTCTTGGGAATCCTGGAGCAGGCTGTTCGACCACGTTGAAAGTCATCGCCAATCAGCATCAGGAGTTCTCTAGCGTCGAAGGCAGCATACAGTATGCCTCCATATCCGGCAAGGCTCTCTCCGCGGATCTGCAGTCGGAAATCGTGTACAACAACGAGGACGACATCCACATCCCTCACCTCAAAGTCAAGGACACAATGGACTTCGCTCTTCGATTGCGCAAACCAGCTGCCGAAAAAGAGTCAGACAAGTTGTTTTCGTCAAACATGACACAGTCGATTTTGCAATCCTTGGGCATCGCCCACACTGCCGACACGATCGTGGGCAACTCCTTCGTCCGCGGTGTTTCTGGCGGAGAGCGCAAGAGAGTGTCGCTCGCCGAGGTCCTAGCGGCAAACCCTTCCATCGTCGCCTGGGACAATCCGATTCGCGGACTCGACTCCTCTTCCGCTTTTGATTTTCTATATATGCTCAAGCAACTCTCCCGGCAGGTGGGCATGACCAACGCCGTCAGCCTGTATCAGGCTTCCGAGCCCATGTACCAGGAATGCTTCGACAAGGTCATCCTTTTGTACGAAGGCCGTCTGATCTTCTTTGGCCCCGTTTCTCGTGCCAAAGCCTACTTTGAGAGTCTTGGGTTCCAGCAGCTTCATCGTCAGACGACGCCCGAGTTCCTCACGGCCATCACTGCACCGAACGAACGCCGCATACGGCCCGAGTACACCGGCCCCCTTTACCTCGACCCCGACTCACTCGCCTCTCGCTTCAGATCCAGCGACATATACACTCAGCTCCTGGAGGAGATATCCCGATACAAGGCCGAAATTGCGACTCCGGCAGCAGAGGTAGCGTTCCGTCAAGAGGTGTGGAGGACTGTGGACAGGTACCGAATCTTGAAGAACATGACTTCCTCACTTCGCCACCAAATCATGGTTTCCCTACAACGATACTTCCGACTACTGTGGAGCGACCGCATCTCGTTCTTCACCATCATAGCTCTCTGCGTGGTGAACGCGTTGCTCTGCGGCTCGGCCTTCTACGACATTCCCGCGACAGCGACTGGGTCCTACGTTCGCTCCTGCGCCGTCTTCTTCCCGCTCATCTACTTCTTACTGAACGCCTTGACGGAAGTGAAGGCCACGATCGACGCTCGCGACATCCTTCTCAAGCAACAGCAGCTGGGCATGGTCCATCCCGTTGCCTACGTCCTCACCGAGACGCTTGGCGGCATCCCCACGGCCTTCTTACAGACCATTTTGTTTTCCTGCCTGTTCTACTTCCTCGTCGGATTGAGCAAGTCTGCCGCTCAGTTCTGGATATTTGAGCTTATTCTGTTTGTCTACTACTTATCATACTCGGCTTTATTCCGCATGATGGGAGCATGGGCGCCTAATCTGAGTGTTGGGTTCCTCATGAGTGGCTGCGGAACACCGCTGACATTGGCTTGGGCTGGCTACGGTCCTCCTTGGCCGACGATGCTGGGTTGGAGTTCTTGGATCCGCCGAATCTCTCCTTCTCCTTACGCGCTGGAGGCGCTCATGACGAACGAATTTGAGGGCTTGCAGCTTCACTGCACCCCTGAGGAGTTGGTTCCGTCTGGGCCGTCCTTCAATGACGTTGCGCACCAGGGGTGTCCTCTGCCAGGCGCCATGCCCGGCGAAACGACGACGTCGGGCTCCTATTACCTACAGGAAGTTTACGATTACCATCATCACCATTTATGGCGCAACTTTGGTATCATTATCGCATTCTGGGTTGCCTACACCATCCTCGCCAGCATCGGGCTCACAGTCATGACTCGCAGCAAGAGCAATGCCAGCGGTCCCGTTTTCAAATCCGGCGCGGATGTTGGACACGATGGAGTAACTCCCAAGAACCACGATGTGGATCTCGAGAAGCAGCAACAGCCGGGACAACAGCGGTGTGATCCTTCCTCCGAATCGGATGGAGGTGTAACTCTCATGCCCGACGAACCCCCAAAGGCCGACGAGATGAGCAGCGTCTTCACCTTCGAAGACATCAACTACACTGTCAGCGTGGCCGGAAAGCCCAAGCGCCTTCTCAACGGAGTCAACGGATACGTTCGCGCCGGTCAGCTCACTGCCTTGATGGGAGCATCAGGAGCAGGGAAGACGACTCTACTCGACGTCCTCTCCCAGCGCAAGAGCCAGGGCCAGGTGGAAGGTCACATGCAGCTGAACTCGTGCGATATCTCAGCCTCCTTCGCCCGATCTTGCGGCTTCGTCCAGCAGGGAGACATCCACGAGCCGCTATCGACGGTGCGGGAAGCTCTTCAGTTCTCGGCGTATCTCCGGCAGCCGGCCGAGGTTTCAGAGGCGGAGAAGGCGGCATACGCGGAGCACGTTATTCGGCTATTGGAGCTTGAGTCCATCGCGGATGCGGTGATTGGCGAGCCTGGAGATGGGAAGCTTGGGGTCGAAGAGAGGAAGCGTGTCACCATCGGTGTTGAGTTGGCTGCCAGGCCATCGGCTCTGCTCTTTCTGGACGAGGTATGTGCTTATCCACGCGTATTCGCGCGACAGACTCTAACATTTTCACACAGCCAACCTCTGGCCTCGACAGCCAGGCCGCTTACTCCATCGTGCGCTTCCTCCGACGCATCGTCGCCGAGGGTATCCCCATCGTCTGCACCATTCACCAACCCTCCGGCGTCATCTTCGAAATGTTCGACCACGTTCTCCTCCTGGCCCCCGGCGGTAACACCGTATACTTCGGAGAAACCGGAGACGGGTGCGAGGAACTGGTCGAGTACTTCGCAAAGTACGGAGAGAACATGGACGACAACCAGAACCCGGCAGAGTTTATCATCTCTGCGGTTAACAAGAAGCCGGCGATACGAGATTGGGCGCAAACATGGAGAGACTCACCGGAGGCAGCAAGTTTGCGGCAAAGGATTGATGATTTGAAGCGACAATTGAGATCCAATGCTCAGTCGGAAGATGCATCTCAGCAGTCTACCTTCGCGCAGCCCCTGGGGAAGCAGATGTACGCTCTCACCATCCGCCACGCCAGGACGATTTGGCGCCATGGTCCTTACAACCTCAGCCGGTTCACCAAGTCCATCTTCTACTCCCTCATCATCTCGTTCTCCTATTTCCAGGCCGATACAGATGTGCTTTCTCTGCAGAACCGTGCCGTCAGCGTCCTCATCATTTCCTGGATCATCCCCGTCATCGCAGCCGACTTCCACGCAATCTGGTTCGACCGTTGGTCCATCTTTGAAGGTCGCGAGAGGAATGGCATCTACGACTACAAGGCTTTGCTGTTCGCTCTCATCATCGTTGAGATCCCGTGGAACCTGGTTCTGTGGACTCTTGTTTTCTTGTGCAACTACTGGACCATCGGATTCACAAACGCAACCACAAACGCCGGCTTCACCTACTTCTCGTACCTGCTGCTGTCTCTCTTTTGCATCGGCTTCTGCTTCCTCATGCCCTCCCTCTTCGGGACGAAGACCTTGGCCGGCTACGCCAGCTCGCTGTTCTGGGTTCTTCTGATGATGTTCTCCGGTATGCTCCAGCCTCACATCGGGATGAACGATTTCTATCGTCCCTGGCTCTTCTGGGTCGACCCCATGCGCTATTTTATCGGGGCCATCGTCTCCAGCGCGATGAACGAGGTCGAGGTGCATTGTGCAGAGAGGGACCTCGCACATTTTATCCCGCCAGCCGGTGAGACGTGCTACGACTATGCGGCGTCGTTTCTTGAGACCAGTGCCGGGTATCTCCTGAACCCGAACGGGACCGAGGGCTGCTCCTACTGCAAATACACCACCGGCAATGACTACCTCGACACGCTCGACTATGCTTACGCGGACCGCTGGAGGGATTGGGCGGTGTTTCTTGGTTGGTGTCTTGTGAACTTTGGTTTGATTTGGTTCGTTACTTGGGTTAGTCGGATCAGATTCAGACTTGCATGAGCAAACAATGTGAGGGATCTTTCTGTATCAACTGGGCCAGGAAAACACCAGAATAGACTGCTGTCACTTATTATCGTCTTCAATATTATTTTCATCAGCGTCTCTATCCTTGCTATTATTGTTGTCGTCCTTGCTGTTCTTGTTGGCCTTATCAGTGTTGCTCTTGCTATTACTGTTGGCCTCGTTGTTGTGATCATTGTTTCCCGTCGTCCTCAGTCGTCATCCCCGACTTATTCGTCCATTGTTCTTCATAAAATTATCCCAACCCGGTCTATAAACCAGAACGAGAAAGCATGGCGCGATGCTCGGGACTTGCCAGCCAAAGTGAGCCTCCCTAAAGCCTGGGGTAGGGGATGAAGCATGGTCTCAAGGAAGCTTGACCAAATGGGCATAAGAACTTTTCCACATACGACTAGTGTGCCTCGTTAGTAAGGGCGATGGTTGTTTGGTGGGTATTGGCAATTTCTCTGGGGAAAGCTTCGACGGTGGAAAAGGGGCGTGGCGGCGGGAAGATGGGAGAGGCGGGAATGCATGGTGCGGGTGGTGGCGTTGCGCCTCCCGATCCCTCATGATGAGTTCTAGACTACTGCAACGAAGGAGTGATCTTCCGCAGGATTCATACTTTGACGTCAATATGCTGCAGATCAATTGATGCTTGAGTCGTTGCTCCGTAAAGTGCATCGGTAAGTGCTGTATCTCGTTCTTTGCCGTGATGCCGTGATCTGTAGCCAGTCTGGAAGGGACATGACTGGATGTTTACCAAGAGACTATTGAGAATGACGCTAAGAAGCATGCTTTACCCACCTGGCGAGCCACAAGTCTCGAAAGAGAACTCGGTGCCGTTTCGAGAAATAGTCTGGACTCCAGACCATGCTAAATGCTTATTTCCTCATTTGCCGATCTCACCTGGGGCTGGATGTAATTAACACACAAGCCGTTGCCGTTTCATCCCGTGGTTTAGGTCCACCGGCAGTCGAACAGTCTCTTGCACGATCCATCATCGAGGTTTAGCCTACAACTAGCCTCGTTGCTAAACTAAGAACAGACCAACTCGACCTCGAGATGGCAGGCGTCGCACTACCATGACACCAGGAGACACGCTTGGCACAGTCGCAGGTCCGAGCCTCAATGTCCATGTATTGAGGCATTCACCTGGGCAAACGCATTGTCAGTCAACTTGAGAGGTCGGGAGGAAGAGTTGACAAATAGGGAGGATTGAGATGATGGGCGCTTCCTAGTGCGACAGCCCAGTCTAAATTTGAAGCTTCCAGTAGCAAACAAGCTAAACGCCATGACTCTATTCTCAGCTCTCAATCTCATCGGAGCATCTCGTTTGGTGGCGTAGAGCTATTCTTTCTCACACCATCATCGTTCTATACACTTTCCATGGTCCAGAACCACGGCCATTTGGATATATAAGATGCGGGTTTTTCCTTCTCAAGGCATTCTTTCTTCATCCAGCATCTCATTCCATCTCATCACATTCATTCACTCTTGATCGCTTTGAAGCAAGTCTTCATTCAGTTCTTCACACCCACATTCATTCTCAACAACCAAAAGCTTTCCAACTACTTCCTATCTTTCAACCGACTCAAGTCATTCTCTACATCATTCAAAATGAAGGGCTCAGTCATCGCAACCGCCATCGCCGCTCTCTCGGCCGGAGCCTACGCCGCTCCCACCCAGGGTGATTACAACCAGGGCACTCAGGGCCAGCAACCCACCGGCGGCAAGGCCGGAGGCGGTGGTGGCATCCTCGGTGGCGGTGGCCTCCTCGGTGGAGGTGGTCTCCTTGGAGGCGGCGGCGGCGGCGGTCTTCTCGGCGGCGGCAAGAGCTCTGGAGGCGCTGGAGGTCTTCTCGGTGGCGGCAAGAGCAGCACCGGAGGCTCTGGAGGCATTGGAGGTGGTCTCAACAACCTTCCTATCCCGGGCATTGGTGGCGGTGCAGCCCTCCCCATCCCCGGCATCGGCGGTGGCTCGAAGGCTGGCTCCGGAGGCTACGCCGGCGGTGGTGCTGATGGTGCCAGCAAGGGTTCTATCCTTCCCATCCCGGCCATTGGCGGCGGTGCGAGCGGCGGCTCTGGTGGCCTCAACATCCCGGGTTTCGGCGGCGGTGCCAGCGGTGGTGCTGGTGGCAAGGGCGGTCTCCTTGACAATCTCCCCATCCCCGGCATTGGCGGCGGTGCCAGCGGCAGCTCCAGTGCCAAGGGCGGTCTCCTCGATAACCTCCCCATTCCGGGCATCGGCGGTGCCGGCAAGACCGGTGCCGGCGGCTACGGCGGTGCTGACGGCGCAAGCAAGGGCTCCATCCTTCCCATCCCGAATATCGGCGGTGGTGCCAGCGGTGGTGCCGGTGGCAAGGGAGGTCTTCTCGACAGCCTCCCCATTCCCGCCCTCGGCGGTGGTGCGAGTGGAAACGCCGGTGCTAAGGGAGGTCTTCTTGACAGCCTCCCTATCCCGGGTATTGGCGGCGCGGCCAAGGGCGACAGCAAGGGCTCCGTCCTCCCCATTCCCGCCATCGGCGGTGGTGCCAGCGGCGGTGCTGGTGGCAAGGGAGGTCTCCTCGACAGCCTCCCCATTCCCGCCCTCGGCGGTGGTGCTAAGGCTGGCTCTGGCGGCTACGGCGGTGCCAGCGGCGGCTCTGGCGGTCTCAACCTCCCCATCCCCGGCATTGGCGGCGGTGCTGCTCTCCCGGTCCCGGCCATTGGCGGTGGAGCTTCCGGAGGCAGCAAGGGTGGTCTTCTCGACAGCCTCCCCATCCCCAACATTGGCGGCGGTGCCGGCGGTAAGGGTGGCCTTCTCGACAGCCTTCCCATCCCGGCCATCGGCGGCGGTGCTTCTGGAGGCAGCAAGGGCGGTCTCCTCGACAACCTCCCCATCCCGGGCATCAACGGCGGCGCCAAGGGTGGAAACGGTGGAAACGGCAACAAGGGCGGCAAGGGCGGCTACGGCAACGACGACAAGAAGGCCGCGCCCACAACTCTCCAGACTGTTGTCGCTACTGCTACCGTCGCTCCCGTTGAGGCTTCTGCTTCCGTCGCCCCCGTTGAGGCTTCTGCCACCGTCGCTCCCGTTGAGGCCTCTGCTTCTGCTGAAGTGACTGCTCCCGCCGAGGCCACTCCTAGTGTTGAGGCTTCTGCCACGGTTGTTGCCAGTGCCGAGCCTACTGCCGTGGTCACTGCCTCCAAGGATGATGGCTACAACGCTCCTGCTGCCACTCCTTCTGCTTAAGCAGATATCAAGAACCTCAAAACTCATGTAGAGTAGTCAAACTTAACTTCCCTGGTCAAATCAAACTAAATTCTTCTTCTAATCTCGTCGCATTCATATGATTCCCTGAGTAACGTGAATATTTGCCTCACTGGCAAGTCGCTCCAGCTCTCGACGGTATCATTCATAGCAGAATACCTGATCCCTAGATAAAGAGTATTACATCGTGTTTAATGTCGGGGGAGCGAGCTGTAAGTGAAATACGTATGCATAGCACTCCGCTGACGAACCTGTAGTGGCAACATGCCAGGCGGATAGCGAACGTTCCTCTTTTATTCTTGATGAAGGCTGTACGGACTAGGGCTGACTTCTATCTACATCTCGTCATTGACGTCAAGGTCGTCATCGTCTTCCAGCGCGTCTTCCCGGACAGCAATCTCGTCCGCGATGGCGAAGTACTCCTCCAGGTTCATGGGAGGGGCGATCGGCTCAGGGGCGTGCTTGACGAACCGCTTGGGAAAGAGTCCATCGAACTTCTTGTCGTCAAGAATAAGTCCTGCAAGTCCCTCTTGTACATGACCGACGTGGAACTGAACCCAAGAACAAGGGCTGCGATAGAAGGTCCAGCAAATGTCGCAGGTGTCGGTCGATATGTCCTCTCCGCCCGGGCTCTCGGTCGCGGGAATGGGAACTGGACGGCGTTGAGGGCAGCCATTCTTACGGATGTTGCGGTCCCCTCGCTGAGTCCAGCATGGAATGCAAGCCGGGCTGTTGAGGTTCCGACCTCCGTTTCTGAACCACTCATTGGGAGGTTGAGGCCCAAAAGGAACACCGGGGTAATCGACAGCCAGCTTGACAAAATTGTCCTTGAATGTGACGGGCTTGGGGGCCTCCACAACTTGCTCGGGGACAGGGCTGAAAAAGACACGTTGGCGCTCGTGATCCATGCTGACGCCGACTACGTCACAGCCGAGATGCGGGCAGAGATAGACGGGCGCATCTTGATAACGACGATTGTCAAGAAATTGCAGAATGTGAGTGGCCATGCGCCAAGAGGTTGTAACCCTCTTGTCAACGACGTAGGCCTTCAGCTTCTCGTCCTTCCGAACAATGTGTTCCAAGCTAGCATTGGGGTCGTAGATCTTGTACAATGAATTGCATTGAATCGGGATCGAAAACCACTGCTTCGTGGCTTCGTTCATTATCTCGACCCGAATCCCGAATGTGTGAAGCTCCTCAGTGTTGTTGAATGCGCCGTGGTAAGGGTGACGGTACCAAGGAACGGGATGGCGCTTCCCATTCTTCATCCGCTCAATGGACACCAAAACGGGCTGCCCATGGCGAAGATTGAGCGACTCTCTCAGGTGATCCAAGTTGGCCGTGATAGACAGACCAAGGCCCTGCGAGTTGTAGACTTTGCCGTCTGCCAACTTGATCTCTTTGAAGCGAGTAAATCTGAGTCTGAGACCTAGGTCATTTCGTTTCTTGCTCGCGTTAGGGAGGTTCGCAATGGCGGTTGTGCAGCGATACACAAACATCTCCTCGCCGGCTTCGTTGGTGACGTCGTAGCGTATCCAGTCACGTTTCTGCTGCGGCAGCTCTTCAAGAGGAATCGAGTAGTTGCAGCCCTTGCCACGATAAAGAGGGAAGCCGACCTTCGTCAGCGCTTGATCGCCCAGCTCGCGCAAAAGGGTAGCCATGAGGCGATGATTGACAGTCGCAGCGCCAATGCCATTGTTGATGTCTTCACGGGCGTAGCAGACAGCAGCGTGCCAAGTTCGGAACAAAGCGCAGATCGTCGTCTCTGCCATGGCGACGATGAAATCGGGGACGTCCATCAGTTTGATCATGGGGATCATGATGCGATAGCGGTACTTGTTGGCGATAGAGTAGTGAGGGACGGCGGAAAAGTGACCCGTCATAGCCTCTTCGTGCTGCAGATTGCAGTCGTGCGGGTTGCGGCGCGTGCCTCCTCCATACTTTCCAAAGTCGGTCTCGTCCGGGCTCGGCGTTAGGTCGTTCACAGCAAGACGAAGGTAAATGATCTCCTGCTTGGGGGAGTAACCAGGATAGGTCTGGCGGACATGCTTCATGCTCAGGAGAGCTCGGATGTCACCCCCTTCCTTTATCTTGTCCCAGGCATCGTCCGAGAGCCCTTCAGCGAGTTAGCCAATGGTCACGATCGCTCTCAAATCTCAAAGATCGACAACTTACCGCCAAGAATACAGTCCATCGCCTTGAGAAAACTAGATTGGTCGTTGAGGATCTCGCCGAGCTTGTCGATATGCTTGAGGCCGAGTCCCGCCAACACAGGCAAGTTTTCCTTGAAATTCATCCAGAACTGCATGATCGCCTTGCCTGCAATGCTGCTGTTGCGAGCACCTCCGTGCGGAATGGTGGACTGACTGAACTGAGCCGCGGGAAAGTCGACCCGGAACTCCTCGTGAAGAGCGCCGAAACTGCATGCGTTGCGAGGAATGGAGACTGTCATTATTAGCACATGGACGTACGGCGAGAGAAGCATGCGCCCAGGACACTTACAAATAGCTCGCTGGCCATTGTGGTTGATCAGCTGGGCCATAATGTGGGTATCGCTATCGCTCATATCCTGGATGTAGTATCCAAGAGTCCCCTTGAAAACCGGGATCGTCTTGCCGCTTCGCATCGCAGCAGCGGTGTTCATCGTCACGCGAAGGGCTCGAAATTTGCCAATGTTCTGTCCCTCGGGGGCGGAAATCTGCCGCAGGGGAGGTGCCGGAGGCATCGTGAAGAGTGTTCTTCCCAAGTACTTGGTGTGTTTGTGATGATGTCTCTGGTGGGAGAGGATGGAAGGGGAGGGAAAGAAGTAATGGTGCGAGGTTGGTGATGAGGAGGAGGAGATGGAAAGTGCAGAGGTAGTAGAGGGGCAGGATTGGACAAATAAAATCTGAGACGGATGGAAATTTCTCAGGAGGTGGTGAAAATTTTTCAACCAGTCCAAATTTGAGGCAAGAACGAACCGGAAGGTGGTGAGTCGAGATTGTCCTAGGGAAGGAAGGTAAGTTGAGGTAGCGATAGGACGAGGAGGTAAGGTAGTTCATAAAAACAGACGGTATTAGACTACTTGAGCAAGAAAGAAAGAGTAAGAGCCCTTAGCAATGACGTTTAGCTTTACTAAGAAAGCAGTTATACTTACTATTTAACCTAAGTAACATACAGGTCGTTTAGACCCCTATCATTAAGAGCCTATTTAATAAGACGTTGTTTAACATGCTTCTAGAAATAGTAGAAGTTTACTTAGGAGTAAATATAAAACAGAAAGTTTTTTTTTAAACTCTAGAGACTTAATAAATAATATATAATGAGATAAAATGCTTATTTGCCTTACTCTAAATGCTAGACAGCTGCAGGCTCCTATAAAAAGTAACGATTATATTTCTTTACCATCTTAGTTATAAAGTCAGACGAATCATCGTCGTGGACATTCTATTGAATTTCAGGCTTGAGTTTTTCGTCTTGTAGGATTTAAGGGAAAAACTAGATGGAGGGGGTATTTCCGTAGAAGCGTTTGTGGTTTGTTACAGCGGAAAGTAGAGGAACTTCATACAGCAGCTAATAATGTCTAGAAGCATAAGGCTTCCCGCAAAACGAATAAAGGACAAGAAACCTGCAAATATCCGAGATGCCCATCGGCAGAGTGCAATTAAGACCTGACATCCTCGGCCAACGCCTTATTCAGCTAACTACTATCTGCCTGACCTGAAATGAAGAGTGTGCGGGCTCGAAGTTCGTTCCCAGAGTATCAAGCTGGCGAGAAGTAGAAGAATGTCCCCAAATGGTCAGTCCAGAGTCTCAAGTCGCAAAGACTGCTTGATTTGAGTTTTCGCCGTATGACCTAGTCTACGGCGGGCAATAGCCACAAATAAGCCACAATATAAGGGTACTCTTCAAGTCGCAAAGACCATTTCCATTGTTGTCATTGGGGTTGGATGAAGATCGCGAACTTCGTCGTCAACCAAGGTCCAAGGGCATGCTGGCGTCACGGCAGAGTGAGAACGACGGGCTTTCTGCGTCGAATGGTCCCGAAATGATTGAAATCCTCGCGACACTTGCTTGCATCTGGATACCTTCCGGCATAATAGATCATCCCGTCTTGAGACACGCAGATTACTGGCAAAAATTTCAAGCAAATGGGAGTCTAACTCAACAGCATGAATGCCAGCTTGCCGTGGGCAAATGAAATCAATACATCCATGTTTTAAGATCAGGGGGAAAAGATTCAGGACTCTTCTATGCTATTAAGAGCGACTGGGATTGATATCAGCGGTTTTTAATTACTTGTGAATATTCGTTTTTGTGGCTGACAAGCTTTGAAAAGTGAACGATTCATTATTTCTCTCTTCAAGCTCTAGAAACAAGCAAAATATTCAAAAGAAGTTAACAAGTTGCCGTCAAAATGCTTTGACCACATCTATTCAGTGTTGTTCGGCAGTGATAGTACGATGTTGCGAGGTCATGAACCATCTTTCAGTCCTTGGGCCTAGTCCCGAGACTCGAAGCTAACGCGAACAACTCTCAGAATACCCTACCAAGAGAATAAAGGCATCGCTGTCTAAAGTCTAGACAATTCAGGCGAATAAAACTTCCTGAGTATAAATTATTCAGTGAAGTCGTTTAGACCTTGGTCTAGGTCGAGTGTCTCTACGAGGCTTCTTCTGGACTGTAAGAATCTGCCAGAAGGCTGCTACTGAAACGGAGGAGCAAACGGCGCGCACATAGAAGTCAACGATCAGGCATTTTCTCAATGTAACTTTGTATTGATTCATTTAAGGGGAGTAATAAAAATCAATAAAGACAATGGCCGAATAAGCCAAGGACGACGACGAGGACGACGACGAGGTCAACGACGAGGACAACGACGAGGACAACAATGAGGACAACAGAGAGGACAACAGCAAGGACAACAGGGAGGACAACAGAGGATAACAATAGGGACAACAGCAAAGACAACAATAAGGACAACAACAAGGACAACAACAAGGACAACAATATAGATAACAAGGACAACAATAAGGGCAATAATAAGGATAATAAGAAGGACAACAGCAAGGACGACAACAATAGCAATAACAATAGCAATACTAATAATGATGATAGGGATAACACTAAAGAAAACAATGATTAGAAGAAATAGTAAAGACGCTCAAATAGTTATAATAATAGGCTGAACCTCCTTGGTCTCATGGAGGTATGGTATCCCGCCGACTTGGCGACAAGATCACTTGGTAATGCAAATCCGCCCAGAGAAACTCCAGTCAACAAACAACGAAACTCGTCCGAAGATAGCATAGATTTGAAATTGGCAACCTTGCCGCATGAACACGATAAAAAAGGTCTCACAGGACTCACCATCTCCGTCAACCTCCGCATCATCCCAGGCCGCCTCCGATATCACACCTTATGAAACGTTCCATTTTCATTGCGAGAACCTTGAGGCTGATGAGATTTGCCTCATAACCAACAACTCAACATCCAATTCGAGAAGGTAGACCGAGGTGAACGCCTCGCCGGCGGCACGGCGTCGACCGAAGGAAGATCGAGGTTCTTTTGGCGTGCTTGGCGGCCAGGGACAGTACATTAGAGAGCCCCAGGGATACGGAAGAGGGGGCGTGGGATTGAGAGAATCATATACGATCACGGGGGAAAAGCAGGTCTCGGGATGCGAAAAGACGAAGATGGCAAAAGCTCCTATGCTTGAACAGCCAGTCGGGTGAGAGATAATGTGATTCCGCGTACAGCGGACTCGTTCTCCGGCGGGTTGCCTGCCCACTCGGTGTGGTTTCTGTCAATGCAAAGTGAAGTGAAGTGAGCTGGGCCGAGGTGAGCTGATATGGTGAAGGGCCAGCTTTTTTCTGGGCGTGGCGTGGAGAGCGGCGGGATTTTGGAGTGAGGACCTTGATGGCCCGGCCCGCCCTCTGGCGGCTGGGCAGAACCCGGCCCCAAGACATGGATGAGGCATGCATATCGGACCTGGCCACGGGGGAAGGGGAGGGCGAGGAAATCCCTGTTTATGGTTCTTTTATGGTGAACCGGGGTATTTTTGATTTTGTTAGGTTAGGCAGGTTTAGAGGAGTGGATGGGAAGGTGAGCACGTTGTGATGATCTCTGAGAGTGAGTCTTGGCGAGCTGAGTGGGATGGGTGAATGTTGGGTGAAGTGAGTGAGTGAGACCCTCGTGAGTGAAAATGTTTCCTCTTGCCAAGAGGTTGTAGTTTGTACCTTTGTAGATTTTTACCAGGTTGAGTTGGGTCGCGGTCGCTCTTTCCTTGCATTGTTTGTATCTTGGCAGATGGCGGATTCACCACTGACTCTCGTATATATCTCACCTCACCTCAACAACGAACCTTTTCCGTCTTTTTCTTTTTTTCCTCCACGCCTCAGGTCGCATTCATTCGTTGGTTGTTCGACAATCTCACACCTCCGTCGTTACTCTTCAATATCTCAACACCGCAAAAATGAAGGCCTCTCAGATTCTCGCCGTCCTCGGCTTCTCCGCCTTCGTCATGGCGCAGAGCGAGAGCGTCACCTTGGCCCCCTCTCCCACGGCCTCCTACGGCTGCGAAGTTCACGTCGATCACTGGTTCGTTTATTCGACGATTCCAAGCAGCTTGAATTATTCTAACCATCGTGAACAGGCATTGCGAGGGTGCCCGTGCTGCCACCGAGTCCGGAGCCTCCACCCTGAGCACCGCCGTGGCCGCGACCACCTCCGCCGCCGAGGATCACGACCACGATGACCACGACCACTCTGGAACTGCTAGTCTTCCCCCTTCTCCTACCGGACGTACAAACTGCCAGCCTCACGGGGACCACTGGGTTCGTAATTTTGAGACTCTCGTGAGCCTTGGAGTTGATACTGACATCATCAACAAGCACTGCGACAAGGTGACCAGCACTGCCTCCGGAGCCGCCTCCGGAGCCTCCACCAACGCCGCTGCTACGACGACTGCTGCTGCCACTACCACCGCTGCTGCCTCTGGTGCCTCCGGTGCCGACGCCAGCTCGGCTCCCTCCACCACCGCCGTCCCCGCCGGAGCTGCCCGCGCCGGCTTCGGCGCCGCTGCCGTGGCCGCCGCCGCCCTGATGGCCCTCTAAGCCCGCTCAGCTCGAGCTACGATGAAGAAGCGGAACATCTACCTTACGACGGGAAACTCACGCGGATTCGGACTCATGAACATGAACTGGGACGGGACACACATATTTTTGGGGGCATGGCATACCGGGATATGAAAAAATGGGAAGATTCGTCTGATTCTGGTTTCGCCAATGGCGTTTTTTAACTTTCTTCTTTTCGTCTTCGGGATGGAGACGGGTAATTCTTGTAGCATAGATTCAATGAACATTGCATTGTCGACGCTTTCAGTTTCTTGCTGCTGTGATTGTTTTCAGTTTCGATTGTTTCACCAACTCAATGGTGAACATGGCTGTTTGTAAGACTTCAATGTGACACAAGCAACCAAATACTGATGTTTGTTCAACTTGAGTGATGGTCATAGCGGTGCCGCTGTCACTGTCTCATATTCACCTGAGCTCATGTAGCAACCTTGGTCCTCTACGTCATTTGGCTTCAACAGACTCATGAGATGACCCAGCAGCACGGTTAAGGTCATGGCACACGGGAAGTCAAATTGTGACCCTGCGTCAACGTTGGAGATAGCTGAAGACGCACATCACCGGGGAACGCCATCCGGACGGGCGTTGCATGTGTCCCCTGATTTCATGAAGACACCGATATAGGGAGACTATCAAGGTGTCAACACCAAAGTTCAACATCACCAGCCGACAGTTGGCAAACAGCAGGGTCTGACAGGAGCAACCAATATTTCACATGATAGTCATCATCCAGCCGTTTTTGGGCGTATCCTCCGAAGAACTCATGTGGGGGAAGTGTCTCAAGCGTCATAAGCCAACAATCACTCATACGGTTAACATGTCTCAATGCGTCCCGCAAGAATTCTCGCAAGATACGAGCTGAAAAAAGTGCCCGGCGTCGGCCGTGAGGTTGGAAGATGAGCAAGGTGGGTGTACGGCATCAGTCTTGGCAACGATATTGGACGACCAGTGAGCTGAGAATCGCGGAAACCCTCCATCATCCTTCGATATCATCGTGGTGTTGTTGGTCGAGGCCTCTCTATTAGTATTCTTGGCGTGCATGTCGTCGCCACTTTGCTGGCCATCAAGGTTGAGGGGAATTTTCTAGCAATAATTCGGAAGAATTCGAAAGAAAACCGCGCAGGAAAGAGCAAAAAGGTAGAAAGAAGGGAAGGAAGGACGTTGGAGCGGCGGTTGCGGTCAGAAGAGGCCATCAAGGTTCTCTTATTTGACGTGCATGTGGGTCGCCCCGATTGGCTAAAAAGGCATGTGGATCTCCTATTCCCTGTAATGTGGTTCGTCGGTTCGTCATCCCCGCCAATCAAGCAGGTAAGAGCAAGACATCGCGACTGCACCTTCCTTCCACCACCCAAAAACCCCCATGTTGACCATCAAGGTGCTCACCACTTGGCAACGGGTCTTTCAGCCTTGGCGCACTTGGCATCAGCCTTGGCATTGAGACTGCGTCGTCTTATGCTTTTCTTTTGTGTTTCTCCCTAGTGCTGTGTTTCCCGCATTTCCACAAACACCACGACCAAGTCCCACGTTTACCGACATGGATCACCTCCATCCCACGTTCGCGGACTGAAAGACCGACCAATACCCAACACTCACTCTCCCTCGGGTCAGCCGCCGCCGGCCAAGAAGACATGTTTGGAGACTGGTCCCCCGTCCCGTGGCCCTTGCCGCCCCGTGGATACGGCACAATCGAGGCTAGCAAGCATCGCTCGGAGTCGTTACTTTGTTGCGTAAAGTCGTCGTTTGTGCTTCTCGATGGAGTTCGACTGCTTGGCAAAAACAACGAGTGGAAAAATCACTCCAGAGACATCGAAAAAATATGGCATTTCCGGCAGGGGTCTTTCCTCCCCACGACGATGTCTCGCCGCTCCCGTCCATCTTTTCCTTCAACATCTCACCCGTCACCCAATCTCCTCTCCTCCTCTCCCTACGGCCTACCCTCTTGAGAAGTCAATCCCGCCGCTCTGGGAATTCTCATTACCTCTACCCCCATCTCATCCCACTTCGGTCGGGCTCTTCTCTCGGCGCATTCACCATTACGGCCCGTCGCCTCTCAAGGTGCTCATCCTCACTACCTTGCCGGCACCAACCTTACCTCGTCCCGGCCGCCTCTTTCCCGATCTCTTTCCCATAAAGCACCCGGCTGAGAACCGTCCGATAAGCCGCAATCCGAGACCTCTGCAGCAGCTTCCAGCCTCGGAGACCTGAGCAGCCAAGCCGACCCTTCTCAACCATAGACAGGGCTCACCTCGCATCCCGGACGACTATTCGACTCCCTCCGTCATCATGGCAAGGTTCTCTGCCGCCGCCCTTGCGGCTCTTCTCGGCGCCGCTTCCGCCTCCATCGTCGCACGACAGACGGCTGCCACCACCACCACCGACTCGCTTCCGTCGGCCGTCACGGGCTGCGTCTACAATCCCACCGACGTGTACGTTCCCTCTCCGATATAATCACGAGGATCCTCGCTCACACTTCTCCAGCGTCTGCAAGCAAGGCACCACCGACTTTCGCCTCTTGGAAACCCCGTCTGGCGCTCAGCCTAGCTCCTTCACAGGATGCCACAAGCATGCTACCGACACGTAAGCACCCTCGCCGTCGCATTGGCGTTCGCCTCTCTTACTCTTTATGCCAGGTACTGCTTCTACGATGACGGCGAGGTCCAAATCACTGCTTTCAACGCCCCGGCTGTCACTGCCGCTACTACAACCGCTGCTGCCGTCACTGGTGCTCCGACTGCCGTGTCTGACTGCCATCTCCATGGAGTCACTGTGTAAGTATCTCTGCTCGAGTCTCAGCTTCGTCGCTAACATCTCCAGCTTCTGCATGTGGGGTACCTCTGAGTACCAGGTCATGACCACGCCTACCAACACGGCCGCCTCCGCCATCCCTACCGCCTTCACAGACTGCCACGCTCACGGCGCCGACACCTACTGCATCGCGCCCAACGGTGATGACGTCGAGATCGTTGCCGAAGGCGCCGAGTCCTCCGACCACGACCACACCGAAGAGACCCCTCAAGGAGAGAACTGCCACTTCCACGCCGGTGTCGAGCACTGCGTCGGTGCTGGCGAGAGCGAGAGCGGCGGCACGAGGAGCTGCGCGAAGGTCAGCCGCGACTACAACATCCCTCTTCGTATCGGCCTCATCTTCGTAATCCTCGCCACCAGCGCTTTCGGTGTCTACTTCCCCATCGTCATGATCAAGTGGATGCCTACCAAGACGCACACTCTCTTCCTCGTCCTCAAGCAGTTTGGTACAGGTATCATCATCTCCACCGCCTTCGTCCACCTCTACACGCATGCTCAGCTCATGTTCGGCAACGAGTGCCTGGGTGATCTCGGCTTCGAAGGAACGACGTCCGCTATCGTTATGGCCGGTATCTTTCTCTCCTTCCTGGTCGAGTACGTCGGCAAGCGCATTGTCATGGCCAAGATGGCCGCCAACCCGACCACCGTCTCCAGACTCTCTCCCGAGACCGTCACCGTCTTGGTCCTCGAGTGCGGTATCATCTTCCACTCCATCCGTAAGTTTACTCGTTCTCCGCTTCCGACTCCCACTAACATCTCCAGTCATTGGTATCACACTTGTCGTCGCCGGAGACTCCTTCTTCCTAACTCTTTTCGTCGTCATCATCTTCCACCAGATGTTTGAAGGCATCGCCCTCGGAACCCGCATCGCCCAGCTGGGACAGCGCACCCCCGCCGAAATGGCCGAGCGCCCCGTCGAAGTCGAGCAGACCTCCTCCACTCCCGACAGCCTCAACTCCCTCAAGGCACCCTCCTTCTCCCTCGTCAAGAAGCTCCTCCTCGCCACCCCCTTCGCCCTCGTCACCCCCATCGGCATGGCCATCGGCATCGGTGTTCTCTCTCGATTCAACGGCAACGACCGCGATACCATCCTCGCCATCGGGACACTCGATGCTCTGTCCGCCGGCATTCTCATCTGGGTCGGTCTTGTGGAGATGTGGGCCGAGGACTGGATGCACCACGACGCCGAGCTCCTCCGCACCAGCCCCATCGTCACCTTCCTCGCTGGCTTCGGTCTGGTGGCCGGTATGATCATCATGAGCGTGCTCGGCAAATGGGCTTAGGTCCCCAACGAGCGTCATCAATGACTACGATGGTAATGAAATATGACGCCCCGCTCGATACGGGTGGCGGCGCATCTAATGTGGAAAGGGAATGGGAAAAAGTTCGGCATTGGCACGGCATGGCATGGTATGATATGATTCGGGTCGGTCCTTTGTTCTAGATAGATGTTATACCCTACGAGTGTAATGATACTGCGTCCCTCGACTTCGCTTCTAAGCTGTTTTACATAATCACCTTTCGTCACCAATTGTAGTATCCACGCTTCATCCTGCCCAAGCCACCACCCAATAAATGATTACTTCTCGTAGACAACCCCAGCAACAAACCTCGCCTTCTACATTTCGCGTAGACCAACCATCCATCCGTTTCCTCCTTGCGACGTCCTCCAACCCCATCAACTCTGGGAACTCGAACCCTTCGTCATCAAAGTCCTCGAACCCCTCGAACTCAACAACGCCGCACACAACCCGCTCGTATTTGTCCTGTGTGCCGTCAGGCCCCGTCCGACTCCCGAGGAAGCAGATTCTTCCGTCAGTTCGGCTTTTTCGGAAGCAAAGCGGGCAAGTTTGCGCCTCGGGAAATGCGTCGCCACACTCAACGAGCAGGTTGGTAGTTGTGAGGCGACGTGGAGGGAGTACGGCGCTTCGCGGGCCCGGAGGTTTGATGATGCTGATATGCAGACGGCGCGCTGAGATATATTCTTTGTGACATCTGCCCCTCTTTTGACTTTCGATGAAGCGGATTCGTCTGTGAGCTCGGCGTTTTCGGATCCAAAAAGGAGGAATGTTTATGTGGCGTTCCTGATGGCTGGAAGGTGCTTGGCCGGCCTTATGGGGGAGTTTGGTTGTTGTGAGGCGAGGTGGGGGGGATGTATTGGGCCCGGAGCTTCGATGACGCGGATTCGTAGAGAACACGCTCGAATTTGTTATAGGTACCATCCGGTATGCGAGGTAATATGTTGTGTGTTGTATTGTTTGGATTTTTTGGTAGGTAACGGGTCTTGCCTGTGAAGACGTACGTATCACGCGTCTTGCTGCCTGGAAAATGTTTCGCCAGCCTTATGAAACATAGACAGAGCGAGTTGGGCCCGGACATCCGATGACGCGGATTGGCAGAGAATACGCTCAAACATGTCCTACGTGCCATCCGGCATGGGAAGGATGTGTCGCGTCTTCCGTCGTTTGGCTTTTTCGGCAGGTAACGGGTCTTGCCTGTGAAGACGTACATATCAGGAGTCCTGGCTACCAGGGCAAGTGCTTTACCAGCCGAATGACAGATCCAGCGGCGGTAGGAAGACTTGGACGGTGGGAGTATTGGGGTTTTTGACGTCAAGGAAAAGAGATCATCTTCCTGAACGCTAAGTGTCGCAGGACGACTCCAATATCTGGCAACCACCCTTGTGATTCTATCGGAGCGAGATGAGACTGTATAGCGGGCACTGTAGGGCCGAAGTGTGAGAACCTGCTCTCTGTGACGGCACGCTTCGTTCTTGACCCAATGAAGCAGATTCTCGGTTCTCCGATGTTTGGGAAGACACCGCGTTGGGCCCGGGACAAGATACCGATCGGGCGTGCTGCTTCCAGGGAATCGCCTTGACAGGATTGTAAATCGGTTGGCTGGTTGCAGGAAGACATGATGAAGGGATCTTTAGTGTCAAGGCAAAGCCTTACCCTTGAGGATGGTAGTGTGGCTCTGTTCTCTGGTAAGCGCCATTGTGCTTCCAGCCGTGAAGCCATCGCCGCAATGAGGTTGAGCCGCGGACGGGGGGCGAATTGCGATAATTCGCTCTCGATGGCACTTCGTTTCCTCTGCGGTGAAATGAAGCAGACTCTTCATTGTTAGAATTCTTGGGAAGGAGGCCGCGCTGGGCCCGTGGCAATAGACTGATCGGGCGCCCGTCTTGTCGCGGAGGAATGCTCCGAAAGGCTAGTCGAGAGGGTTGCTACTTGAGCAAGATGGATTGCTTGCTGCTTCATGGACCTCTTCGATGCCGCTGTAACAGTCCCGACGAGCGTGAGCCCCTTCAAGGAGGAGCAAAAGGCGTACAGGAGACTTCATGTGTCGTCATCGTCATCCTTGAGATGAATTGTCGCAGAATAGTTGGATTGGGGAGTCGGGGACACCGGTGTGCCTCTCGCGGAGCGCCCTAGCTGTCCATCCGGTTGGACAGTTGGTAGATAGAATATAGTGTCTCCGTGTTGATAGCGTTGCGGAGGAACGTGAGTTCGTTATTGATCGTCTATCCCCTTGACGTATACGCCCTCGTACATCTCCCAGTTGATCTCGTTCTCCTTGAATGTCGAGAGCATTGCTCAGGATTCTTCGTGCTTCTCAGCCCCTGGGATATCGCCGTCTTTCTCGATGAACGGGTGATAGTCTTTGGCGTTGATGACGTACTCGAACTCTGCGGCTTGGTGTGAGATCTTCCGTTCTTCAGTCATAACAGCCGTGGCACTTTTGCTCCTCCGAGACGTCCTTTCTGAAGTACCCGCCCCAATCGACACTCCCACAGCAGCATCGAACGACGAGGTAGGTGAAGAACAGCGCACCGCTCCATGCCTTCCTTCAAGGCTGCCAAATGTGCTTATATCGGGTTCTTGGGAACAGAAGCACGTTGAGCGCGTGAAAAAATATTCTGATCGGACGTCTTGCTGCCAAGAGAAATGCTTCACCAGCCTTGTAGATAGGCTGGCTGGTTGAGTGAAGACATGTCGGGGTTGGCAGTGCTTCGGGGACTTGGTGTCTTCAGATCGCTACTGATTTAGCGGTCCCGACGAGAACGTTGTTTCGTACGGCGCTGTTGAGAAACGGGAAGGAAGACTCCGGTGTCGTGAAGTCCCTCGTCTGAATTCCATACTCTGACGACCCTGACCCCCGAATAGCCATCAATAAATTCGCCTGCTTTGAAGTCTGAATCCAGTAAACAGGTCCATTGAAGCTGTGAAGAAAACGGGTCTTGCACGTCAATGAGGCCGTTCCCATGGTGGTTCTCGAGGCGTTGGAAGAAGTCTTTGGGTTCGCTTTACCAAGGCGGCTCCTGGCATGGATCATCTCGGGGCCATCAATCCCTTCGTCGACAATCACCATCTCGAAGACTACCGCTTCAACTCCGGTTTTGCTGCCGCAGCTTTTCATGAGCTCCAGTCTCGCTGCTTCAAACGACCTCTTCAGGAGAGATGATGTCGCTGAAGTCTTGGGTAACCGACGTGAAGCGGCATCAGGGCCCGGGAAGACGCAGGTCATCAGCTGCTTGCTGCCAGATAAATCCTTCGACAAGATAGTCGCTGGCGGGTTGGGTTGCAGGAAGACATCGAAGACCGGATTCGGCTTTATGGTCTTCGTGTAATGGTGTTTGCAAGTTCTCTGCCGATGTAGCAGTCCCGACGAGAGTGCGTCGCCGCTCTAGAAATGGGATAGAACGCACAAGACGAGAGTGTCTTTGGACTTCAACCTCCCACTACTCATTTCTGGGAATTGTCCTTGTGTAACGAGCGTGAGCACCCATAAAAGCTGCCACGCGTCGAACTCCTGGTATGCGGCGCGAAGTTCGGCGTCCGACATGCGGGCAGAGATGAATTGGGCCGTTTGTGTTGTGACAGTGGCATCGGGCACCCAGGAACTGAAAATTGTGTGTCGCCATTCGCCGGGAGAGAGCTATCTTCTTGCTATCCACGGCTCTTGGCTGGCGTCCTGAGCTGTCTTTGGGGCCCGTGGTGGTTTATTGGTCGAGCGTCTTGCTGCCAGAAAAGTGGCTTCAAAAGGCTACCTAGTAGAGAAGGTTACTAGTTAAAGGAAGATATGAAGCGGTGCTGCGCTTCATGGGCCTCGTCGTTTGATTATGCCGCAGTAGTTGGGATGAGAGTGCGTTGCCACTGTTGAAGAACGGGAAGCAACACGCCGATGTTGCTGGCTTCCTCTCGTCTAGTTGTGCTGCTTCACACAATAATCTCAGGGGAGATGATCTCGGTAAGGTTTTGGGTGATCAGTTTGATATGGCGACACCCCTATGGAAAGCGTCGTCCTTATTCGCGCGAAGTTCACACCCGTGATGCCCAGGAACCGGTGTGTGTGGACACCCCAATGCTCAAGAAACTGGCAAATGTGCGTCGCCATTCGCTGGGAGCGGATGCGTTTGTCTCTGGCGCTTTGGTTTTGCGCGATCCAGAGCATGCAGCTTTTCACCCACGTCAAGGACGCCGGTGGATGTCGGTATACATGCCGCCCAGCACGTATGAGTCCTCCAGTGTGAGGACTACATGGGGGTGAGACTCGTCCTCTGATGGTCGACGTCTCTTGGCCGGTTTCAGAGATGCCTTTGAGGCCCGGGGAGGTTGTATAACGTGTTATAATGGATTGGGATTGAGAACCATTCAGGTCTTGAATCAGCCGTGGTGTCGACGCAAGCATAGTAAGCGCGCAGATGAATTTGCAAGGCGCTGGGTCTTGCGGTATCCGGTCTTGGTTATGTATACTTGAAGTTGTGCCTCTCTTGTCAAAGACGTCTCTTGGTCTCCCTCTGTGCTTTGAGCCCGTCGTTAGGAGTCGTGGTTGTTTCTGCCTCGTGTTGCAATGGATGGGGATAGAGTACCATGTATGCTTCATCGGATTCATTCTCCATGAACTTGACAAACTCCTTGGTTCCCGTAAAGCTGTGCGTGACACGATGTGAGGGAGCCGCTGATGGCGTCTGGTAGAACACGTGGATGTCGAGTCTGTCGCTGTACATCCTGGAAATCTCCTTGAAGGTCTGATCCAGGGTTGATGCAGGATACGAGTACACACACGGCCAGTACTGGGCCTCATGTCTCGGATCGTCGGCGTGGAGTTCATATGTTTTTGCGAGTGATGATCTCGCACATTGCGTACAGCATTGTGTGTGTTTTGCCGATTCCGCATTCGTTTGCGAAGATACCGCCATAGGTTGGATGATTCAAAGAACGATCAACGATCCAATTCATGTCGTGCAGACCGAAGACTGTGACGTCGGCATTTTGGTCCCGGGCCCGAGTTATACTTCATCCAACGCGACGTGTTCCTGGCCACCACTTTCTTGTCAACGACGTCTCTTGGTTTCCTTGTGTTTTCTGAGCCACAGTTGGAGGCCATGGTGGTGTGTGCCTCGGAATCGAGGACCGTTGACTGGTGATCTCATTCATGAGTTCAACGCGAACCCTGAGGACACTCATGTTACCACTCTGGTCTCGGGCCCGAGTTGTGCTTTACCCAGTACGACGTGTCCTTGAGGCAGCGATGTTCCTGTTGACAAGGGCATCTCTTGGCTTCGGCGCTGGTCATGCGGGCCAAGTAGGGAGGCGTTCCTCAGAGCGGCCCGGTTGATCTTTGGCTTATTCTGCCGCTCTACGTCCTCAGAGCTTCCCTCATGTGCCTTAACGCCAGACATAGTCGATCTAGTGGTCCCCGGCAAGGAGGTTGGCGAAGGCCATCCACGCATCTTGTCGAAGCTTCTCCGGGGTTACCAGGACGACGGATGGGAGCGGCAACAAGGTAATGAACTGGTACTGGTCCCACGTAGTAACTGAGAGACTTGCCCTGCTCATCGATATGACCCTTGATCGCCGCAACACGTGCTGGGTCAAGCACCACCTCCACTGTCCGGTTCTCGATGGGTGGCATGTCCTTTCTAGGATTAGTTGTCTTGCCATTGGGCAGATTCAGAAGCGTGACAATGCCTCTTTTGATCTGACGCTCCGATAAAACGACCTTCAGCACAGTGGAAGTAAAGTTGACAGACCAATAAGACGTCACGCCGAGTTCGCGAAAGTGCTTCGGGTGCAAGAGGTACATGGGTTTTCTAGCCTCTATAACGTCGACACACTCCATCTGGCGGCAAAAAGACTCGGGAGAAGGACCGTTTGTCTCATGCAACGTGTCGCATTGGATTGGTATTGACAACCACTGTCTGATGGCCTCAGTCATGGGCTCAACGCGAACCCAAAGGAAACTTATGTTGGCAGTTATCTCTCGGGCCCGGGTGGAAATTCATCATGCCGAGGTGCTCCTGATGTTCGTGAATCGGTTGTGGACAAAAAAGGATCTCCGGAACGTTGACTCTCGCATCCGCAATGCGTGTAGATAAGCGGGGGCATGTGTATAGCGGCATGTGTCCAGGAACTGGCAGATAGGAGTTATCGTGCGCCCGAAGGACGTGGCGTCTTCCTCATCAAAGAAGTTCTCCGTCTCCGGTCCGCATCGTTCCTGACTGGAGGCAGTCACTGGATTGCGAGCAGTTGATGTGTGCTGGAATAGAGTGTCAATTGTCGTTCGGCTTAGTTGTGAATTCCAGACAAAACCCGAAGACACTTGGGAACCAGATCATGCATCTTGTCCTGGGCCCGAGCTGCATTTCGGTAATTGTAAGGTGTGTCCTTCGGTCCTGACGCGCTTGTTATTGAGGATGTCGCGGCTTCCCGGAATGTTTCAACTGCCAACTGAGTCGGGCTCTGCATTGGCGCTGAGTGTCATTGATCAGTCGCCTCGTCTATTTCTTCGTCCTCAAACCCGAAGAGGATCATGTCGGTGATCCGCAGTCATGGGCCCAAGATGTTCACGCTGACGGGCGTAGTGTTTTTGGTCGAGACGACGATGGCGTTTCTTCGTGTCTCGGTGTCATTCGAGCCGCCATGGGTCGTACTGAGGGATATAGTCATGCGTCCTTGATCGGTGGCCTCATTTACTAGTTGGCATCCAGCTCGTAGGCTTGCACCCAGTGGTGCTCGCAGTGCTTCGACCCAAACCCCGAAGACAATCAGATCTGCCACATTGGGGCTTGGGCCCGAGCCGTCCATGTCAACGGGTTTCACATCCTGGAATCCGTGTCGCTGAAGATGATGTCTCTCGGCTTCTCAGTGTGCTTTAAGTTGTCGTGGGTCGTACGTACTCAACGCGGGGGCCTTTGGCGGCGGGTCGAGCACCGAGGAGGGGCAAGTGCGAGGTCGCACAATGTGGTCATCGTACTGTTCAGAACATTGGAGGCAGCATCTCTTCTCGCTATTGCGAATCGTAGTCAGGAGTGAGATTGAGTGCGAGGGATGGGTGGCCTCATTCGTGACCTCGACCCGAACCACCGGCGGTGGTAGTGTTCCGGGTCACTCTGTATGGTTTGGAAGTACTCCAGGGGCCGTCCAATCGGTAAGAGACGCCTATTTCGAGTCTCTGCATTTGCGGAATGAGGCCTGCTACGTGTGCCGCAGTGCGCTTGGTGGCGGGAGGATCATTCTGGAACGTCGTCATGTCAAATACGCCGGGGTGTCCGACAGGGAGGCTCGGATTGAACGGGTAGGTCCGGTTCTTGAAGTTCGAGATTGCAAGCCTGCAGGCTTTCTTCCTCAGCTTGTTGCCATCGCTGAGTAGGTAATCTCGGGCGGTGTTCAGCTGGACTATCGACAGAAATGCCTCTGCGGGGTCGGCGGCCCGAGTTGACGTTTTAATCAGGGTGACGGTGTTTTGAAGCTATCCTGAAAGCTTTCTGGCTATCTCTTCCGGTGTTCTCGTCCGCCTTTTCTGGGACTGTCACCCCAAGGGCGGCGCGTGCTGGTGATATTCAGAGGTCATGATGATGTTTAGGGCCCAGGCTATCCGTGTTGAGAGATGTAGTGTTTTAATACAGGCAGAGTGTTTTTGATGATGTCTCTTGGCTTTTCAGTGTGCTGCAAGTCGCGATGAGTGTCCAGAGGTGAGGTCTTTGTGCTCGTCACCCACCCGCGAGGGTATGCGCATCGGTGGTGTCGTCCCGGGCCCGGGCTGTCCATGAAGGAGGTTGAGATATTCCTCCAAATAGTTCTTCTTCGGGTCAGGTGGGTATGTAGATGTCGTCCAGCCTACGCGCTGGGGACATCGCCATCCTGTAGTGTGGCGGTGATAGTGCTCGAGGCAGCTCTCCATCAGGATGTGTACTCATTGGGTATGGTGAGATGATATCAATGACCATATCATAAGGGTGGCTGCATTGCATTGCGCGGCATATTGCATTTACATTTGTAGCTCGCCATCGGCTGATATTGCTAGTCTCCTGCAACGATTATTCACAGCTCCTTATGGTTGTTCTCGATTCCAGCGTTGAGGTCTTAGCAACCTGGAGCGGTTTCCGCCTTTTTGACCATTGTAACAAACCAAATGCTGTCATCTGGCAAGAGACTTTCGCTCTCGGACGCTGTGACACCACTCCTCGAGAGTCTTGATGGTACAGGAAGCTTCGTCAAAGTTAGCAACTGTCCGAGATGGGATGTGATGTCTGCGAGGATTGTGGATGATGTGTGCGTACCTATTGGCCGAAGCCCTGGTATTTTACGTCTTCAGCCCATGTGCTCGGGCGACGTCTCATCGAACCCGAACTCAATCAACAGGTCCATCAAGTCCTGCCTCTGATGCGTCACCTTGGCCATGTGCCACGCACATGGGTAGTACCCGCTAGGATCCCAGGTAAAGGGACTCGCGCCGTGCTCGAGTAGCAACCTGATGGCCTCGACATTCGGGACGGGCAGGTTGAGATGGTGGAGCAATGGAAACGACCTCCGTCGCGTCCGGCCAATGCGCCACTGCATGGCGCGGGTGTTCACCAGCTCCTCGAACCCGCCTTCGAGGAGAAGCCGCATGATGTCGGGGCGCTGCGCGTAGAAAAGTATGTTGTCGTTATTGAGGAGAAACTCTTCCCGCGAGGCGTCGCAGACCTGGAGGAGGTAGGATACCACGGTAGCATGGCCGTTCTGCGTGGCGATCTGCAGCGGCGTCCTGAAGTCTGGTATGCCGTAATTGGCCCACAACATGGGCTCGTTCGGATCCGCCCCGTGAGCCACGGATTTCTTCACCGTCTCGAGGACCCCTTGGATGGCGCCCCAGAAGAGGGCTTGGGCGCCTTTATCGTGGCGCATGTGCGGGCCTTTGAGAACGTCGCGGCGATAGAGGGCCCAACCGACGGCGATGGAGAATTTCCGGGAGCAGAGACAGAGTTGGCGGGCGTGGTAGGATGGGAGGATGAGGCCGATTTCCGTAAGAAGCTCGGGTGCGAGGTCGTTGATTGACGTGGTTTTCTTGCTGGGGAGGAGCCCGGAAGTTGGTGAGTTGGGTATATTCATTTTGAAAAGGTTTGCCCGCGGATGATTGACTGGTACTAGGTTTGGTTTTGAAAGCTTGGCCGGTGATGATCGTTGAAGACTCGAACGAAAGAGCGTCGCTCCTCTTGTTAATGGTGATTCTAGAAGTCTGGTGGTGAACGAAAGGGCCCGGCTTAATTCGACTATATTGTTCTGGTGACTGTAGTTTTGACGGCCGTGTCCAACATCAGACGACGAAGATGGTGATTTGGCAAAGATAAGAGAACGATCTGAGGTCCAATGGAGAAAGGGAATAAACCCTCTGGTTTGATAAGCCTCCAGGCACCCGTGGCAGCTGATCGCCTCAGTCTCTCAAGGTCGAGACCTTGATGAGGCTGGTGTGTCAGACCAAAACAGCATGTTGGCGTGTGGGGTGCCCTGTCATCTTAAGTCCCCATGAAGAATAACAGGCGAGAAAAATTGAAAGGCAACGAGAATAGTAATAGTGATAACAACGGCAAAGATCAAAGCGACGGCGACGACTCGTGAATGAGCCAGCTCTCCACCTTCAATATTGTATGCTGAGAATCGGGTACATCCTCTAGAGACGGAGGACTTCCGGGTGCATGTATCAAAGTTAGATGACTGAACGGAGATACGGCGTAGAATGTCTGCGGCATCTTGGAGAGCAGATGGGGCCATCGCCCGTCTTCCCCAGATGTCCCCCCCATTGAATGCACGATGATTGAGTAGGAGTGAGGGAAAAGGACGGCAAAGCACTCAACTAATATAGATCCAGACATGTGGTGGGGCTACACGCCGTTGTCCTTGTCTTTGTGGTAAGGACAGTAGATTTGTGTACATATCCAGGAGCTGCTGGTTCAAACGATGCTGGCATGCTCCCAGCATCAAGCATTCGGATTTCCCACAGACAGCCACCGCATGGCGAAATAACATGGAAAAGCAGGCAACCGATGCGCTTACACGACAGCATCAAACGGCAGGTAATCAACCGGGCAAATAGTCCCCTCCTCAGGCAACTCCCCAAAAACCAAATACTGTCGCACATGAGAGACGGTGCATCGGCTAGGCGCGTTGGTGGAACAATGCCCGACGGAATCCTGCTGCAGCAATCTCGCCCCCTCAAACAACGGCACATTCATCTTTGTGCCCTCCAGCGGCGCCACGGGATCCAGCGTGTTTCCGATGAAGAGCATCGGCACCTTCGTTTTCCCTCCAAACGGCCCGGCAAAGCGCCATTTCGGCCGCACGGGATATCCGACGCAGGGAAGCTTTGATGTCGTCGCAAACATGCTGCCGAATAGCGGGCTTTGTTCCTGCAAGCTCTGGACCCAGGGGATTATCTGTGCTTTGGTGAGGTTGCGGAAGTCGAGGCCGTCGGGGCAGTACACGCCGAAGTTGATCTCGCTCCAGAAGCCCTCATGAATACCTTCGCCGACGCAGTCAGGTGTCTCGCAGTCGCTTGTCGAGGTATGGATCTTGCGAGAAGGAAGCATGTCGACGGCGGCGGGTGTGACGGTCCCGTTGAGCAAAGCTGAAATTGTTTCTGCTAGTTTGACCCAGCTTCTGTCGCGGTAGGGCCGGTATAACGTGCCGAAGATGCCCTCAATGAGCGTGTCTTTGGTGAACAGCTCGGGAAATGGCATTCCATCCTCCATGACGGAAATCGGATCGTGCTCGAGAGATTCCAATAGGTCGTGAACAGACTTCTGCATGGATTCTGCGCCTTCTGAGCTATACAGCGCGCATCGTTCAGCTCCAGCTGCGTGGCAGAGGTTGAAGAACTCGCGCCACTCTGTTTCCGTGTCAATGAGGAAGCTTTTGAACTCGCCAGAGGCGCTGTCAACCCAGTCGCCGCATCCGTCTACAACCATCCGTCCTACCCTGTCGGGATACAAGCTCGCGAAGGTGCCGCCCAGAAACGCGCCGTAACTGAAGCCCTGTGATTTCGTAAGTCATTGATCGGATTTTCGGGGCCGAATACTACTTACCCAGTATTGCAATAGCTCCTTGCCTGGTCGATATTGTAACGAGTCCGGCAATTCGGATCGTGCAGCTCCATTCAAGGCTTCTCGTACCCTTCGCTCTCTTGCTTCCCCAGCTTTCTCAACCATCGCAAGCATATCGCGTGCCACAAAAGGAGTGGTAACCGTGCTCAGTGCCAAAGACCTCTCGGAATCAGGACTGCCTGTGTCGCACAGCTTCTCGAGAGACTTTGCGCGGGCCCAGAGAAGGTCGAATGTTGGGCCAGACACATCGATATTGCCGTACGCGCTGCCCAGCTGATGCCAAAGTTGCCGATTAACCAAATCATCGAAGCAAGATATCCTCGGCGTCGAGAACCCCACTCCACGCGGATCAAATGACACCAGATCGAACACCTTGCCCTCGGGATCGTCGCCATTGATGGTTGTGACAAGATGGTCGTTTGATCTGCCAGACAAGAAAGTCACCCCCTGTGCTCCGGGGCCACCTTGTCGCGTGTGAGATCTCTAACAGTGCGGCTTTGGTGGTCGGAGGAACTTACCTGGGTTGAGATAGACTTCGCCGCCGTAGCGAGGGTCTAGGATAGAGACATTAGCGGGCTGCTTGACCATCGCGATGGCGAATTCGTGGTCTCGTTGGGTTTCTTCCGGAGCGGTCCAGTCCATGGGGAGGAGAAGTCTGGCGCATTGGAACTTCTTGTAGCAGGGCACGTAGTCGAGGTCTCTTGATGGTGCTAGTGATTCCCAGTCGAAGTAGTTGTCGTCGTTTTGTTGAAACGATGACGCAGATCCCGCGTTGCTCAAGCGGTTGAGAGGCGACGATTTCCATGCGGAGATCTTGCGCCCAGTCACGAAGAGAATGGCTGCGACACCAAGGAGAGCAACGAATCTAGCCCGCCGGAGGCCATTCGTTTGGCGATAACTCTCGGGCAATTCAATCAGCAGCTCCTTCATGACTCTGAAACCGCACATGTATGCTGGTGGGATTGTTGGATAGCCGAAGTCGTGACAGGGTCGAACACCGTCATGTTTATGAAGTCGTCAGCAAATGAACAAATGCAATACGCCGCGCAATACAATATAGCTACCCTTATAATCTAGCTATTAATATTATCTCGCTATACCTAATGAGTATATATTTAATATTTAATATTCTAAAAGAATAAAACTCTATCCTAATAAGCTTCCTAGCGTACTTAGTAGCATATAAATAGCCTCACTAAATGCAATACGCCGCGCAATATAATATAGCTACCCTTATAATCTAGCTATTAATATTATCTCACTATACCTAATAAGTATATATTTAATATTTAATATTCTAAAAGAATAAAACTCTATCCTAATAAGCTTTTTAGTATACTTAGTAGTATATAAATAGCCTTACTCTTAAGGTTAGAGGGGGTAAGACCTTAATAAGGGATATTAGTCTATAAGAGACTATCCCTTCTACTAAGACTATACTATAACCCTTATCCTTCTATCCCCTATTCTATCCTCTTAAAATATTATTCTATATCCCTAGCTTTATAATAGCCTTTATTAATATTCTCTTTAGAGTAATTACTACCTCTAACCCTCTTTAGTCCCTTAATATTATTAAGAATAATATCCCCTTTTATTTAGACTATATTGATAAGACTCTATTTATATATTATATTAATAAAAATAGTATAATAAATACTATTTTTTTAAAGAAATAGATAATTTAGTAATAATATATAAGTTATATAATATTATAATAGTATTTAAACTTACTTATAGCTTAAATAGTAGTTAGAATAAAGAATAAGCTATTATTAATTCTTAATATATTATAATATAGTAAGCTATATAATAATATAGGGATTAGCCTACTTAATATCTTAATAATAATAGGATAATATATAGAGGTACTAATTAGAATCTAAATATATTAAATATAAAGTTAGTAGTTTTAAATATACTAAGTATAATTTATTATAGCTAGCTAACTAACAGTGGGTTTATATTAGCAGTAAGTTAGGGATTAAGAACTATAAATAGTAATCAGTCGTTTTATAGGTCTAGTTGAGTAATTATAGGTCTTTAAAGGTCTTAGTAATTAGTTAAGGCCTTAATAAGATTTATAGAGTAATTATTACTTAGGTATAGCTAAAAGTATTATAAGTAATAATTATAAGTTAATTACTAAAGAGCTATAGAAGTTTGTCCTTGAGCTAAGCTTAAGTCCATCCTATATATAAGTCCTTTTCCTAATATATGCTCTTTATACCTTAGGTTGAGCTGGATCATTCTGATTGAGAATGATCGTTTAGCCCCTAAGTCTATCTGGATCATTTTGATCCCAAATGATCCTTATCTTATCGTTACGTGACTTACACCATAGTTCTTCCCTTCTGAGGATCCCTGACCGTCCTTGTGTCACTGGGTTACATATATCCACGTTAGCCGCCGAGAGCCTGGCGGGGTTGTGTTGGTAGCTAAGCCCAACGGGTCGTAACAAACTCTTAACCCTCTTTAATCCCTTAATATTATTAAAAATAATATCCCCTTTTATTTAAACTATATTAATAAGACTTTATTTATATATTATATTAATAAGAATATTATAATAAATACTATCTTTTTAAAGAAATAAATAATTTAGTAATAATATATAGATTATATAATGCTATAATAATATCTAAACTTATTTATAACTTAAATAGTAATTAAAATAGAGAATAATCTACTATTAATTCTTAATATATTATAATATAATAAGCTATATAATAATATAGGGATTAGCCTACTTAATATCTTAGTAATAGTGGGATAGCGTATAGAGGTACTAGTTAGGATCTAGACGTATTAGATATAAGGTTAGTAGTTTTAGATATATTAGGTATAATTAGGCTTAAATTAATCCTTATTATTAAATAATAGCGCTAATATAGGAAAGGTAACACATAATGAAGTCGTTAGATTTGAAGTGACGTTTATAACTGAGGAACTTTTGGTAGGATTGAAGCAGCCAATTGAAGACGCGTCGGACATTCGTCAAGCCGTGACGTGAGCACAACGTGGATGACAGGGACTTCTTTCCTGATCGGGCAAGATGACCTAACACGTCTTGAAACTGGTAGTCTTTTGAAGATTTCTAATTTTCGTTTGCGAGTTTTTTGAATTAATATTCGCGGCTGCCGCGCGCGCTCCTCTGCGTTGCCGTCTCTCCCCTTTTTAAATAAATGGTACTATCACCTTCTAAATATCCATCTTTGTAGTCACGCCTTCACGTCTATTACTGCCATCGTCAATTCTGTCCCCGCTGCTATTGGTGTCTTCATGACTCTTGGTATCACTTTTGCTGTCGTTTCCGTAGCTGCCCGTGGCCGTCAATTTTCGTTTATTCGCAGCCAAACACCGAATGTGTTCTCCCTTAAAATATTTATAGATTTCGATACATGTATCTACCATGAATCTCACATCTAAAGGGTGTATCGGAAGGCAGCTAGCTTCTCAATTACATACAAGCCCTTCTCGGCCTGAGCGTTGCGTACCCAAAAGTATGCTGTCAGTATCGCCGTGGTTCCAATTATGACACCATTTGCACTGTAATCCGTCAGTCTCCTCATGTTCAATCCGGCAGGCGACTCAAACTCACGTCAGGCAGGCATATATCCCAGCCAAATACTTCGGTGCATCCTGAGCCCTGAAGACGAGCGACCCAGCCACGCCTCCAGTGCCACCAAAGCTGATCATACTTGCGCTACAGAATGCCCTCTTCCAAGGTCCTCTGATGTTGTTTGCCTGGTATACCATCACGGCTGGTAAGTTGGCACTACTCCCTGCTGTGACGAGAATGGCCCCAAGATACTGGACGCCAGGAATTATTGACCAGCACATGAGACTGATACCCGTGGTGGCAATGAGGGCATTGAAGACCAAAAACGGGGCTCGGAGTCGGACGCGATCAGACAGAAGTCCTTCGAAGAACATCAATATCATTGCCGCGACGTAAGGTGGCGTGCTCAAGGCCTGGGCGACTGGGACTGAGAAGCCAATTTCTTTCTCAAGGATTATGGGCAGGTAGAACCCGACCGAGTAGGCTTGTATTGTGGAACAACTAGTGCAAGTTAGAAGATCCGCTTGTAATACGAAGACAATGGCGGGATTTCTGACAAGAATAACAGTGCAAACAACCAGACTTTGAAGTCGAGCGCAGGTCGTAGGAACCTCCTTAGCACGAATTTCTCTGGCTCGCCATCCTGTCTGTCTCGATTGATTCTCCTCACCACAAACTGGCATTCCTTTTCAGTGAGGAATTTGAACGATTTGTAGGCGGTTTCGGGGAAGTCGACCATGAAGATGAAACCTAAGAGGCCGATGAGGCAGGTGATGATGCCTGGAGTGCGTGGCGTTAGCTCATATCTGTAAGGACTTGTGCCATGACTGACCTTCCATGATGAAAATCCACCTGTTGTTTGGGTGAAAAGGTCAATTACTTTCTAGGGTTACGCGGGATCAGATGAATCCTACCTCCATCCCTTGTAGTTGGCTAATCCGCTCATCTGAGAAAATAGTAGACCTAGCACGCCTCCAAGGGCCGATCCGACTACACCTATGAGGTAGAATACGGACGTTCTCTTGTGAAGGTCGACTGGGATGAATTAAGCACCGAGATAAGTCAAAGGAATCTGTAATTTATTGCAACTTACATCGAGAATACCACGAGGATATCAGATAATACTGAGACGGGAAGCACCCAGCCTCCAGAGCCCCAAGGATCATGCGCAGGCCAATCAAGGTCTTCCAGTCTCGAGCGAATCCAAAACACTAATCCAAGTAAGCAGCACTCCGCGGAATTATAGAAGTGGAGTTGCGGTACAATCATGACGATGCCCCATGCGAAAACGATGGACGATAGAAACACGCGAGGTCCCAACTTGCGCACGACCATTGCCGCCGGGAACTGGAAGAGTACATATGGACCGAAGAAAACGAGAAGTGTGATGGACTACATAGTTTAGCGGTCAGTTGACGTGTCTGAGAAACAGACAATCCAGAGCTTACGTAGCGGCTGCCTTTCCCTAGCTGCAACTCGTTTGTCATTCTTCTCATGGATCAGCTCTCATACTATACAATATCAGGGTAGGTGACGAAAACTACCCAGCAATCGCGGCGTTGGACATATTTGCTCGATCTAGGAATGAAACGGCTTGCATCAGACCTAGCACAGTGAGAAGTCTCCTGTCAATTTTGTGGATTATTTTCCGCTGTTGTGGAAGCGTATATGCTTCGTCGTCGTTGACGTCTGGCTGGGCCAATCCCGGTTTGTCGACATCTTCATACAGATCGGCTTCGCCAGCTGGACCATTCCGCTTCCTAGTAACTTCGAGGGCGTGTTCCGGCATGTTGCGTATTGCTTTTGGTCATGTAAAAGAACTTCTCGGAGAAGATGCGTTGCAAGCGGGACTAAGAACAAAACGGAGTCAAAGATGAGACAAGAGTAGTATTTCTCGAGATATTCATGCCAGCCGGGCCGAACGTTGGACTAAAGCTTTCTTCGATGTCTCCTATCGGCTGTTGTCATCTTCCCCGCAGTCGTTTCCCCATGGGGTTAATAGGACCTTGATATTTGTTGCATTGACGTCTTGATAGCCATGCATGTTAATGGAGGAAATCGGCAAAGCCAGGATGGATGTGTTAATGTACCGTAGTCTCCAATCAACCTTCATTCTCGCAGCAGGACCGGCAATCACAGTTGCGGCAAAGATCGTCTGTTCCACAAAGCTGCATATGCCATAGAAATTACTGTTTTGCTGTTCCAGGGGAGCAGATGACATGGGGGAGTTGGGCGGTTGTCATGTGCGGATGTCGCCGGATCTCGGTTATCCCACTTAGGTCTGCCGAACGGCCGTATCGAGGCTCCATACCGGAAGATGGGGTCTCAAAAGACCGGCGCGACAGCCGACTCCGGAACACGAAACTCAAAAACTTCCCGACTCATGAAAATATCCTTCCAAAACTTAGCACAGCTAAGTTCCGGTTGGTAAGACGTATTCTTTTCAACATGGCGGAACCATCTTTCGACGACGACGACGATTTCCAGGATGCCGATAGAGGGTTCATTGCTGCTCTTGAACCAGGTGTAATCAGGAAGACGAACGGAGATGTCGTGTGGAACATTGACGAGTTCAACTTCCTTCGGGAAGACTGCCCGGAGACGGCCCATCCGTACCTTTGGCGGCAAGGTTTGCTCAATTCTAAGCAGGGACTCTATGAAATTGTGCCTAGCATTTACCAGATCAGAGCCTTTGACTTGTCGAACATGACGATTGTCGAAGGTGACAAAGGGATTATCATCATCGATCCTTTGATCTCTTGCGAGTGTGCAGCAGCCGGGCTGGCCATATATCAGAACCATCGTGGCTCCTCCCGTCCCATCACTGCTATGCTGTACAGTCATTCTCACGGCGACCACTACGTATGTGTCAAAAGCACTTCAGAATGAATGGATCATTACTGACGTGAATACAAGATGGGCGCCGCAGGGGTACTCCCCAACAACCCAGACCCCACGATCCCTATCATCGCTCCTGATGGCTTCATGGAGGCAGTCCTGAGCGAAAGCATGATTGCGGGCCCTGCTATGCGTCAACGTGGTGCGTACATGTACGGCCGTGGGCTCGAGCGAGGGCCAAAAGGCCATATTGGGACCGGACTGGGAATGGCCTCCAGCACGGGAACCACCTCGCTGATACCGCCAAATCTGCTTATCAAGGAGACCGGCGAGGAGCATGTTATCGACGGCGTGCGAATGGTATTCCAAATGGTACCAGGAACTGAAGCTCCGGCCGAAATCAACTTCTTCTTCCCAGACTTCAAGGCTCTATGCATCCCGGAAACAGCAACTAACTGCATGCATAACATCGTGAGTAACCGTAACCCCTAGGCTCGTGTATTGAAAAAATGCTTAATCTTGTCTAGGTGACCCTCAGAGGCGCGCAAGTTCGCGATGCAAAGGCTTGGTCTCGATATCTAGACGAGGCAATTGTCATGTTCGGATACGGCTCCGACGTCGTATTTGGCAGTCATAACTGGCCAACCTTTGGACAGAAGGAACTCATCGTCCGTCTTTCTCAGCAAAGGGATATGTACGGGTACTTACATGACCAAACGGTGCGGCTGATGAACACCGGCCTAACCGGCATCGAGATCGCCGAGAAGCTTGTCCTTCCTCCCAACATATCCAAGGCATGGCATTGCCGGGGCTTCTACGGATCTCTGTCCCACAACGTAAAGGTGTGCCTGGTTCTCCCATCAGAGATTGACATCGTCTAATGGCACGGCAGGGTATTTATCAGAGGTACATGACCTGGTTTGACGGCGATCCATCTCACCTGTGGCAATACCCACCAAAAGAAGAGGGTGCGCGGTACATCGACTGCCTCGGTGGCCTGGATGCACTCTGCGACAAAGCGGAAGGATATATCAAAGCCGGAGACTCTCGTTTCGCAGCGACCCTTCTCGGCCACGCGAAGGCGGCACACCCATCGTATGAAAGATCGAGATTGTTGCTCGCCACAGCCTACGAGAACCTCGGGTACGGCTCTGAGAATGCGACTTGGAGAAACTTCTACCTCGTTGCGGCAAAGGAACTCCGAACCGGAAAGGGACCTGGCTTGCTAGGTGGCGGGCGTACGCCGTTGGGGGCGAGTCTGACGGTCGAACAGTGGTTCGACATCCTCTCAGTACAGATTGACGGAGAAAAGGCGGCAGCACAGGATCTCGAATTCACGATTGACTTCGACATTGTGGATATTGAAGAGAAGTGGAGGTTGATAGTCAGCAACGGGGTTCTAGTGTATCGCGATGTGAACAAGCACTCCAACAACTCGCGGGAGGAGGCAGATCTGGTGATAGGCCTCAAGAAGATTGAACTTCTGGATGTCTTAAGAGGGAATGATGTTCAGTTTGTGGTAGTTGAGGGAAACGTCGAAGCGCTGCGACTGCTTGTCAGTCTGATTATCGTAGCTGAAGGTGATAAGCGGGGCCCAAGTCAAATCTAAGAGTTGTTTTGAATCAGGTTCAATGTGTAGCCTCCTAACGTGCCTGTCTTTTTTGATGCATATCCACTGACATAGGATTTATATGGCTAGGCTGACCCATTACAGTCTTTAAATCCTGTTATGGTCTATCGCCTCCAGCCGTCATAATTATTTCGAATAGTGTCTTCAATCTGGGAATTGGTTCATTCCACTCCTTTGGTTCGGAATGGAGTTTGCCTTGATTACCTGTTCATCAAAAGCTCGCAGGATGTTGCAGGTATTGCGGCTTCCTATGTTTGCATAGGACCCGAAAGCACGTGGAAATAGCGAGGAGGCGAGAGCTGAACCAGTCGGGCTGCAGGGTCATGTATGGAACCGGTTATTTGTAACTGCGAAGGGTTCTCTTGAGGCGGTCCGGCAAATGTCAGAAATGGCACTTACCCCGTATTCTACCGCCGGCTAAATCGCCCGATCCAGGTCCTCGGGGCGCATTTGTGGCACGGGGCGTGGAGAAACCGGTAGTTTCATGCGGGTTGGAAGCTCCGAACTTCTATTCAGGGTCAATATGCGCCACCGGGAGTCGAGGTTGCTCTCAGCTGACTGCCAGCACTGGATGTCGGCCTAACTCGCGAAGCTTCACGCTCACGAGCATAGGTAACTGAAGATCTTGTTTGACTAGGTCCCAATGCACTGATTAAGCGTCCCAAAAGTTCTTTGTGGCAGTGTAACCAATATAATTACAGACCAAGGGAGAAAGTTTCCATTTCATCTGATGATTGTATGGTACGTGGCTGTATCTAATCGACTGTAGTACATGATGATTAAACTCATGTGCCATCCCGAGAAAGGTGCCAAGATCCAGGTTACGGCTGAAAGGAAACGAGAATAAAGAGTTACATTGCGTTTCTAGGTGCAACCCAACCAGAAACCTCATTGGAAACAAGCAACCAACAGATGCTCGCCGTTAAATGAAAGAAGAGCGCCCAGAAAATGGTTGCAATCTGATTGGACGTACCAAACTTGAATATGACATCCGTTACTTCAACTAACTGCCTGGCGGACAACGTCTAGAGCCCGCGGTACACCATTCAAGTCTAGTGATGAGTGATGTGTAAGTTCATCGGGTGACAAACAATATAAGTTGGTCTGTTTTCCCCGCTCTGAGACCCAAAAACAACAACTTTTGGAACCGGCATTGGTGTTTCATTTGGCACGATGGTTGCTTTCTCTTCTCTCTTTGTGGTTCTCGCAGCCGCTGTTGGGGCCTTTGCCCTTCCCGGCGAGTTGATCAAGCGCCAGTCAACTCCAAGTTCTACTGGTACTCACAACGGGTACTACTATTCTTGGTGGACCGATGGCGGCTCTCCAGTCACTTACACGAACCTCGAAGGAGGGAAGTACAGCGTGGTCTGGCAGAGTGGCGGCAACTTCGTGGGTGGAAAGGGATGGAACCCAGGTGGTCCCAGGTATGTTCACCTAGCTTGGAATACACAGCCACTATCATGTGCTAACACTTCTCAAAAGAACCATCACGTACTCAGGTACCTACAGTCCCAATGGTAACAGCTACCTTGCCGTGTACGGCTGGACCAGAAACCCCCTCATCGAGGTAGAGTTATCTGTAGAGAAACGGACCGCAACAATAACTGATAAGAATCACAGTACTATGTCGTTGAGAACTTCGGCACCTACAATCCGAGCTCTGGTGCAACGAGAAAGGGATCCGTGACGAGCGACGGCGGGACCTACGACATTTATGTCAGTACCCGAACTAATGCCCCGTCCATTGAGGGCACCAGAACGTTCCAGCAGTACTGGAGTGTCAGACAAAGCAAGCGTACCGGCGGAACTGTCACCACTGGCAACCACTTCAATGCCTGGGCTTCGGTTGGATTGAACCTCGGATCTCACGACTACATGATTGTTGCTACGGAGGGATACTTCAGCAGCGGCTCTGCTACCATCACCGTCGGCGGCTCTGACGGTGGCGGCGGTACCAGTCCACCCCCAACCGGCAACCCTCCTCCCAGCAGCGGAGGCGGAAGCGTAAGATACGCCCCATCATTCCTTAACATAAGTATCCATCACTGACTCTTGTCTCCCTCGAATTTCAGTGCGCTGCCAAGTACGGCCAGTGTGGTGGCTCTGGATGGAGCGGATCTACCTGCTGCGCGTCTGGTTCTACTTGCCAGGCAGCGAACCAGTGGTACTCGCAGTGTCTCTAAGCAGATACCTGCGAAGGGCACATTCTTTTACTGTGGATCTTCACGGAAGTCTATTTGGAGTGACTTCAGGTATTATTCTGAGCACTGTCATTGTCAAATAGGCTTCCTCTAGTGGTTTCTTTGGAAGTAACATTCTTTGTAAATAGTTTGAACAATTGCGCACGAGTACATATGGCAAACCAAAATGTCCTATATTCGATGAATATTCTGTGATTTCCGGGTTGAGATGGCAGCTTTCGGAGTAGGGGCCTGCGACGCCCGAACCTGGTCCCATCCAAGTGCATTTGTTAGCTCTGGTATACCTGATCTCCCGAGTCTCTCTGGTTTCCACGTTGTTGTCGCGGTCCTTATTGTCGTTATACTTCTTTTCGCTATTGTCCCTGTTCTCCCCCATCTTCCCTCGTTTATTATATCACTTGAGATACTTTGTAACTATTCCGGGCATGGACCCACTATACCGGGGCCTAGGATCGGAACCGGCCCCGCACCTCCTGATATATGGGGCCGGTCTCGGCCCGCGAATCTTAGGGGGGCATGTTTCTTTTGGTGCGGTATTCCTCGGGGTGAGCTTCACCCGAAAAGCGTAAGATTCTAAATAAGTTTGCACTAGAATGAGCAACTTCAATACCCTTTTTGAAAGACAGTCTTTCCAGCCTAGGATGTTTTGTTGCTCAATCACCGACCACCGTTCATTTCCGTAACCTATTTTGCCGCCGGTTGAAGACTGACTAGCAATGATTAATTCTTCAAAAGACAGCGGGTCTACTCCAAGTACGTGAGAACTCTTTTGCTTTGCTTGTTGGCTTCTGTCTGGCAGGATGATCAACAGCGGTGCAGTGATGCATAACGCCCAACACGAGGATTTGGACATCTCTGCCCTCGAGGCATAACCCACTTGAGACAGCGATGTATCGTTCTGTCGGAAAAGTCGCCGTGTCGGAAAACATTCTTCAGCAGGATTGGAAACAGGACGTCTCAAGCAACAGGGGTCGACGGCCCTACCATGGCTTTCCCGAGATTTGACACCGCGCCGGAGCACAATCCCGTTGATCTTCGGGCCAGTTTTACCTACTTGGGTCGGTTTACTAATCGGCGCCGACATAGGTCGCCGGCTTCTGCAGTCTAATACGGAAAGTACCACGCGAGAATGCGCGCCGAACTACCCAATAGTTCGAGAACGGCAATAAACACGCGACGATGAGACAATGACTCGCCGCAGGAACCACCTAACAGCCGCCTCCGCTTCCCCGGACACATCCCTGTTATTACCCCGCGATCAATTCCCGGTTTCCCCAAACTGTCCCATCTCGTCTCCACGCTGCTGCAGCTGTGTGGGGGAATTGACAGCTCTCTGCTGCCATTCCTACCATAACACCACTCCACGGTTATTCTTCCTGATTCAATACTCGAGTAGTGACAGCGGAAATCAAGGGCAGTGCTAGAGAGACCAGCAGCAAGGGTAGGTATAGAGGTAGCGAGGAGCAGTTGTCCAATGACAGGCCTGGGTTGAACCGGCGCTCTGAGATTCTAGTTCCTTCACTTGATACAAAATTATGTTAAACACTATGATGTACGGTTGCTCGGCCTTGGTTCACGGATACCTGACTTGCGAATTAGCACAAATCCGCCGATTTTATCCCATTTGGTTATCACATAACATTCTTCTAGTGCAACAAACTGAAACCATGACATGTTACCCTCATGATCCAGACTCGGGTGAACTTGCTTATTGCTCGTCTGATTTGTTTATATAAAGCTCGGATGTCAGAGTTCGAGGATCAGTTGCTGTGCTCGTCGAACAACTGGGAGTCATTTTGACTGCTATACTTTTCCCAACACTTGATATCCTAAATCATGGGTTTGCACAGCAAAGAAGATGAGGAGCCTCACCCAGGAGCTCTCCATATCGAGCACGATGCCTCGGTTACCGACGCCATCAAGGCTGTTGAGCATCGCGACCTTGAACGCATCGAAGAGACCCAGCCCGGCGCGTTTGTTTGGCTCTGTGCTGCTGCCACTGCAATCGGCGGTATGCTCTTTGGCTACGACACTGGTGTCATCTCAGGCGTTCTTGTGGTTCTCGGCACGGACCTCGACGGGAGAGAAGTCACTCATTCCGAAAAAGAGTTGATCACAGCTCTTACGGCCGCCGGGGCTTTCATCGGAGCCATCATTGCCGGTGTCACCGCGGACAAGTACGGACGAAAGCCGGCCATCTGGTTCGCGTCGGTGTTGTTCACTCTTGGCGCTCTTATCCAAGCCACGTCTTATACCGTTGCTCAGATGTCGGTCGGCCGACTGGTCATTGGCTTAGGAGTTGGCTCGGCCTCCATGGTACGCTTGACTACGGTTGTCATCCCAACTTCAAAAGCCAGTAGGACTGACTCTTATTTCTTCAGATCGTACCTCTCTACATCGCGGAAATCTCCCCCGCAAGATTCCGAGGCAGGATGATCTCAGTCGACATGATCTTCCTCGGCAGCGGATCCGTTCTTGCATATGCCTTTGCAGCTGCCTTCTACTCGACACCACATGGATGGAGATACATGGTCGGTATCGGTGGAATTCCTTCCATCATACTCGGAGTTCTGTTGTTTTGGTGTCCGGAGTCACCTCGTCAGCTGATGTTCCACGGTCGGCGCGACGAGTGTGTCAAAGTACTACGACGAATCTACCCCAAAGGAACCGAAGACGAGATTGCGGACAAGGTCACTTCAATCGAACGTGGAGTCAATCAGGCCAAGGCTCTCAACGAAGAGATATCCCTTCGGAAATCTGTCACAAGCCTTTGGACCGTTCCCGCCAACCTGCGGGCTGCTATCTGCGCCTGTGGTTTAATGGCCGCTCAGCAGCTGTGTGGGTTCAACACGCTGGTAATTACATTTTACGCCGCGTTCGACCTGTTTACAACTAACACAAATTTGTCAGATGTATTATTCCAGCACCCTGTTCGAAATAGTTGGCTTCTCAAACCCCATCGCCGTCGGAACCGTCGTCGCAGGGACGAACTTCATCTTCACGGTGCTTTCCATCTTTCTAATCGACAGGGTCGGTCGCCGCAGACTGTTGATCTGGACTATGTGGGGAATGCCCGTTTGTCTTGTCGTCGCAGCCATCGCATTCCACTGGATTCCACTCGATATCAACACGCTGAAGCTTACCACCCAGGAGGTAGGCTGGCCTGCAATTCTGGTCTTGGTCGCCATGATTATGTTCGTTGCCTTTTATGCTGCTGGTTTGGGGTGTGTTCCGTGGCAGGCCAACGAGTTCCTCCCCATGGAAGTAAGAGCGATTGGGACAACGGCGATCAACATCTTCAACTGGGGTCCCAACATCATTGTCTCTTCAACGTTCCTTTCCATGATGCGCGGTATGACACCGTCCGGAACGTTCGGGTTTTACGCCGGATTGTCGTTTCTCGGCTGGGTATTTGTCATATTCTGCTTCCCCGAAGCAGCTAATATGACTCTTGAGGAGGTGCGGGTGGTGTTTGAACATGGGTTTGGTGTTAGGTACGCGGAGGAGTGGCGGAAGCAGAGGAAGCTGGACATGCAAGCCCGGAGAGAAGGAGAGGCCGCATGAGCTGTCATGAGTGCCATCTACTCTTGTAAGACGGCATTTAGGCGCTAAGTACTCGGAGGAGCTCGACTCACCAATTCGTTGACAGCTGCATAAGACTAAAGAACATGGAGTCATTTGAAAATAGCACTTTTTTAGCTGGAAGCATCGATCTGTTATCACTGTCATTGTAAGCAGTAGGCGTTTAGAATTTGGCGATAGACTCGACTTGCGCATGAAAGATAGAAAAGACACTTCGATAAAAACGCAGGGATACATGGCAAAAGACTAAGAAGGTGACGATGTCCGACAATTTTGCATGAGGACATCGATGAAGACGTCAACGAGAGCCATAACCCGGAAAGAGAAGAGAGGTGACGCTAAGGACAAAGCGAATGGCTTAGCGTCCATCAATCTTCTGTTCGAATAAGATTGTACAAGCAGCAGATGATCAATATTTTCTTGCGGAGTTGCCGAAATGAATATGGGTATTTCCTAACAAATTCAGAAATTCTTAACTAAATGACAATGACTGTCTGGTTACGATACATGCCATTTCTGTTTCTAGAGTATTTTGTTCCGTAGTCGTAGACCTCGTAACACATGCCGATTCGTTTGTACCTCTGCTGACTTCCGAACTCAGTGCCGATTGGGACGAGTAACAAGCCAAAGTCAAGAGTGTTTTTCCCCTGTTTGGGCAAGTGCACCAGAGATGCGCGAACAATATCCCTCGGAGGCGCTTCTGTCCTGTCTAGGAACCATCGGACACCTTCGGGGCACGCGGCCGACGTGACATCGGCTTCCAGTTTCTTCCTGACATCCGTTCCAGACATATTTGCCCAGTTTGATGTCTGACCTTTTTCATGTAGAGTGAAATCAGAAACCATACAGGAAATTGTAAAGGCTGCCGATAGTACTCTTCCAAAACGGCCGTCGTCTTTCCAGTGGACGGATGTAAATGCAGCAGGCCGAGGCAACAGGCAATTCCCTTCGACTTGGGCTTGATAGAGAAACTGACTTCCCCGCAGCGCCGTTTGGTCTCTCAGGGGCCAGTGAATATCACTCGGCCCACCGATGCTTACCCAAGAGAAGGATAGGATATTTCTTGGAGGTCTTGGTGAAAGACTGGTGTTTTCGCTATTGGGAGCACAGTGGCCTGCAATGCCGCCAGCGTTTGAAATGCAATCGACGGGCTCCGAGATACACCACAACAAGTCCTGAAGACGGTATTTCTGCCAGATTCCCGCATAATATGCAGACCCGGTCATCTCGCTAACTTCTTTCGCAAGACCGGAAATTGCCAGTAACCTATCCGACTCGAAGGTCAACTCGGACGCGCAATAAAGCTTGAGGAGCTTGTACCAAGCATCGAATGCTTCCTGGTGCGTTGTTGGCCCTTGAAGCCGGCGGGTAAGCAGAAGCCCCTTTTTGAGGTTCACTGTCGATGTCGACTGCGAGCTAACTGTAGACGAAAACTCTTCGAGCTCAGATCTGCGACAGTCCCAGAAGAGACCAGACGTTCCAAAGTACAGTGTCCTTGGTGAGAATGATCTTTCTTGAAGTACCCAGCCTCGTCTATTTAGAGCTTCCGTCGTCATGGCACTGACATAGTCGAGGGGTCCATGGCGACTGTGCAGATTGGGGCTTTTCTCGGCCTTGTTGTCCGAGGCTGCGACGGTGGCAGATGTCAAGCAGAGATTATCTGGCCAACCATCTCTAAGGGCGTCCGTAAGATCACAAGGTAGAATTGCCAATGGATCTCGTCCCTGAAACAGACCACTGTAGCTTGTCGTCCCTGACAAAGCTGCAATATTTAGGTCACAGTTTTCGTAGACTTGAGCCATTGAGGCAGCCTCAACTTCCCAGTCATACAAGGAGTCTTGAATGATACACAGGGCATCGATCCATATATAGCGGTAGCCCAATGTCCGAGAGAGCTGAATGGCCTCCCTCCAAGTCAAAGGCAGCTCGTTGATCGAAAACTCATCGCACATACGTGCATACGAATTCGTGGTCAATTTGGTGAAGTCGCCGCCTCCCCAGGAATGACTCAACGCAACGTAGTCGGTGTTATAGTTGGCACAGAGATTATCGTGACGAGGTAGTGGCCTTGACGCTGTCCATCCTTGAGTCGACGCCTCAGATGTCCGATGTATTCTGAGGTGCTGTGTCCCCGAGCTGATGTCGATCAGACGTGTGGGCAACACTTTGGCTTTGTCAATTCCTGCGGAAGAAAAGCATTCTGGATGGTTCTGGTTGCATGTCCGTATCCAGGAACTGGCCAAATCGATGCTTGTTCTAGACCCAGTTGAGGTCCCGTAGCTAGACTTCAATGTGTTTTCTGAACATCTGTACACTGTCCTTTCGACTTCCTCTGAGGCAGATCTGTCAGAAAAGTCTAATTTGATGGCCAGATGACCCAAAAAGGGATTCGCTTGCTTCGAAATCTCTTCGTTAATGAGGCTAGGCTGGAGCCGCAAATGGAGGAGCGTTATGGTTGCGAGGTCCTTGGGACTTGAAACACTCAGTTCCAATTCCTCCTCATTCTCAAAATCGTCCTCGATAGGCAAGCTGTGCCATAGAATCGTGCAAAGATGACACAACTCAGACAGGCCTGCCCTTAGTCCACTGAAGCTGGTGGTTTTGATGGTGTACCTTGAGACAAGTAGATTTTCGTCGACAGTTTGGCTTGTCGCAAGTTTTCTCTTCAGGTAGCGGTTTAGTTCCTGTGCGGTGTGTAGACATGCGCTACAAAGATGGCCTGGGGTGAGTCGGCCGGGTTCCGCGGGACGGATTGGGATATTGTGCGTCGCTCGAGAGCCAGTTTCCATTTTTCATATGCATTGGTCTTGTAGCCGTGAGATTCGTGATATTGCGCACGTGTGATGTTGTTAACTGCTCAGGAAATGTGCCAGTAATAAGGTCCCACGTCACCTATTTCACGTGAGCTGACAGTCTTCATTCGGCCAATGGAGCCTCGTCGGCACCTAGGCGTCAGCATCCATCGACTTACCCCTCTTTTCCAAAGGCGGGTACGCACGACAGCAATTGTTTGCGTCTCCTGCTGTTGTCCTCGAGATCAGGAAAGCCTTTCTCAAGAGTCTTTCATCATGGAGAAATTTACTAAAGAGAGTTCTGTCAGTGCTGGCCAAGCCGACCAGAAAGAGAGGGCGAATTCCTCAGCCAAGGGTCGGAGAAAGGTGGTATCAACTACGGATTATGAAGCTACTTGGAATCGTCTAGCAGTCGTCCTGGATCGCATACACAATCAAGAAGATCCTGCAGAGAATTTTGAAAGCATCTACAGATTGATATATCGGATGGTGATGCTCCGCAAGGGAGATGCCTTATTTGAGGACTTGGTCAAATGGCATCGGCAGAGGCTCAGTCAACATTGGCAAGGGCAAGTGGTTTTTCTAAGCCCGGGTATTGCCTCTCAAGAACACAGCGATATGGAACATTTCCTGCAGATGTTCTTGACTACTTGGGAACGGTATTACGAAGCAATTCAATCGGTGCAAAGCACTTTTTCCTACTTGGTTAGTGGTCCTCCATATCAGTCAAAGACTCCCCTGTCCAAACGAACAAAATGTACACACTAACATTTCAATACTCAGGACCGAACGATGCCTGTAAAGATATTGACGGCCTGTATGGACGTTTTCTTAGACTCGATTGAGAGCGACAAGATCAAGCAACAAACGGTGCTTCAAGTACTCGTCACGAATGCGTATACACATATTTACGTCAAGTCCCTGGACAACAAGTTCGGTATTAGATTGCACGATTTGTTTGGTTCCTGCTTCCGGATACTGGACGGACTATACACATATTTACGTCAAGTCCCTGGACAACAAGTTCGGTATTAGATTGCACGATTTGTTTGGTTCCTGCTTCCGGATACTGGACGGACTATGCGGAACGGCAAAAGACGACAGCGCCAGCAACAGTAGCGATAAAAGATTCAAGGCGCTCATTAGATCAACCTTTCTTGTGCGCGTGAGAAGCTTTTACGCAACTGAAGCCTCACGTCTTGCTACAGAATGCTCGCTAGTCGAATATTGCACAACGGCGCGAAGATGGCTTCTGGAAGAGGAGAGTCACTGCCACACCATTCTTCCACGCTACATGAGTGGTGATCTCAAATCTCTTGTGACGGAGGCTGCTTTTAAGCCTCATTTCGCCCCGGTGTTGGAACGAAATCATGCTGAGTTGGAAAATTGTATGGCAGCAACTTCGATCCGGGAGCTCGCTATGGTGTACGACGTTGCTGTCATGGCTGGCGAAGTCCAGGCTTTATCCAAGGCAGTCACTCAAAACATGACCGTCCTATCTCAGCATGAAGTGGCTGATCTGGATCTCGACAGCAGAATCCGCAGCGTTCTCGACTTCGACGTAAAAATGCAGCGAATTCTGAAACAAGCCTTTCAATCAGACAAAGTGTTGGACACAAGCATGTCACAGGTGGTTTTGGAGTTGCTCAGTTCGGAAGGGACCACACAAGAACGAACCCGGAGTATCTTGCAGGGCATCCTGGCCGGGGATATCATCCGGGTAGGACAAGAGGAAGATAACATGTCGACAAGACGGGGGAGAACAGAGTACTACTTGCAGCAGTTTCCGAAGGATAAAGTCGTCTGAGAAGCTTGTGAGGAGGGAGGAACACTGGTTAATCATCGGGATCAGCCCGGAAGAAGGGTGCTGTATAATTGGCTACCCCTCCCGGCAATCCGCCGAAGGCTTTACTTCGGACTATTCAGCAATTTCTATTGGTCAATATGTGGACGATTCTCCCTCCCCGCAGCTCCAAGAAGCAAGCGCTCTCCACCAAATCCATCACCAGACTCATCTCAAACACCAACTTCGGTCCCCTTTCGTCCGTTCGTGCAAACTTCGTCCCGATGGCCGGTATAAAGTGGCATTGTTCTCGGTCATGTAGTGGAGATGGGTGAACTCAAATCCAACAACAGCCTCCCCTCTCTATTCAACAGCACGTCTCACCAACCCCTGTCGTTTGGGCAGAAGGGAAGCCATATTCTAGCATGGCAACCCTCAGAGTTGTAGACGTCCGCGTCGACCATTACCACCCAGGAAATGCACTTGGAATTCATGTTCATAAGCCTCGCATCTCCTTCCGCCTTGAAGAGGCGCCCTCGAACTTCAAGCTCGGCGAGCGAGTTATCCGAATCACCCGCTTGTCTGGCCACGAGCTGGTCAGTCTCGGCGAGTACCGTGGCGACGACTCTGAAACACGAGATATACCATGGCCTGTTGATGAGCCAGTGAAATCTCGTGAGAGGTACTCTGTTGAGGTGCGTGCCCGAGGTGCGGATCAGAAGGACCTTTCACCATGGAGCGAACCATTCGTCTTCGAAACAGGCCTGATGAACCGGAGCGACTGGGCTTGTAAGCGGATTTCAGCTCCATGGGCGGAGGACAGCAAGAGCCAGCCGCAACCCGAAGACCTTTTCCGCAAAGAATTCCAATGCAAAGGACACATCCGGTCCGCTCGCCTTTATGTCACGGCGCAGGGTATCTATGAAGCCGAGATCAATGGGGAACGAGTTGGAGACTACTTCCTGGCGCCAGGCTGGACTGCCTATGATGGAAGGCTACAGTATCAAACGTACGATGTCACCAAGCATACTTCTTCTTCGTCCAACTGCATCGGCATTCGCGTTGCGGAAGGTTGGTTCAGCGGACGCATTGGATTCGAAGGCGGGCGACGGAGCATCTGGGGCACGCGGACTGCCGTCTTCGCGCAGTTGGAGATCTCCTACAAGGACGGGACATCTCAGACCATTGTCACGGACGACAGCTGGCTGGTCACTCGTGGACCAACGAAGCTCGCAGAGATCTACGACGGAGAGAAGTACGATGCAACTGCCGAAGTTAACGGATGGTCGACTGCTTCGACGCAAGCCGACTGGGAAGCTGTCGAAGTCCTCCCGCAGCTTTCTGACAGCGTCGAACTGATTGCCGGCTTTGGTGAACCAGTCAGGCGCAAGGAAGTCATCAACGCTGCCGAGCTGATCACAACACCATCGGGGAAAAAGATTCTAGACTTCGGCCAGAATCTTGTTGGCTATGTCCGCATCTCGAGCGTGAAAGGCCAACGCGGTCAGCAGGTTGCCTTGACCCATGCTGAAGTCCTTGAGAAGGGCGAACTTGGAGTCAGACCTCTGCGAGAGTGTCAGGCAAAGGACATCTACACCTTCAAGGGCGACGTCAACGGCGAAAGCTGGGAACCCCGATTCACCTTCCATGGCTTCCGATACCTCCAGGTTGACGGATGGCCTTCGCCAGATGCTGATCTGACTGAGTCTCTCGAAGCTGTCGTCTGCCACACAGACATGCAGGAGACAGGTACTTTTTCCTGCTCGGATGACATGCTGAACCGACTCTTTAGCAACGTGAGATGGTCCATGAGAGGCAACTTCCTCTCTATTCCAACCGACTGCCCTCAAAGAGACGAGCGTCTCGGCTGGACCGGCGATCTCGCCCTCTTTGCCCCTACCGCGACGTACATCTATGATTGCTTCGGAATCTTGAAGAACTGGTTGGCAGATGTAGCGTTCGACCAGAAGGTACTCGATGGAGTACCACCCATGGTGTCCCCTAATGTTCTCACCGGTCACAAGAACTGGGGCAAAATCTCCGCCAACGCGATCTGGCACGATGTGGCCGTGCTTGCTCCTTGGGCTCTGTATGAAGAGACTGCTGATACTGGTATTCTTCGGGATCAATATGAATCCATGACCACCTGGATCCAGGTGATCCCTCGAAACAAGACTGGAGCGGTGCATCTCTGGGACTTTAACTTGTTCCAACTCGGGGTAAGTGGCGTGCTTCAAACTTGCTGAGATCTTTCTAACCAAATTCGCAGGACTGGCTGGATCCCAACGCTCCCCCCGAAGAACCAATGAAGGCCGTGACAGACCCTCCCCTGGTCGCCAACGCCTTCTTGATCAGGTCGCTTGACTTGATGGTTCAAATTGCGGGCATTCTGCAAAGGCCCGAAGACGCCGAGCGGTACCGCAAGGAGTCTCAGGCAGCTCGCCAGGAGTTTCTTGACGAATACGTCAGTGCCAACGGTCGCTTGACTTCTGACTCTCAAACTGCATACGCCATCGCGATCGCTTTCGACATCTTACTCCCATCACAATTGCAACGTGCAGGAAACCGCCTCTCCGAGATCGTCCGCCGCAACGGCTTCAGAATCGGCACTGGATTCGCTGGAACGCCCTACATCTGCGAAGCGCTCACGCGCACAGGACATAGCGCCGTTGCGTATTCGATGCTTCTCAACCGAACTTGTCCTTCGTGGCTATATCCCGTTACCATGGGGGCGACGACAGTTTGGGAGCGCTGGGACAGCATGCTGCCGGATGGTTCTATCAACCCTGGGGACATGACGTCCTTCAATCACTATGCCTTTGGCGCCGTAGCCAAATTCATGGTTGAGCGTCTTGCTGGTCTTCGTCGATTGGAGCCTGGGTGGAAGAGGTCTAGGGCGGAACCGGTACTCGGCGGAGAGTTCACGCATGCCTCTGCGGAGCACTTGACGCCTTACGGCAAGATTGCTTGCGCATGGAAGTTGGTTGGCGAAGGCAATGGCCCGTTGCAATTGAAGGTGGATGTTGTGGTTCCGCCGCTTACTGAGATGGAGGTGGTTTTGCCCGACAATGGAGGCAAGAGGGTTGAAACAGTCGGCTCGGGCGGGTGGTCTTTCGTGGTGAAGTACGAGCGAGATCATCAATGGCCGGTGAAACCACTCTCGATATTTCCCGAGTAGCATTGAGATAAGACCTTTCTGGCACAGGACTTCAACTTCAGATATGAACTTGCCAGTCAACAGCTATCCAGCACGGCACATTGCCAAGATCCTAGTTACTCACTTGTCATCATGTTGTAAGATGTTGAATCTTGCTGCACCGACACCAAAGTGCATACTGCTAAGACGCGAGACACGCTTGACCGGTCGCTAAGATGCAAGGCGGGTAAGCTTGCATAGATGACAGGCCCTCTGTCACGTTATTCAAACTACAAGTCGGTGATGGAAGCGTCACATTTTGAGGAGACATACACGCGCAAGAAGCCGTCGTATCAGTTGACAAAAGGTCTTGGAGGTATCCGCCCGATGCCTACCTACTTAGTCAAGTTAGTTTTGAATTGCCACCACATACGACCATACCCACTGGAGAACTCGGGATCCCGTTCGCTCTCCCATAGATAAGCCAGTGAGGGCCGGATTAGTAGTTGGGTCGGTGACGACCAGCGAATACCTGGTGTTGTATGTTTTTTGTTGATGCCGCTTGCCAATGGAGAGTCAGCGCTTTTCAAGGAGCGACTGGGGCTTTTGTGGCTCCATTTGAGCTACATGTGATCTAGCTATTTGAGATCTGGTGGTGACTAGCGTACTCTTATTTTGTGGCTTACTTTTAACTATTGCTCGCTATATAAGTCCACGGCGAAACTTAAGTCAAGTACTTTCTGTTGTCCACTATACAGGTGAGTCTTGTCGCCGACGAAGCCTCAACTAGCTTATGGAAGCCGGTATAACGTCAACTACATCTAGTAGGTACCAGCAGACTTGATCACGATAGACTCCTTCGCAAGCTTGGCGTACTCCTCGTCTCTCTTCTCTTCATCCCGCTTATAGGTGCCGGCGGACTTGATCACAATGGAGTCCTTGGCGAGGTCGGCATACTGAGTAGCTTGTATTAGCTGTTGTCATTTACATTGCCTCAAAGGTAGACTGCTTACCTCCTGGCCGCGCTTGTAGGTGCCGGCTGACTTGATGACGATGGAGTCCTTGGCCAAGTCCGCGTACTCCTCACCACGCTTGTAAGTCCCAGCCGACTTGATGACGATGGAGTCCTTCGCGAGCTGAGCATAGTCAACATCCCGCTTCTCCTCGTCTCTCTTGTAGGTCCCTGCAGACTTGATGACGATGCTGTCCTTAGCCAAGTCCGCGTAGTTCTCGCCACGCTTGTAGGTTCCGGCAGACTTGATCACGATGGAGTCTTTGGCCAGGTCGGCGTAATCGGCGGCAGGGGCGGCAACCGGTGCGGCAACGGCGCCAATGGCCTGAAGGGCGAGAACGGCGGCGACGGAGAAGTGCATGTTTGCGGATATGCTGATAGACGGGAGGAGGGGGTCAAACAAGGAGGGAGAAACTTGATGAGGAAGGGAGACGGCATCGTTTATATCGTTGCAAGCCAGATTTCCCGACTCCAACGTTCGTTCTTTCGCACCCCGAGACGCCACAGCTGAGAAGAATGTCATCTTCACAATAGGCTTGGGCTTATCCGATCCTACGACTTTCGCCATTTCCAGCCAGTCCGCCAGGATTTCGTCGAATTCCACTCTTCATCCATCCTTGCAGCATCATACACCCTAGATGGGAAGGTAGATATTCTAGGCCATGATCCAATATGGTCTAGACTATTGGATGATGCAACGTTGAGCCAGCGAGTCGTGGCAACAATTCCAACGAGATGGCGACATAATTCGAATCCAACGACTCTTGAGACGGAAGGCAGGCTATGCGAAAGTGTGCGTCGGCTCTTGCCTGGGAATCCGATCCCTCGGTGGCGGGGTCGCGCATCCATCCCAATCGGACTTCGATGATGAAAAGTGCTTATCCTCCAGTCCAAGGCATATCATTCGACAGTATCGGTGGCCTGATATCACCCGTGAAGCTTGAATCCGTAAGGTCCACATGCTGACCTGCCGAGGATCTTTGAAGCGGCCCCAATGCAGGAACTAAGCCAGATGAAGAAGCTCGCGAGTCCGAAGGAATAGGCTACAGGATCTGTATGGAAAAAGTCCCATCAATATGGTAAGACTTATTTTTTCCCCCGAAAAAAAAAGAAAAGAAAAAAAGAGGAAAAAAGAGGAAAAAAAGAAAAAGAAAAAGGTAAGACTTATTGCAGATTGGGTGGCGGCTGAACTACCGATGCCGGCGAGGAAACAGCCCATTGATTTTCCTTGGGAACTCACCATTTCTGGTCTCCCTCCCATCTACACCTGACTTCTCTTTGCGAAAACGGTCAAGCAAAACGTAAGTCTTCACGGCAAGTCACAATGTGGTGGAAACTTAGAACCCCGTACGAAAGCCTGCCTCAGTCAGAAGGAAAGACGGTCGATACAACAACACGACCCTTCAAACTGTCGGTTAGCAGGTGGCCAAGATCAAGCATCATTCTCGGCATCACCAACATAGTCACGATCATAGCACTTCTGAACAACATCCGCGGAACTAAGCCGAGCACAGTACTGAAGCATTGCACAGAAGAGCTATCGACGCCTTGTAAGAACAGAATCTGTGTCGCACTTGCTTCAAGACTTTAAAACTAACAAAAATCCAGCTCCTGCTCTCGAAGCCGTAAAATACCAATCATCACGTCACTACAACGCCGAGTTCAGGCAAACGAACAAGTGGCGCGGCCCACCTGGGAATCACTCAAATGATGTCGACGTCGCATGGCACGAGATCGAGCTCGGCGCCGGTGGAATCCATTTGACTGAAGAAGAGGTTAAGTTATTGAACATGACGGACTCGCCTGAGTTGCCATTCCACAAGATCCCCGAAGAACACGGTGGTGGGTACTTGGCAATGCTCGAGGTTTTCCACCTTCTTCACTGCTTGGTAAAGTCTCCAGCTTGGTCGGAGAAGCTAGGCCTAGCGCTAACGTTCCGAACAGAACTCGTTGAGAATGGGACTATTCTACAATTATAAACACTACGAGTTTCTTGACGAAGGTGTGCCCGACGAGAATAAGTATACGCACTACGGTAAGCGACGATCACTATCAACCTTAACCGAAATAAGCTCCGAATTGACTTTTGCATCACGGAAACTCAGATCACTGCATCGACATGCTTCGGATGAACCTTATGTGTTACGCAGACGTCACCCCGGCCCTATTTGTCGATCCTCTCAGTAATCCTTTACGCAGAGATGCGTTGCCAAACTGGTCATCCATGCATACCTGCAGAGACTTTGACGCGATATTGGATTGGAACAAGCATGGTCCTAGGTCGGTGCGTTGGCGCGACGCTGGGGCCAATCCATCGTGGGATCCGAACCTCGAAGGCGCCGAGCAACCTTTCCCATCTGAAGAGCATGGGGATGGTGGGCACCACCACGGTTAAGCACAAAATCGTACAAAGAGATATCTGGCACCGGGCAGAGCGACTGGATGAACTTGATGTCAACGAAGTCTTTTGTATTGAGATTGGTATCAAATAACCACTAATTCCCGTGCTTATTACTCCAAACTATGTCCGAGAAGCTTGAAACCTATGCACCTGAGGTTAGAACGGAACATCAATAGTGCACACATAACTTGAAGGGAAGACATACAACGATGATGCACTTGTACCCGCAAGAACATAGTGACCAAGGACGTTTCCATTACTTGCAGCTTGAGTTATCGCAGCAGGTAATGCCGTAGCCACCAGTAGGAGCGTAACCGCAGTAAGTCTTGCCGGGGTTGCAGCTGCCGCCGTTGAAGCCCTGAGTGCCGGGACTCTCGGTGGTGCAGGCAGCCTGAACGCCGGCGCTGGCGAACAGGAGTGCGGTGGCCATGGTGAGAATCTGCCTGGAGAGGTGCATGGTGACGAAGGCTGTTGTAGAATATAGCTGAGGAGAGAAAAAGAGCAAGTGATGGAAGGCTTTTGTGATAGTTGGTTGATTGAGGTATCTTGATAATGTGTCGAAGTCAGGAGAGATGTTGTGATTTATAGCATTTACTTGCGAACTGATCCTCGACACGGTTCCCGAGAGCATGATAATCGGGTTCGTACTCCCAGAATTTGAGTTCATGCCTGCAGATTGACTTTACTATGACATCGGAGGAGCGTCTGGTCATAGCTGTGGTGAGTATATTAAGACATGAATCATTACTGGGTCAACCTGTTGATGACTTGAATCGTGCATGCTGTCCGCCAGAGGGATCATCACCAAACCTCACAACTCAAGTGATAGCACCAGGTGGTAGGGGCTTTTCATTTCACTGTCGAGTTGCGAAGTATAACACTTGACTCTTTTCACATCAATAATCAAAATCGCCTTTCACTTACGTGTTACTGACCACGAAGTATAAGGTCGCAAGTAAGACGTGGACGGGCGGAATAGAAGCCGCCAGAGTAAGAATGTGGAGACTGAACAGAGATCCTCCCCACTACCAATTGCCAAGATTGAATTGAGGCAGAATGACCTGAACTCTATCATATTACGCCCTTCCTTAGCGGCATCAGCTTAAAATGCCAAGTTTCAGACGCATGGTGTAGATTTGTTATTGTTTCTATAGTCGTTGTCGTTATAGCTGTCAACGTTGTGGTTGTAGACCTCGTTGTTGTCATTTGAAGTTCAGTCATTTGAGAACACTCCAAATTTTGGTTAATTTCTTTCCAGGTTGCTCGATAATAGCCAATGAGAGCCAGTGAATCCACGTTTCTGTGACTGTGTATTAGTTGTGGGAAACTGACTAACAGCATGGCTTAGCACAGGCTGAATTGGTGCAAGCAACTCTCAAAGATGGATGAGAAAATTCAACCAACGTGTACCGAGGCTGGCCTGTAGACGTAGGGCGGGAAAGCTGTCCGATGGCGTGTTCGTTGGTTTCACTTGGCGAATGGTGCCGACTGTGCGAATCCATACAAATGAAGGGGAGTTTCATTGTTCCAGAATGATTACTGATTGAACGCCTGGCAGCGGAATTGTTCCCCGAACACTTTTAGTCGCGATATGATAACGGGAAGCTGGGGACTCCCACCTGCAGACTGTAGTTCGTTTTCAAGAATTCGCTGGATTGATTTCCAAGGGCTGGCCAGCACATGACTCGTCATCTACTCAGAAAAAGGAGCTGAGACATTTGTCCAGACCTCCGATTGCCTTGCTTGTATCATATTCCTCGGTTGTATCATATTCAAGACTACGGGTTTGTGTTGATGTGACACCTGCAGTAGCGTGCACTGGATGCAACCGGATAAGTACTTTGCGCCGGACTACACGTAGCTTTTCCTTGACTTATTTGAGAACGTAGGGACCAATGAGCAAGTGATGGGAAAGCGCAAACATGTTGGCAAAAGGAATATTGTATATTTTGCCTAATCGGACCAACTGTTCATCCAAGGAGGCGTTCTTGCGTGTCAGACCTTTCCAGAGTCGTCGCCAGGAACTCGGCCAAATTCCCGGCCGAAGCGGAGTACAGTGGGTCCTCCGTATCTTTCGGAAAATATGGGGTATACGGCTACCGTGCTTCGGAGGCCTGTGCCGAGATCAGCTAGCTGAACCGTGTGTCTCGGCCAGCACGCAGTCTGGCAGTTAAGATGATGAACTATTTGCTATAAAGGCATAATAGCTCTATGCTCGAACTGTGATTACTGCGGGAGCTTTCCGCATAGTATCCTCCTGGCCTCAAGGAATACTGCGGGAGCTCGTTTGGAATTCTGGTACTGACGTACAGAAATCGGCCATCGAAGCTTCGCACAATAATCACTCTAATTACCCCTTGGAACGAAACTTGGACAGATTGCGATTACAACGAGATTATGCTGACATTGAAGATGGATTACGAGGTCATCGTGTTCTCCGACGGTGAACCAAGTCGGCCTTATTTCAGACTGTGCCTCTCTCCAGCGTTTGCGCATGCAGCCCTCGCTGCACAGGGATCTCACACGCGCATCTCGGCCGAATGATGCCACGGAACAGCCCGAATGACAGACGGGGGCTCCCCCGCACTCTTCCCCGCCCAAGCTTCCCGTGGCCCGAGATCATCCAAACACATCTAGTAAGATCGGCGCTTGCGAGATCTTGTTCTCGCTGCAATTGTGCCGCATTAGAAACGCGACCTTGCATTTTCGGAATGACTTCATTTGGAGTATTGAAGTTATTGGTGGAATGGCTTGGGGACATCACGGCATTGGCGCGTGGGTTGCCGTGATCGCTTCGTTCGGCGTAGTCTCCGCCGAGATGCGACTTTAACTTTGTTCGAAGGGGCCAAGATAGATTGATGTTAATTTCCCGAGCATATAACTCGACTGGAGGAGCCATTCGGCCTGATCAAGCAGCTGGACAAGTTGTTCGTCTTTTTTGCGTTCTTGTTTGTCTCAATTTGTTCGACATTTGCTGGGTTTTCAGCGTGCTAAAGATTCGCGACGTCAGAATGAGGCTTCCAACCATTGCCGCTACCCTGGTCACGGCCCTGACCGCCGTTCCATTCAGCCAAGCCGCCGCAGTTCTCTCGCGCCAAGACACCAAGCCACCTTACTTTCTCCTCACCGGCGACTCAACTGTTGCCGTGAACGGCGGTTGGGGAGATGGATTCCTCCGATATGTCCAGTCTCCGGCTGATGGCAAGAACTATGGCAAGAGCGGAGCGACGACGGTCTCATTCAGAGCACAGGGCATCTGGGATACCGTGATAGGGGAAGTTGAGGCGAACAAGGACGCCTTCAGCCCCATCGTGACGATTCAGTTCGGTCATAACGACCAGAAAGAGGCGGCCGGCATCTCCCAGGAGCAGTTCCAGGCAAATCTTCAAACACTTGCCAACGAGGTGAAGGCCGCAGGTGGAACTCCGGTAGGCCCCTCAACTATTGTCTTAGAAATCCCCGCGAACTAACATCCACCGTAGATCTTGATCACATCTCTCACACGTCGGGTCTTCAGCGGCGGCAAGGTCATCCAGAACCTCGAAAACGAGCGCGTCAGAGCCATCGCGGCTGCTGAGGCCGTCGGAGCCACCTACCTTGACCTCAACACCGCCAGCACCAACTACGTCAATGCTATCGGCAACGCCAATGGCAAGAAATATGACCTTTCCTCTGGCGATTCAACCCATCTCAACGTTGCCGGAGAGACCGTTTTTGGCCGTCTGGTTGCGGATCTCCTTCTTGAAAAGCGCCTTGACCTTGCGCAATACATCAAGGAGAACCAGGCCCTTAGCGACAAGATCAAAAACGGAGAGTTCGCAACGGGCGATGAGTAGACTCCATTAACTATTTGCATGGGAATGAACCATCTTCGTTGGAAGAACAACAAAATCTTCTGTATTTACTGTTACATGAAGTACATACTGTTTGACGAAAAGACGCACATAGCACTTCTCACATTGCCGCGACATGTCACTGAGGCAGCGTTGCAGCTTCTCAGCACCAGCCATTACCGTTGTCGATGGCTAGAAATGAGCTCATAGCGGAACAGGTAATTGATGGACCTTCCTCCATGCAGCACCAAATCGAATGGTAACATACACGAGTCCGGCACATATGAACTGAATGCCGCCAGAGATCGTGGATGACCAACCAACGCCAATGGAGTCGATGAGAGGTAGACATACAGCGGTTGACAGGGCTGCTACCAAGTACCTCATCAAATAATGACCGGCTGACTGACGTTAGTACATATGCTTGTCAACGAACGCTTCCGTGAATTCAAAACTCACCGGTTGATCCGCTACCGTCAGAATGCTGCACCACATCGAGAATGTACGCATTCAGGCTTGGAAAGGTGCACATTTGCGCGACCCCTTGCACGAACATGCAAATTACTGGCAGCGGTATCCCGCCAACCCTCTTATCAAGAGTCCAACCGTACAAGACCATGGATCCTGGAAGCATCAAGGCCTGAAAGAGTAGACTGCTACGCAGCCGGTCCTCCGGCACACGCGTACCGCGCTTTTGCATCCACGAGTTTACTGTGCGATCAGCCAGGCGGCCGCCGATTTGACTGCCCACGAGGTAGCCAGCACCAGGCACCAGGTATAGTAGACCTGATTGAAGTGGCGTCGTGAGGTGGAAACGAGGATTTAGGACATATCGGATGGGTGTCAGGAGGGAGTACATGTTCCAGACGAGAGAGGAAGAAGCAAGAAACTAATATCGTTAGAAAGTCCGCTTGAGGCTTCGATCTTTGTGGGTTGAAACTTACCACGAGGAGCAGGTTCTTGTTCCCGTAGGTCTTGACAACTTTACTAGGGTTGCCCCAACCCCAAAGCTTGAGCAGCTTTTGGACGGGTCCAAGGCCCTGAAGTTCAACCAGGCGCAGCTGGTGATGAGTCTCTGGCAGGAAGAAGTATGTGAAAGTAAGCGCGACCGTGGCAAAGGATACCTGGATCCAGAAAATGACACGCCAGGTCGTGAAAGTCACCACGATGCCACCGAGTACTGGTCCGAAAGCAGGACCGACTGCAACACCGGATAAGAACCAACCTAGTGACGTTGCACGTTCCGTCTTACAAATGTTAGAGCAAATTGTTGACGATTCGTCATGCCGGATGAGACTAGAAAAGGAGAATCATGAACTCACAGGGTGGTAAATGTCCGAGATGCATGTACTACCCAGAATCAAAAACGCCGTGCCTTGGAAAGCAGTCAAGGCTCGAAAGAGGAAGAATAACTCCAATCTCGGTGCCAACGCGGTGCCAATGTTGAAGGCGAGGAACAGAGCAACGCTGTAAAGATAAGCCTGAATACTCATATTGTCAGAAATCACGAAGAGTGCAATGCATGGGGATGCGCACCGGTCGACGCCCGAAGATATCAGCATAAGGGCCCCAAATGAACGCCGATAATCCCATAAACGCCAGGTAAACGGCGTTACTGATATTGATAACCGTTGCTGATGTTTCATAGGTAGAGACAATTTCCGGAACAGCGGCTAATAGACTCGTAGTCGACATTTGAGCGAGGAAGCCGCAAAACGCTGAAATTGCCGTGATGCCGCGTTTCTGCAATGGTTTGAACCGGGAGTAGACGGAGACTTGCACGCGGCCGGTTTCCGCTTCCTCGCCGCGGGGGTCGATCCCGGGTTCGGGTCCGGGGCTCGCGGGACGGGCCTGCAACGCGGTGGATGACATGGCGAGCGGCGGACGTGTTGGCTTGGGGTTTTCAGCGACTCGGCGATGGCGTGATTGCTGAACGAACCGTGTGCCGACGACTTGTCGGTCGGGGAGGGGAAATAAGTATGGGACGGCGGGGACCGATACCGGTCGGCACAACCGGGTTTGCTTGCCGTGAATTACCTGACCACAGGAAAATTGTCACTCAGCTTGCGCCCAGGATGAGCGCCGTTCCCTTGACAATACAAAAATCTCCCCTGAAATGTGGACTGAACCCAGTTGTTAGCGGCTCTCTGAGTCAATATTTCTTCACTTGAGTCACCGGCCGGTTATTCAATGTCCGGCATTCGGCCTAATCCATTTTTCGCCGACGATGATGCATTGGTAACTTCGCTGGAAATTGTTGAGCTTCGGCGCCGAATAAGTCTCAATGCGCTTTACACAAACCCTGTAATTATCGTGTATGATTCATAATTCGGCGCCGAAGCCCAGGATTGTACCATCCGGATCACTCGAAGAAGCCGAGGTTTCATTGCGTCCAACACCGAATTGATATCAGAACCACTGTTTCGGGGAAAACGAGAGGAAAGAGGGCGAAGGCTCTATTTTTGTTTCAAATGTGACAAAGAAACAACAACCTATAGACAAATTCTTGAGCAAGAGAAAACCTTTATTTAGTATGATTCAACCGAGCCTTCACAACCGGGTCCAAAACACGCTCTGGTGGTCCAGAGGGAGCAGAGTTCAACAACGGTGACGGGACAGTGACATTCGAGCGCGACTGAGTGGACGATGACTTAGAGCTGATAAATCCTCGAGGAATCGGTTTAGTAGGAAGGCCATGGCCCCTGAATCTGCAGCCATTGAACCAACCTGGAAGTCCTAAATTCGATGGCCTAGCAGCGAGATAGCTCTTCGACGGCCAAATCGGTTTCTTGAATCGTTTCTGGTACAGTTACAATAAAGCCCACTTCACAAAGTGTCCAGGAGTCCAGCCATGGGCAATCTGGCCATGCGGGAGCCAAGCGGGGTGGTTGGAGAAGCTGTTGCACCCAGTGAGGACGACACCATCGTGAGGTCTCGTCTAGATATAGTTCATCTTTGCTGTCAAAGAGGAAACTTCAGAACCCAGATTTAGAATCAGGGGAAGGGAGCTCTTGCCTGTTAATGACGCAGAATAAGATCTTTATGGCCCAATGGGTCTCATCAAGGTTGAGAAGAAGATGATGTTTTGACATTTGAAGATACCATCTATTATTATAACCTTTAGTGACTACTCTTTATGAGTTATAGAGCTAGCAAAGTAGACCGCAGGCTTTTAGGCATTAAAGATACTCCCTATAATAGAGTTAAGCTACTTTCCCTTAGCTAATTAGTTATCTAAAAGAATCTAGTTATTAGCTAATGCCTTTGGCAACCTTAGCTGATTTATTTATGCTAGGCTTGATGATGCATACATGTATAAACCGAGGATGAGATGAATAAGCAAAGGACAACAGGGACGATAGCGGATAGCAGTGACACCAAAGACGACATCAACAACGAGAACAACAAGGGCAATGTTGAATGACGTGGACACCAAGGACGATATAGACAACTAGAATGATACCAGACGCAGAAGACATCATTAATTAGGTTTGGTTTCCTTTGCTAAATGCAACTCAACTGTTAGAAGTTAAAAGTATGGCAGTATCTATGTTGCTATCTACATGTATTCTTTAATTACCTGGAACTTGACTTCATGCCGTGCACAATAGTCCTTCAACCATTCAGTGTTTTTAGTGCTCTGAATCCAGTTTGATGAAAAAGGGTCGCAAATCAAATGTAAAGTTTGCAGGCTGACCCCAGACAAACGTAGACTTCCCAAATACTCCTCCAGTCTCTCCATCATCTCTTCACCTTCCCATTCATAATCAGGAACCATTGCGAAATCCTCTGAGATGGTCAGATCCTCGACAGACGCTGGAATTACATCACTAAATCTTATGCCGTTGTCGATCGAGAACCCAACCAAGAACGGCCACGGCATTCGGAGGCTCTTCATCTTGAAGGCGGACAGGCAACGGAGATTGCCGCGTAATTCCAGGGACTCGTATTCGATGTTGTGCCGCCCAATGTCCACGGCGGCGCTGATGTTCAAGTTCTCCAGGGTGTCTTTAACATAGTTCAAAGCTGTTGCAACCATGTCGAGATTGATGGTTCGAGCCCAAGACCATGGCCTATCCATATTCGCGTATACCCACCACCATGTCAGAGATCTGAGGCGGGGTGTCGCACGCAGCACTTGCTCCAGTGCCGTCTCTCGCAACATTTCTACGTTCAACGATGTGAGATTCGACAGACTGGGCAAGGTGATTGGCCACTCGAGGGCTCCGGATTCGGGTGTGTCAATGAATGCCTTGAACTCTCGCAATTTCGGAAGATAGAACAATGGCAGGACATTCTCGGTATTTCCGTTGCGAAACATAGCTCTGCGAGACTGAGTGTATTGGCTGTCGAAAACGACTGTATGAAGGTCGCTGAAATCTGGAAGGCCGCTGCCATCGTGGCTGCACAGCGCCGATCGAAGAACTCTACTGAGAAGAAGAGTTTCTTGGGTGAAGTTCCCTTCCATGACCAGGCTTCTCAGTCTCGCAGTTCGCGTAAGGAGGAGCGCTATGAATGCGTCCATCCTCCCTGCTCGAAGCTGCTCAACCCAGGAAGCTTCATACGGCAAGCGTAAGCTCTCAATTTCCCTGATCAGCGGAGCCAAAGAGTCCATGTCTACGGGAATTCGGGGCGTTGAGAGGTCTCTCGGGCCAGACTGCCATAGAACCCGATAGAAAGTCGAGCCCAGTAGCTTGAGATGGCGGACATGCCGGGCCAAGTTTGGGCGGGCGATAATAATTCGGAGAAACTGAGCGACTGATGGGACCTTTTCCTCAGTCCACAGAAACTGAATGTTTTCGTAGAGAAGAGGTTCTGCAGCTTTGCGCAGGGTGGATTGTGTTTTGCAAAGAGAAGCGAGATCTGCCTGCGGCAAGCCATCGAAGATCTGACCAAGAAGCTCTGTTGGGAATGCTACTAGAGGCGTCATGTTGAGGAAATGATTTTGATCTGGATTCAATGTTTGCTGTGCTGGCGGTGTTGTGGTTGAAATGGGAAGATGGTTGTGGTGGTTGGATCGTGAAAAGGTGACTCAGTTGTCGGTTTTTTCCCAACACCTAAATATACCACCAACAATTGGAAGTGGAGGCAAAGAGGATGGCGCCTGCAATCAGGAATATTAACCACAGTAGCGACGATCACATTCAGTCCATTGTTTTGTATGATTTCTCAAGATTTAATTGGACTTTCAAGACTGTGTTGGTTGGTGCCGTTACAGCATCCCTGTGACAATCCTTGTCGCCTAGTGTCCAGGATGTTTTCCCTCGGCTCATATCCAAGAAGTGACTTGCTGATCTGAAGTAGGGAAAAGCTGCGGTCATCACGTGGCACGAAAAAAAGAAAAGAAAGACAAAACGCTCGTATCATGCAATACCTTGAGGAAAACCTTTCCACCTACGACACCATATGAGTGGATCTGGAGTAAGATCCTGCATTCCACTCGACGATGGAAAACGCTTCCTCACCTAGTTCTTAAAACTCTATTCTGGGAGAAAGATTTTAAATTCTTCAAAAATATCACACGAAATCTAACGTGTCTGAGGCCTGAGAGTTTGACAAATGTTGATTATGATTACATGGAGAATAGAGAAGTCCACAGCTTGCTATCCTTGACCTGGACAGAAAATATCCCGGACGATCTAGCGAAAGGAATAAAACATAAGAAATCAGGGGTATAACTAGCTTCAAGCATGTCCAGATCGAAATTTGTTCCACCGTTCTATCACTTCGGCTTTTTCTTCTGCCGAAGCCCTGCGAAATTCATGAATGCCTTGCCTCAACCGAATGAGCAACACCTCCGCCTTGAGCTTCGTCAGGCGATGTTTCGACAGCTCTTTTTCTATGCCTTTCAGAGTGTATCCGGGTAATCCAAACAAAGCTAGTTTGATGTCAGTACTTCTTCAGTTCAAGAGGGTGTGAGTCCAGTAGAGGAAACTTACCAGCAAAAAGATTGTACGTAAACCCACGTCGACCTTGCCACAGCCCCTTCCCGAAGCCTTTGATGCCCTCCTTCTTGGCGCCGTCATAAGGCCTCACTACAATATCCCGAAACGCCTCCCAGGTTCCCAGAGCAACTTCCTTCCCTGCGGTCCGAAGACCACTTCCGAGACCTGTAATCTCGTCCCTTCTTCGGACCTCATGGCTGAAGGTTCCATATGAGGGATAGTTGTGGAAGCCATTCGCCATGTTGTAGAACACCGCAACCGGTGCTTTGAGGCCTGCCTTCGCAACCTCGACACCGTAGCGCCCTGTTGCGCGAGTGACTTCTTTTGCCCTGCTACGCTGCCGCTTTTGATAAGACACAACCGAGGATTTGCGTCTACCCTCGGGCACGTCTTCCAACATCGATACCTCTGCCCGTGGATCCGCGTTCCGTAAGGACTTTGACGCCATCTTCAAAGCAATTGCGTTCATTTGTTCCGGCGTCAACGTGTTTTGTCGCATAACACCGCCAAGCTGGCCCTTTCCAGACTCAGGGTCGTTGCAAATGTCAGGCTGTTGGTCGCTTGTCGTATCCGTCCCTTGGCCAACCGACTTTTCTCTTTCTTTCCGCGCTTCATCGTCCTTCTTTGTCGTGTCTTGGTTTGTTTCGGGCCGGGCGTGTAAACGCTTCTTGTAGTCTGACGTCGCTATGCCGATCGAAGTGAAGAAGCCAGAGACAGCGGCCACGAGACCAATGATAGGATGCTCAGCTCCTTCATCAACATACCAATGTTTGTGTCTCAGCAACTTGAAATCGTGAGGCTTGATCAGGCCCTTGTCGACTAAGCAGCCCACCGCAAAGCTGCTGAGATGCGCCCCGGTCTTCTTGTGCCGCCATGTGGCCAAGCGTTCAGGGCAAATGTCGCAACGCATGCCATCCAGAGCTAATCGTTCCTGAATGTCCTTGGCTGTCTCGCCGGCCCCATCCTCCTGCGCGATACGTTCAGCCATCTGTTGCACGGCAAACTGTACCTCCGGCTTCAGCGCGAACACAATACTGGATGCGAGAGTCTCGGCAGTCATCTCCTTGAACGGCACCGGCATTGGACCTGCGCCAGCTCGAGCAATCATCTGGCCCCAGAACGGCTGGTCTCCGAAGAACGGGACTACCACAGTTGGTCTTCCGGCCGCAATGCCTGCTGCAGACGTCCCAGCACCGCCGTGATGAACCACAGCTGAGACACGCTTGAACAGCCAGTCGTGAGGACAGTTACCGATGAGGTAGATGTTCTCGGGGACATTGTCGCCGCCTCCAACCCCGCCCCAGCCTTTGGATACGATGGCGCGGACCCCAGCTAACTTCACGGCGTCGAAGATGAGTTGCGTCAGAGCTTTTGGGTCATCGACGACGATGGACCCGAAGCCGATGTAGATAGGCGGTGGGCTGGCTTCGAGAAACTTTGTCAAGTCTGGCGGTGGCGTGTACTTGTCGGCTAGTGAGAGGAAGGAAAAGCCGGTGATGTTGATGTGAGAATCCCAGTCTGCCGGTTTGGGGATCAGGGACTCCGACCAGAGGAACGTGAAGGGCACTCGGAGTCTTGGGAGTAGTTGACATCCCCACATTGGAGATATAGAGTCGAGTCCCAGGACTTGAGTGCGGAATTTGTTGATCAAGTCGCCCAGTCTGAGGTCACGTCAGCGATAGAAGTCCTGCCATTGATTCGCCGGGAACACAAACCCTTGCCAAGTTAGAAGTTCCATCATAATAAAGGATAGATAGTTCGCAGGACTGGTGTCAGCTTCTCCATAGCTCATCGATGCCAAAGGATGATGAAATGCTTGCGTCGGACACCATGGCATGGTGAAAACTATATGCAAAGGAATCCCCAGCTTTTCCGCACAATGAATGTGTGCCATAGACGGAGGATTCGCAATGATGGCGTCGGCGACGAACAGGTCGTCGGGATTCTTCACGGTAGCTGCCGTGACTCGGTCTCCCATACCATCTCCAGCTTCAATGCAACTCCTCCAACACCCGTCAATGATCTCTGCCATCTCTTTTCTCCTCTGGCTGATGTCACCGGCTTTGACGCTCTCCCTACTCGGCAACAACCCCGGATTCTTCACCATATAGGCCATGAGTGCCTCCGGATCACCCCCGATACTGAAGAATTCCACGCCATTGGACTCGACAAAGTCCTTAAACACCGGGTGCGTACATATTCGTACGCGGTGGCCGAATGGTGGTTTCATGAGAAGCTGGGCGATCGGGATGAAAGGCTGAATGTCTCCGCGGGATCCGACGATGTGGATCGCGATATTGAGTCGAGGACTCCTCGCCGGCGGATCCAGTCTCAGATTCTCCAGCACCACGCTGGTGCGTCTTCTCTGCAGTGTCTCTTCCAATTCCTCGTTCTCATCGCCATTCGGCCCGGCCGCGAATGCGCCTTGAAAATCCTGGTACCATTTCGCGAGCTTCTGCGGATTGGCGTGGAACCGCACCTTCACTCTTCCATCGTTCCCGACGTTGCCGGAGGTCGCCGTCTCTGAGCGTTCGCCGTGGAGCTGGATGTGTCCGGGTCCATTCGACTTCATGCGACTGAGTGCCATGATGAAGGCCGAAGGTGCTCAGGTCCAAAGACCGAGCGAATTTGAACTTGAATCTTTGGAGTCAGCAAACCAATTGGCTGCAATGGGATAGGCTGCTAGCGATTGATGTTAGAAGATGAGATGAAGTTGTGAACTCAGATGCAAAATCCGTCTGGCTGACTCGCCAAACGGATCACGTGAACCCTCAAATGTGCTCCGAACAAGCCGTTTTCGTCTGCCATTCTGCCTTCAACGTCATAGAGGGGCCAATTTTGAGATTAGCGTCGTTTGCAGATTGGATTCCCCTGCGATTTCCGCCGAGAGTAGCTTAAGGTTAAAGCCGTTTGCGCCTAGTGCATGTCTTGAGTGGACCCCTGATTTGAAGACTCGATGAATGATAACATTCTAGACCGTGCAATTTCCAAATCCATCGGAGTCTTTTCTGCTTCTTGAACTCCTGGCGGTTTGATCGACGTGAGAATCAAAAGAAAGAAAAGACGAATCTCCCTCCAAATTCATTCGGACTGCAGCTGGTTGGCCAGACGGTGTCGATGGCCAACGGCCGCTAAGCCTGTCCTGGAGCTGCTGACGACTCACCGCATGCATATAACAGCCCGCGCTTTGGTAAGAACAAGTTGGCGTTGGGTTTTGACTTTATTTTTTGATTCGTTGGATTCCGAGCTCCTGATGACGATTCATTTCAACTGAACATACTTAAATATGTTATGACGAATGATAATAAAGTAAATCAGACTGCGTCTGCACAATACTGGGCAAAACTTCATACTTCGTCGGAGATTGATGAGCTGAAATGTCTCCAGACGAGATTTCAATATGACTGCGGCCTTCGGCAGTATTATTATAATGAGAATAAATATTATTGTATGGTTAAGGGATCTCACATCCACTCTACAAAAGTCTACTGCTTCATGTAGCGTTTCAAAGATAGAAGTAGCAGAACGGCCCAGACAGCGTATCCATCACGTCCTGGATCTGGATTGATGAACCGGTGTACCCCATGTCAATAACATCGGTGAGCTGAGTCTTGTTGGAGGCAGGACTGTTCGCCCAAGTCAAGTGGCCATAGTCTCCGCTGTTGACGTCCTTGTGGCGGGTGGCGGGATCCAGTGCTTGCCTGTGTATATCCGTTAACATCAGATCGGGAGGATCATAGTTGAAGATGAATGAGTTCTAATTCAAAGCCACGTACCAGTAAGTCCACATCTTGTCCATCATTCCATGGTGAACCCAGAAAGCCGGGTCGCCAGGCGAGGTGAACAGGTCAGCACCAGGGTCACCGCTGATGGCGTAGTGCATGCCTCCATGGGGGCCGATCTCAACGGTGTATGGCACACCCTCTGAAAGAAGACGGTACTCGGCGAAGTTCGGCTTGAGAAGAAGGTCTTGATCTTCGTTAGTATCAATCTAGGCAGATCGCAGGGAAGTAGGTCATGACTTACTCAGTACGGTGGTGTAGTTTGCGTATCTGGTGTTCATAGCAGGGCCGACGTCTCTCTTCAGCCCACGCGGGTTGTAGCCAAGACCACCGTCCGGGCCGGCAGCGGTCCCCTCAAGACCCCCGACTGGGCCGAGGTTCACAGTCATGTTCGCGAATGGGCCGGTTGTGACGAAGCCACCTCCAACGCCGGCGGGCAGCTGGATGTTGCCACCGCCGACACCATCAGGGGGCGTGATCACGGGGCCGTCGTGTTCAACGAAGTCTCCATTTCCGCCGAGACTGTACGGGTCACCGTTAAAGATCGGGGACTTCTCCGGGGCGGATGCATATTTCGGCCAGTCCCAGTACTGTTTTACTGTCAGTTCACCAAGACTTCGGGTGGGAGACGCCGTACTTGGTACTTACGGGTTGGTACCCAGTGTAGCCGCACTCCTCTCTCAAGGCCTTCTCATAGAGGTGGACAAACCAACGATGCCATGGCATGAAGTTTCCTGCACTGAAGCGTCAGTAAGGCCTCAAAGAACAACAAGAAAACAGGAGTCTGACCAGTGTAGTGGATCGTGAGAGTCTGCTGAATGTGCGTGACCACGAAATCATCAAACTGTTACACGTTAATCTCGGATCGGTCCGGTCAAGCGGGTTCTGAGAGGGGCAATCGTGGCCTTACCCGCGACCGTGCACCTGCAGAGACGTTGGCCGGTGTGCGCGGCGGCAATCTCTGGAGACATTTGACGGCGTTGACATACGCGAGTCTTTCTTGCTTAGACAGAGACCCACTGAATCAAGTTAGTTCTTGTGATCTCATGTTTGAAAAACAAATAGCTGAGAGTTACGACTCACTACTCGCGGCGGAAGACGAGGTTCTTGGCCGTACAAGTCGCCGTCTCACCGCGCTTCCGAAGGCTCTCCTCGCGCTTATCGAGAGTCTTCAGCACATCAGCCTTGATGCTCTCAGTAAGATCGGCAAACTGGGCCTCGTCGGCAGCGATGTCATCGCGCGCCTGAACCGCCGGGAGGGCCACAGCGGACGATGCCAAGATGGCCGCAGACACGATGGCGCTGATCTTCATGTTGACTGGCTCTCTTGAGATCGAGGATCGATGTCCAGGGCGTTAAGATTGAAAGACACCCAGGCGAGCTTGATCGATGAGAAGAGCTAATCAAGCTCGAGAGGAGGTGATTGAGGTCGAATAATAAACCTGCCACAGGCACGAGTGCAGCGGAGCATAATGCCGGTAAATTTGCAACTCCGGCTTTCATTTCGCAAGAAATTCTTCAATGGCCTGTTGGACTTCGTGCTAAGGCTTGTTCAGGACAAGTTGCCCTGCAGGTCTGCGGCGTTGAGCACCAACGTGCATGTTGGTGGAGTTGTAATTCAGGTGGCACAGCCGCACAAGTCGCATTCGCCCATCTTCAAAATCGTCTCGAACCAACCAAACGGCCATGATGCCGTCGTTGGTCCCCGGGCCCCGGAATGAGTACAGGGGGAGAGATACCACCAGCGCGGACGACCTTCGCAAAAGGGAAGTTCGGGTCTGTTCCGGCGAGTGGTGTAGAGAATCTGGGTTCATCTGGCCGCACCAGCGATCAAGGCCACCTTGCCGAAGGATTTCAATGATGGTCTTGTTGGTGGATAATCTTGAATCCTTCAAGCGAATCAGAACATCTGGAAGCACGACGCTATCGTCTATGACGGTTAGATGGCCCCCTATCGCCACGGTCGCATGCGGGCCCCCTGGATCCGCGGCAACGGTCCTAAGGCGATATCCAGGGGTGATGACATGGGTCATGGAAGACCGGCCGTTCCGCAATGGCACGACGAGCCGAAAGACTTGACCACTTCTTGCTCCGTTCGCTGGCCGAGCCGCCGAATTCTGCGAAGCGCGGCCGTCCGTCAGATCTTTCTTTCCCTTCCCCGGACGCATCCCTGCGAGATTATCAACAGCAGCGGAGACCCACATGCAACTCCTTGATAATCCTTCACGGGGTGAGTGGAACGTTGCGCGGTCTTTCGTGACCATGCCCGGAATTGGAAAGCTCTCGGTGATGGGATGGCACTATGGCAGGGTTCGTCTCGTGTTATTCTCTGTCTTAGTTCTAGCCTGGATGGGAATCCCACGTTCTTGTGGCCAACGGGCGCGTTGTTTGAGAACATGCGGCAATAATCTCGGCGCCTGCAGTGTCCTGTTACCGGGAACTCTTGATTTCGTTCCTGCATGATCCCATCGGACGAGCCACACCGATGTGAGTTCCATCATGCGGGTTGAAATTTTTCGTCACTGTTCTGCGCCTCCTCGATGCAGGAAGACTGCCGACATTCTGTAGCGAAGCGCATGCGGCGTAGGAAGGGAGTTGATATGGCTTTGCCACACAGAGATAAAGAATTAGTTCCTCCTGGACTAAGTCTCAGTTGATCCTTCGTTGTTTTGGTTCTTTTTATGTTTCTGTCGAGACTGCGTTTGTCTGGCGCCCGACAACATGGCCGACTCGTCTGAACTCCCACCGGACATCAACAGAGGTCCCGAGATCCTCGCGATTTGCGGGACCTTGGTGGGTATTTCAGTGGTGATAGTTGCTATTAGGGTCTATGTTAGGGCGAGAATTGTGCGCCTTGTTGGTTGGGACGACTGGTGTATGGTGGCAGCCACTGTAAGCAATCATTGGTGTTTTCTATCTCCTCCATGTTATGCACTCCGTACTCTCTCGCACCGCCAGCCTGTTTTCGAGATGAATTTAGCTGACTTTTGCCTCACATCAGGTTGTCATCTTCGCAGAGATGATGGTCATCATACCGGAAGTTCAACACGGCGGAGGACGGCACTTCCAATACATCGAGCCGAAGGAGAACATTGTCAAGGGACTGCATCTCAACTTCGTCACACAGCCGTTGTGTCTGATAGGGCTGTGCCTAGCCAAAGTCAGCGTGGGCTTGTTCCTGCTGAGAATGACACCATCGGCTCGAATGCGGAATTTCATCTTGGGCACGATCATATTCACGATCCTCTCCGCAACAGGAAATCTTTGTACGGTGGCAGTCTTTCGTATTCAGAGTGCATTTGTCGCTAACAGGTGCAGTGACTGTCTTCTTCCAGTGCCGGCCGTTAGCTTTCACCTGGGACACATCCATAGAAGGGGGAGAATGCATCCCGCCAGGCAACTTGAAGTTCGCCGCCTTCTTCAACTCTGGTAAGTCATTTGCCGCTGCCAAATACTCGCAAGATCCCTGAAATTGACCAAACCTAAATCCCAGGCGTCTCGGTGTTCACTGATCTGCTCTTTGCTCTGCTTCCGATTCCTATGTTATGGAAGGTACAACTCAACTGGAAAGTCAAGTCTGCAGTAATCGGAGTTCTGTCGCTCGGTATTTTGTGAGTGACTGGATAATTACATGTATGAACCCGTCTGGAATGTTGCTGACTTCGCCTTCTCAGTGCAACAGTCGCGGCCATCGTCAAGATATCGTTCCTTCCCAACTACGGCAAGCATGGAGACTTCCTCTTCGACAGCTCAGATATCACTATTTGGTAAGCTTGAACTCATCTCCATCGAACCGCTACTCAGAAAGAACGTGCGTTGTTCTAACACTTATCTCCTCTACCCAGGACCACCGTCGAAATCTGCACAGCCATTGTGGCAGCCTCGATTCCATGTCTCAAACCCCTTTTCAAAGCAATCCTTGCCGGCTCGTCAGCCAAGTATGCTTCGAAGTATAACAACAACACCCATGGCTACATCCGCAACGAAGGAACGAACCGAAGTGGAGTCCCTGGAAATGGATCCGGCAATATTGAGATGTTTTCGAGGTCGCGGCACACAACTGCGATCAACTCTGGGTTCCGGTCGAAGATGGATTCAGAGGAAAGCATTGTTGGCCCACAAGGTAGCGCGCAGTCGGACGGGATCACGAAGACGATGCAGGTTTCTGTGTATGTGGATGAGGGGCAACAGAAGAATCCTAAAGATCTGGTATGAATGATGGACTCATGTTTGATGGCTTCCTATTTCGGTCGCTTTTAGCTCTCGAGGCCGCGATGTGTTCACGAAGAATTCGAAGTGAAGCGTTACTGAGATACTGTAGTATAGTCCTGCATTGGGTATGCTCAACTGATTGTGTGGGGTAAAGAAAAATTCAGTTCACGGTCCGGTGATGTGCAGTTGATCAAACATGTTACATTGGGGCCGATGCATGTGGTCCGCAATTGACAGCAATGAACGCTAGGTCAGCCAAGACGTCACTATGACCTCCCCACGAGTAATTACACCAGACGAACATCATCGACTCACTTTGCACGACCGCATAGAAAACGGAAGTCAGGGCTTCATTTCGCTACTGGCTCATTCTTGTTTCCCCATCTATCGAAACACGGCATAATTTGTGACGATGGCGCCCGACGAAATTACGGTTGAGACTGTAAGGACAGCCCGCTCTCTGCATATTTCAGAATGTTTGATGCATCGATTACTGACACCTTGACAGATCGGTGTAGTGGGAGTGGGCAGTATGGGAGCCGCCATGAGCCTGCTTTTCGCCGAGAATGGTTATCGCATCTTCTTCTATGACCCCAGCATGTTTGAGATCAGCTTCGGGGAACCTTTCGAGTCACCGATACTAACAATCCGCAGCAAAAGAAAACGTGGACAAGCTCCGACATGATGCGATGAACCTCGGCCTCGACGACCGCATCACCGGCAGGGAAAGCTATGAAGACCTCTGCGAGACCGTCAAAGCGGAGAGTAAACCCGGAGTCTTCGTCTTCAGCACGCCCCACGGCTCCGTCGGCGACGAGGCAGTCCAGGGACTTCTGTCCGGCGGTGGGCTTGGAAGGGGTGACATCATCCTGGACTGCGCGAACGAGCAGTGGCAAGCTACGGAAAGACGGCAACGGGAGCTCCGCCCGCGAGGGGTCCACTATATCGGATGCGGAGTTTCGGGTGGATATCAGAGCGCACGGTCCGGCCCCTCTTTTTCACCCGGCGGTGACCCGGAGATTGTTCACCAGGTCTTGCCGTTCCTCGAAAAGCTGGCGGCGAAAGACCGCAACGGCCGCCCTTGCACCGGGTACGTCGGACCTGGCGGTAGCGGTCATTTCGTGAAGATGATTCACAACGGCATTGAGCAGGGCATGATGTCCATACTCGCCGAGGTATGGGCTATCATGGTCCGCGGACTCGGAATGAGCTATGAGGATGTCGGTAAAGTCTTCAAGAACTGGAACGAATCTGGTCCACTCCACGATTGTTTCCTCATCAGGATCGGGGCCGAAATCTCGAATGCCAAGGACGATCATGGGGAAAACCCGCTTGGCCACATTCGGGATAAGGTTGTCCAGGATGTCGAAGAGTCCGAGGGAACCGGCAATTGGACATGCCAAGAGGCCATCGGGCTCCACCAGCCGGCAGCAACAATTGTTAGTGCCCATCTGTTTCGATACGCGTCTGCTTTTGCAGGACAACGGAAGCACAACAAAGATGCTGCGGGCGAGGCAACTAGCTCGAAGGAGTTGGACGTAAAGTCCAAGGAGGAGTTCCTCTCTCATCTGCAGATGGCCACGTACTTTGGGTTCATCACTTGTTTTGCCCAGGGAATGGACATCATCCAGGCACAGGACAAGAAGATGGATTGGAAGCTGAAGTACAGAGACATCCTGCAGCTCTGGCGCGGCGGTTGCATCATCCAAGCTGATGGTATCATCGACGTCCTTGAAAAGATGTACAGTCGCGAGGACCGCAACAAAGACGACGGCATCCTAGCGAATATCGAGGTCGCGAAAGAGTTGTCTGACAGCCTCTTAGCAGCCAAGCAGGTCATCATCAGGGCTATCGAAGCTGATCTTTGCGTTCCTGCGCTGAGTCAAAGCCTAGAGTATTACAAGTACTCAACATCCACCGAGCTTCCGACACAGTTTATGGAGGCTGAGTTGGATTACTTTGGGAAGCACATGTTTGATCGAAAGGAAGATCCGTTTCCGGGCAAGCCCAAGACTGGAGAGCACCATTATGAGTGGAAGCCGGCAGTGGGAAAAAGAGACAAGTAGACTGCAGTGGATGTCGTGATGGATTGAGCGAGTTGGTAAACCATCGTGTTCGAGTGCCATAGATAAGTAATAGACCAGGACCTGCCCTTCAATGGGGTATCCGCAAAGCAGGCTGTGACTCAATCTTGCAAATGCCAATGAGGCTTCATCATCACAACTTCCGCGTCACCATCATAGATTCTGATCATGACGATGACATTGATCAAGTTGCTGTTAGGCTACGTCAATTTCGCGAACAAAATACACCAACTAGAAACAGTCTAGGAGGGAATTGGTCGGAGAATACTTCACGTGGCCAAGATACTTGGCACCCATCTCCCACCGGCATCTTACAAGGACCCTTGTTCACCTGTTCAGGCTAAGAATTGGTAACCTGATGTCCACGAGGGTCGTCGATGAGGATTTCGTTGTTCCAGTTGGATTTCTCAGCAATCTTTGATGAAATAGTGTGCGTCTGCGCGCAAGACGCGGCAGCGGCTAAGATGGTGGCCGCCATGGCACCCGCGTGGCCGTGGAGCGTTACCCATCGAGGCGGAACATCTGAGTCCACCTAGACCGTTTCCGTGGGCTTCAAAGACAATGCCCAGCGGCTAAGCTCCACATGGAGACTGCGGGGAGAAACGAAGTCTCCAATGTTCCAGCCGGTTGGGAACTAGAATCGGAGCCTAAAATGATGTCTCAATGATTGATCAATTGGACTTTTCGGAGATCGCCAAAGAGAAGAGATTTGTGAGCAGATTCAAATAAGTTTCGTTATGTTTCCGAGAAACTTCACCGTGCTTGACAGCTAAACATTTCCTTATTCGGACATGAGAAGGTGGCCTTGACTCGTTGACAGACACGACTCCTGCTGTGCGTCTGCAACCCTCACATGTTTGACAGCATGAGATGAACCGGCAACGCGCAGAAAACCTGTGCACCGTCCATGCCGATGCCATAGCAGCTGCACAAGAAAAAAAGGTTCACATCGGTGTCTCATGCAGTTGCGCGTCTAGCCGTCTGTCGGCGGCCTCATTGGGGTAGCGTCTTCGGGGTCTAACGCTGCAACCGGAACGGCTGGAACCAAGGTGACGGGCGAGTTTGCCAGAGTTTGCCAACGTTTGCGGCCACGCAAACAAACTCTCTTGTTCATCAGCTCTCCAGGGTTCCACGGCGTTGGTACTCACCAATCGCTTTCGCTTCCTGTGCGACCGATAGCATTGGCTGTAACGGGCATTGCGAAGCTGCGCCATTCTTGCGCCATGCCCCTTTTGCCCTCGCCCTCGCCTTCACCCTCTCTTCCCTTCACAGCAATATCGCTCACCATCGCCGAGCCCGAGTTCCCGCCGCTTGGCCCGATCACCCGTTGCTTGGCCGGACGGCCCGGGTAAAAAAACGAACCAACAACAAATTGAATCTCCCAGAATAGGGTGGGAATAGGGGGCATAGCGCGTAACGGCACGTCGCATTCTGCAAATACCCGGATCGCCCTGTCCGATTTCCCCTTCTGATGAGTTCCTCTTCAGGCTCAGGGGTCATTAATTGCACCTATTAATGCTCTTCGCCCCAGAACAACTAAACATCAGACCAAACTCTGGGTGCCGACGTCTGGGCTGACCCTTGCCGGCGAGTCATGGTTGGGCCACTGCCGCCGCGGCGTTTGCCTGCAAGCCCCAGAAAAGCAATTAGCTTGCGTGGATGAGCTGGGGCTTTGCTGAACTCTATCCAACAATTGCGGTGCGCCTCGTCCGACAAAGGGTATTGTTCGACAAAGAGGTGCCGTTCCGTGGTGGTATATGAAGGATTGCGATGTCCGACCGTAAGAGCCTCGAGATGAACGGTTTCACCACACCACCACCACATTCTTTTGCACATATTCCCTTCTGGTGTTTCTCTCGATATCAATAGTAATGTCGCTCGCTAGAATCACCAAGACCTCGGTCGCGGCCGTGCTGGCCGTGTGCGCCTCCGCGGCGTGCGCTGCCGGCAATAACTCCGCCTCCGGCCTCGTTTCCTCGACTTACTTCGCGGGATACCACGCCAACCGCGGATTCCCCGTATCTGACATGCCGTGGGAGAAGTACACGGACGTCAAGTACGCTTTCGCCGAGACTTCGGAGGACGGCTCTCTCAACTTGACCAAGTCCGCTCCCGATCAACTTCCGGCATTTGTCTCGGCCGCCAAGGCCAAGAACGTCAAGGCTCTTGTTTCCGTCGGAGGATGGACCGGCAGCCGTTGGTTCAGCACTGCCTTTGGAAGCGCAGAGAACCGCACTGCTTTCGTCAAGACCTGCCTAGACCTTGTTGAGAAGGTATGATCGCCGACATCTCATCACTATCAATAGCAGCAACTGACAGTTCTAGTACTCTCTCGATGGTCTCGACTTCGACTGGGAGTACCCCAACCGCCAGGGTCTCGGCTGCAACGCCATCAACAAGGACGACACTGCGAACTTCCTCTCCTTCCTCCAAGAGCTCCGCCAGAAGCAGCCCAAGCAGCTCTACCTGACCGCGGCCACCAGCTTGTTCCCTTGGTACAACACCGCCGGCGTCAGCAGCGTCAACGGTACCCTCAGCGGCTTCGCCGACGTCCTCGACTATGCCATGATCATGGCCTACGATATCTACGGCGCCTGGGCGGCCACCGGCGGCCCCAACGCTCCTCTGGCCTACACCTGCGACTCGCGCAACAACCAGGGCGGAGCCAAGGAGGGTGTTGACAAGTGGATCAACGCCGGCATCCCGGCCAACAAGCTCGTCCTCGCCGTCGGCGCTTACGGACACGGTTTCTCCGTCAACTCTACCAGCGCCTTCTCCGGAAGCAACACGCTGAACGCGTACCCGGCCCAGAACAGCAGCAACCGCTTCCAGGGCAGCAGCTGGGACGACGACCCGCGTGTCGACGACTGCGGTAACGCTTCTCCCCCTAGCGGCACCTACCAGTTCTGGAGCTTGATCAAGGAGGCCAACTTCCTCGATGAGACTGGCAAGCCTCGTGAGGGTATTGCCTCCGGCTTCGACAACTGCAGCATGACTGTAAGTCTACATCCTCTAACCATGCAACTCTGAACCTTTACTAATGCGTGTGACAGCCTTTCATGTACAACGAGACTGCTCAGATCTGGGTTTCCTACGACAACCCCGAGTCCCTCACTGCCAAGGGCAAGTACATCACCAGCTCCAAGCTTGCTGGCTTTGCCATGTGGGAGGCTGGCGGTGACTACAAGAACATTCTCATCGATTCTATCCGCTCCGCTGTTGGATTGTAAGGCCTGGGATTCTGGGGTTTCTTGTACATTATTAGAAAATTTGTCTCAGCGACATCGCGTCTATAATACCACGTCTTCTTTTCTCATGAAAACGATATACGACATGTCGCTTGTCACTTCGTGAGGTCAACACAACCATTATTTTCAGCCGTGAAATTGCATCAGACTAAACATGTAAAACGTTCAATTGCTGTGGATCAGCGACGATCTCAATCACGGTGAACTTGGAGAACTACAAAGTCCGAGTTCCGCGTGTCATGTTCTCGGCGAAACCTTCGGCGAGAGCTATAAAGCCGAAACTCTGATCCAATTGAAATCTTCTTACGCGAGCTTTTCTGCACAAACCTGCTGTGTACTCGACAGCTGATCCAGTACGACCATATTTGCATGTTCATTCTACGTGACAGCTCAGACGGCTGAGTGCAGTGAGGATCAATGAGACCGACTGAGCAATTTCTGCATGGTCTTACATACGTTGAGTCCATGTTGCCCATGTGTAATCCAGATCTCATCCCGGCTGCCAGCAGATAGGGAAACCAGCTGATGCTGACCTTCCGACGAGGCAGACCTGTCCTTGTTCAACAAACCAATATCTTGTACGATGTGTATTTCTGACCGAGGCTGTCTGGTCTGAGACATAGCCAGCTGCCTCGATGCGTTCGCCGGGTAGGGTTACGCAGCTCACAGTGATGTTGGAGAACTACCCGTTCGTGTCGTCCTTTTTCCATCTACATCGCCATTTTCTGAAGTCTGACTTCCATGCTCTGGAATCTCACAGCCAACGGACGCCATGCACAACTCTGATGAGCCAGACTTTGAATTGAGGCCTGTTGTGCCGCGTCGATCGTCCGCAGCCAGCTCGAACAGCGGCAATGCTGCATCAGAACAGCAGTGTTTCCTCGCCAACTTCGATAATGCTTATAATGTCGACATTGATCCAGAAGCTCTACGAACTCACGCGCCTGGGCAACAATCTCAGATTGACGTTCACGGAGACATGGAAGATGAGACTGAGGCGGCGACAGTCGAAGTCGACCAGTCAGTTCATCACGCAGATGTCGATCCACGACTTCACTCACCTGAGCCGGAACCTCAATCTCACGGCCACGAGGATACCGCGAGTGTAGCTGGGGTAGAATCAGCTGAAAGCAACGAAACATCTCAGCAACCCGATCCTAACCCACGAACCCACGCGCCTGAGCAGCACCCTCAAGTTGCTGTCAACAAGGATGCTGGCAACGAAGTCGGCGCGGCTTCAGCCGAACAAGAGGACAGTGCGATCCATTCAGACCAAGCAGTCACCGACCAAGGTTCAGTAGTGATGGCTTGGTGTCCAACCTGGTTGCGAGGCGATATTCTTGCAGGCTTTGCCGGCTTGTTCTTCCTCATAACGGTTGCTCTTACGCTCATCCTGTGGTACGACAGTAGACACGATGGTGGCATAGCAAAGTCTCAAGATGGCTTCATTCACGTTTGGGGCTTTGGCCCTACCTTTTGTAAGCTGCACAGAGCCGCACACAGGTTATTGCAACACAGTATGGTAACACATTCCGCAGTCTTCACCATCATCTCTGTCTTTTGGGCGAGAACTGAGCTTCAGGCTCTGCGATACATGCCTTGGATTGCTTTGAATGCAAATGAGAAGTTGTCAGCAGACGAGAGTTTGCTCGGACTGGACTACCTGTCAATGTCGTCGCCAAAGGTTCTTATTGAATCGATACGGAGAAAACATCACCTAGTGTCTCTTGCTGCTACCATTTCGCTGCTTCTCAAGGCTCAGATTACACTCTCTACTGGTCTGTTTATCTTGAGTGAGGTTGGTATCAACCAGCCCGTCAACGTTACGGTTATGGATTCATTCGATATCAATCGCGGCAATTGGGATCTTAACCATACAAACATCGGGTATTACCTCGCTCGTGCGGGGTATGAATTCGGCATGATCTATCCATTTGGAGCCAGCGAAATAGCAGTTTACCAAACCTTCAACATTCGTGATCACCGACGTATTTCTCGGGGCACTGTTGATACCCCCTTGAAGGTCATTGTGGACGGGCTTTTCTCAGGCATACGTTGCCTCACACTCGAAAGCCACAATGTCACCGACTTCACAGCCGATAGGTTTAGCGAACGCGCTTTTCTCGATCTTCATTTTAAGAACTGCGACCGAGTTATTAAACTGGAAATATATTATCCTGAAAGACTGAACGGAAGTAGAAAAGCGACTTGGGCCTTCGGAAGCGACCTCACGCCTGAAAATTCGTGTTCGACTCTGCCACAACAAAACAAACAATTTGTCTACTTTGCGGGGATAGCCGCAGCATCGGAAACGAATCGGTCTCAGTTTCGACTTGAAAGTGGGACGCCCTCTGGAATTATTTGCTCGCCAACCTCGTGGTTATCGGAAGTAGAAGTTACCGACAACGGCGTCAGTCCAAATATCAAACCACTACCAAACAAAAGAAAAAAAGACGTTATTTTCGACATATGGAACGCAATCACATACTCTTGTCCGTCTGAGGCTCGATTTCACACAGTACCTCAGAGGGAGATAACCGGGCCGGTTGCGGTGGACTGGGTGAGAGATGACATCGACGACCCGCTGAAATCAACGCTTTACAGTAATGAAGTTTTGCTTAATTCAACCCTTAGGCTATCGTCTACCATGAGTCCGCTAATGGCTCATCTCTATCTTCGACAGCCTAAGCCTCGAGAAATCAACGGAACACTGTTGATGTCGTCCAGGATTGTGAGGGTTAATCAGCGTACGACTCTGTCAACGGCGGTACTCTCTGCTATCATTACAACTTTATGTTGTACAGTGGTTATTCTCCGAAAACGGCCCAATCAAGAATTGGGTTGTAGTAGAGATCCAGCTACTCTTCTCGGATATTTCTCGTTCTTTCATGAAAACCCGACCATTAGCCGAAAATGCTCGCTCCTATCCGCCAAGGCCGCTGGGATGGGCTGGAATAATTGTACAGCGTCACCGTTTGTGCTCTTGAGCTGGATACGAGCCCCATTTACCTTCGTCATTCTCAGTATCGCCATTTGTCTGATTATGACACTATCAAGATCACAATCATTCAATGGACTAGCTACAATCACTGAAGGAGGAGACACCCAAGAGAGCCTCCTATGGACCTTCTTACCAGCCTGTGTTGTACTCTGCATCTCTCTCCACACACAGTCCGGTAATACAGCATATCGATCACTGTCGATATTTGGGCTTCTATGCGCGAAGCCCCTGAGTGCCAAACTACTTGATCAGTCACTCTTGGACATTATTGGCTTCCGGAGTTTATACCGATCATTCTATCAGACAGCTTACACTCTCACCCTCTCGCAAGCACTACTCTTTGTCTCTACTCTCTTAACTACTCTTGTCTCTGTTCTCTTCACCACCGTGGAGTTCACACCGGACTTCCGGTTCTTTCCGCTCACCCCAGACTCATGGCTAGGCTCCTCCATGCCTGTAGATCGGACGACAGGTTTAAGCACACGGATGGCATTGAGAAGTCTACTTTTGATGCGTAAGGATTCCAACTTTACGTACCCACCAAACACGTATCGCGATATCGTCTTTCCAACTTTCGTGGGCCCGGACGACCTAACAGACCACTCAACACTGCTGGTAAACGCCACAGTTCCAGCAGCTCAATTACAATTCAACTGCACACAACCAGGCGTCGACGACTACGTTATCTCTGGTCAATACGAGAATGACGAGAAGAACTACTTCCGAATCGATGTTAATCACCGAGTGACCTGTCCAAATGGAACAGTTGTCAGAAATGAAATGAGCCTCAGCGGAGGTGTCGTGCCGGATACGACTGGGCATTGGTATTTCAGCTACGATCTTCCATCAATAGACGATTGGTTTGCAGTCAGTTATTTATGCGAGCTGGAAGAAGACTTCATGTCTCGATACATAGATTCGGCGACCTCTAGATCAAAAACATATATCTGGGGTGCATGGTCATTGACTGAACGCAAATTTAGCCTTCTCTCAATAACTGCATGTCAGTATGCATGGTTTGAAATGGAAACCAATGCAAGTCTAGTACGTGAAGATGGCCACTGGAGTTTGAACAGAACGACAACGCCACAGCCCGGCACTGCGCTGGCGAAGGTGTGGGAGCCCTCCTTCAATATACCAAGGGCGGAAATTCCCGACCCCGATTCCAACTCCCTGACTGTCTTTCCGGAGATTGAGCTTCCAGATCCCTGGTTAACGCACGTAAGTCGCCAACTTGCACTTTTACTTCAGCCATACGGAGACTTCTCTGTTCAAGACTTAGGGAATCCGCTTAAGAAAGAGGAGATAACCGATGCACTCTGTCAAAATCTAGGCTTTATCACTGCTCAGATCGCCAACGTCGAAAATCGTATCTACGCCGGCGAGAACGCTACAGTAGCCACTGAATCAAGCCGTTCACAAGTCACTGCGACCGTCACATACAAGGCACAGTCCCGGTTGGTTCAGAATAAAACACCAACCTACGTTATCGTCGCAATCCTCACAGCCATCATTTTCGTCAATGCATGGAGTTTGCTTTCGGCTATGATTCGTCATTTCAAAGGACGACAGTATCGCAACAAGCTATTGGATATGAATGTCAAGGGTCTTGCGCCGGAGAACTACAACAGTATTGCTGTCATGAGTAGTCTGCTCAGCGAGTCAAATCTGCCAACGTATCTTCCCGTCAACACCCGGCTACTGTCTTCGGAGGAACTGCACAGCATGCTCTCTGGTTTGAGCTTCCGCATGGGCTGGTTTCAGCGAACAAATCCATCATCAGAACCTAGCAAGCATTTCACCATTGGTGTTATGGAGGATGAGAACTTCGTCTTCTTGGGAAGCAAAGAGGACATGAAGAAGAAGGAAGCGGACACTCAAGACCCTCCATCTTGATACGGCAAAACAAAGACGACGTATTAATTGGCACTGAGGATGCAGACATTGGGGAGAAGATCTCGTCGAGGTTTGGCATCTGCAGCGGATGTGGTCGACCTACATGTAGGAATCGGCATGCACAACGAAGGCCGCCCAGTTGAGAATGAAGAGGCGGGTGGTTGACCCGAGCCAAAAACAGGGTCAGGAGTTCGGAGCTTGCGGTTCGTCATAAGAGACTCATGATGCTTGCAAAGCGGGTGGAGGATGTTGGTTTTCGGCAAGGTTTTCCATTTCAATTCAACGGGGGAACATGAACGTGCATTTCATCTCCACCACACTCAGCCCCAGTTGCCCCTTTTGTCTGCACGTCACCAGTTTTAACTCAACGCTTCAATCGCATTTGCAAGTACAGTCTATGCTTCAGGTCAGCCAAAAGTTCAAACCTCAGAAGGCAATTGGTGATGTCGGTGAGCCTGAATCTTCCATGTCTGGTTGTAAAATTTCGAATCCTCCACCAACTAGAATCGGCAAAAACATACAACACCGGGGATTCCCCAGTCGTCACCGACCTGAGTACTAATCCGGCGCTTTCCAGCTTGACTATGGGAGAGCGGACGGGATCCCGTACTTTCTGGAAGCTATGGTCGTATGTGATGGCTTGTTGACGTTGCTGGTCTTATGAAGCCTCGGGCCCAAGTGATGATGGAGGTCTGGCGTTGTAGCTATTCATCGAACCTTGTCGACTGTGCTCAACTCTCAAGTCTGGACCTGATTCGCTTTCTAATCTGCCAGGTTCTTCAAGTAAGTGAGGCAGAGATGAATTTTTCGCACCGACCATGTGAAGATGTTGTCTTCAATAGACTTCGTAACAGCTCCAAGATAGGGGACTTATCATGCCCGCAGACGTGGTGGAGGATGTTGATAACTCACAGCTCTATCTGGAAATTCTAGCCACTCATGGCAGTTTTCTTCAAGAGCAGTCCACCATTTCACGCTCGGCCACTCCGTTATCTGCATGGCTCGGGAGATCTCCAAGATTGAGCTCGGGAAAAAGATGCTCGATCCGGCCGGCTGACCCACTTCAATAAGGCGAACCTCAACCACCGGGACCCTTTGTCCTGGAGCCAAAGCTCGGGACAATAATGCCGCATAGGGAGTAGCAGTTCGACGATGATCGGGCCGTTTAGTTCTAGATACAAGTGAGATGACCTTGGAGGATGATCACGATGTTCGGGAGCTTTTGGGATGCCGAAGGCAAATATTCACAGTGAGAAGACAGGACGAAAAGATTTAGCTGTCCGGTCACTGGTGCTGGTTTTGGGATATAAGAGACCTGTCTTGCCAAAGGTTCTGAGGTCTAAACTGACAACTCTCATTCATCTCAAGCTTCTAAGCACGTCACTCGTTACCGAAGCCACAGAGACTTTGAAAATCATTCAACGCAACGATGAAATCTGCTACTTTCATGTCCTTCTTGACCCTCTCGGCGGGCTACGTGTTCCAGCCCGAGAATGAGACGGACTTTCGAAACGTAAGTTGCGACTTCAGCAAACATCCACGAAACCTTTCGTGTTCTGATTGCCAGTAGCCAAACATCCCGGGCTTATTCAACTACACCGAAAGCCAGTTCGACATCTCCACCGGATCATCCTACTGGATAAGCTCCTACATCACCGGAAACGACGGCCGGCAGTACATGGCCCTCTCTCACCTCTTGACCACCCACAGCCCCAGCCCCGTCTGCCGCTCCTCCATCATCGACCTTGAATTGAAGGAGTACTGGGTCGATCTGACCTACTGCACCTCCACAAACGGAAGCGGCTTCGATAATGGCAAACCTTTGAACGCCGACTACGGCACCTACGCCTTCGGATCCACCTCAGATGACAGTGTCTCCAGCATGTACGCCTACGCTCACACCGATAAGGGCTTCTCCATCGACCTCGAATGGAACCTGACTTCCCGAGTCATGCTGAACGGCGGCACCGGCATCATCCCCTTTGGAAACGTCCCCGTCAACGCCACTGAATGGGGCGTACCCGCAGGCAGAACCACGGGCACGATCACAGTTAATAACAAAACCATCGCCGTCAACCCATGCAGCTCCTTCACCTGGTACGACAGACAACTCTCCCACGGCGCGCCCAAGAACTGGACCTGGTTCGAGATCAACTTCCCCGGCTCGGACGTCAAGGCCAGCGTCTGGGCGTACGACCTGATCGGCGACGAGTCCACGCGCTTCGCGACTGTTCGCTCGGGTAACAGTTACCACGTGGTTGCGTACGATCTGGAGCCTGATTACACCAAGACGTGGACTTCTCCCAAGTCGAACATCACGTACCCTCTTAGCTGGAACCTGAACTTCGAGAATGGCGATCATCTTCTGATCGAGTCGATCCGGCCTGATCAGGAGATGTATGGCGACAAGGCCTTGGTCGACTCCGCTTACGAGGGGTTTGTCAAGGTTCGTGGAAGCTTCTACGGACAGGAGGAGGGCTTTGGTGTTGCAGAGCTCGTTTCTGTGTACTGAAACCTTTTTCGGCGGAACTCTGGAATTGTCGAGTCCTGTCGTTGACCTTTGTTTTGGAGACGAGGAAAGGCATCCACGTCCCTCCAGGAAAGGGTCCGACATTTTCATTTCTTTTGGTTTAGAACAATTCAAAGAACTTCGCGCCGCGAATCTCCATTCTAAGTCATTATTTTTAAATGGGGTTTCTGGTAAGATATGGGAAAAGAAGGAAAGAGGGAAGATTAAATAGACTCATAAACAATATTCTCGCCAGCTCGTCAAGCGGTCATGACGTTGCATTTGCTGCAAGCCTTTTGAACGCTCCAGAAAATGGAATCTCTGAAACTTTCTTCTTCAGACAAATGTTGCATCACGGAGTTGTCTGCTTCCTCTGACGTAGCTATCGGAATGATATTATCACTCCAGTTTCTGAAAGTAAACATCACACTCTGGAATCAGGGCGTCAAGCTATTGACATATGATGCTATGTTACTTGTACTGATCTTGAATTACATACAGACCCTTTCATCACAAGGTCAATTTATCTTATTACACTCTTGATATCATCCATTTCTACAGAAGGCCTCTTTCAGTTAGTGAGTTGCTTTTCTAGTTGTGAAAACCTCACTTGAGGGAGCTCATTCTTTGAGGGCTAAAATCCGAGACCTTTCATTATGTTTAAGCTCTTTTTCTTCACATGAATCACTCTACTACAAGGATAAGTGCAGAGTTCATGTGTTTCTCGGCTGGTCTTCTACCCGCTCTTTCTACCTTGGCCTGCGATCTTCACCTGAGAACATGCAAATTCTGCACACCAGGAGCGCCTTCCAGATTTGCTCTTGAATTCCACCCTCAAATCTGCTCTTTCCTTTCGATAAATAAGCGAGCTGAGAACATTTTTTCTTTCGCCTTTTCGTTCCTTCCACGAAACCATCTACTCTGAATTTACCTAACGACTTCTTCTTTGCAACTTCTTCCTTCCAACCACCAAGCAATTTCTCCCACATACAACTCCCAGCAAAACCAGAAGGCCTTCACTTGCCTTCCACAATCTACATCCCATTTACCTCATCTCACCTTCCACCGGTACGCAAACCTCACGAACCCATCCCTTCTTCACCAACTAACCACCCCCCAGCACCACCCGCCACGATGCCCCCCAAGAAGGCCACCAACGCCGACGACGCCGGCGCCGGCAGCACCCACGGCTACACCGACGGCGAGATCCAGCTCATGATCGCCCTCATCAAGCGCATCCCGCGCCCCGCCACCTTCGACGCCGACCAGATCGCCGTCGACATCGGCTCCGCCAGCGGCAGCAGCGTCAAGAAGCGCATCAGCAACGCCGTCGCCAAGTACGGCTGGTTCGCCGGCGGCACCGCCACTGCCTCCGACGGCGACTCCGCCACCCCCGCCGCGACCCCCGTCAAGAAGCCCCGCGCCAAGCGCACCCCCAAGAAGAAGGCCCCCGACAGCGCCGATGACGACGAGGAGGGTGCCGAGGAGACTCCCAAGAAGAAGAAGGCGCGTACGAGCAAGGCCAAGACTAAGGTTGAGCCTGAGGCTGAGGCGGAGGCTGAGGAGGAGAAGAAGGTTGTCAAGGAGGAGAGTGGTGAGGGTGCTGGTGGCGAGGAGGGCGAGGGCCAGATTTGATATGTTCACGGACGAGATTTGGCATGGCGGTTACGGTATTGGGGGCAGCTTCATCTTTGGAATTTGAGATTTGGCTTGTTCTGGAACTGAATAACCCTTGGGATGGACTTCTGCGTTGGAGAGATGGCATGGGCTCTGACGAACAGATGAGAAATGGCTGAATGAGAACGATCACTGATTATCTCACTTCGATGTCCCTTGTGAAAAATGTCTCCTGCCGCTGAATGCCCGAGCTCCTTCCAATTCCAGATGAAGAATTTCTTTTTCTTGTTCACTTCCGTGCAGAAATTAGCTTCATGACGCAGCGCTCGCCCATCCGCCAAGTACACAGACCGCCTCAGGTCCATGACATCATGCGGCTCGCATCTCATTGCCGACATTCTCAACCTCTCTAAATGTAACGCTTTTTCTTTGCCACATCGACGGTTGAGACATCACGAAAGTAAACTCACGATTTCGACTCAAAATGTCACCAAAAAAGACCAGCAAAGAGTCGCCGAGTAGCTCCGCGTCCCCCGAACCCGGCTCGAAGCGCAAAGCAGCCACCAAAGATGAGATCAAAGACGAGCACGAGGCCGCGGAGCCCGAACCCAAGAAACCAAAGACAGCAACCAATTCTTCCGTCATCGAATGGCTCCTCACCGACGAAGCCTTCTCTCTCGCCTTCCCCTCCCTCCCGCCAGGCCACGGTGAGATAGACTGGGAAGCCGGCCACGCGCAGCCCCAAAAGACGCCTCCGCCCGAAGATGCCGGCAAGAAGAAGTCCAACGGCGAAGAGCAGATTCCACTCCTGACGTACCCGGACTCTTCCCTCACGCCATTTCAGAACCTTACGGCGGCGCTGCTGCTCAGCAAACCCATCTCGCACCGCCTGGGTCTCCGGACCATCAACACCCTACTAAACCCACCGTTCGGCCTGCGGACTCTCAAGGATCTGGACGAGGCGGGGTTTGAGGGGCGGCGGAAGGTCGTGTGGGAAGCGAGGACGCAGCATAAGGAGAAGACGGCGGCCCAGCTTGGGGATCTCGTTCAGAGTGTTCGGGATATTTGCGGCGTGGAGGAGGATGAGGATGTTGAGGAGATGGAGGGCTTGCGGGCGCAGATCAAGGATTTGAAGACACCGGAAGAGGCGCAGAAGAAGGTTGAGAAGATCTTGACGGATGGCGTGAAGGGGATCGGGCCGACGGGGGCGGGGATCTTTCTGCGGCGGGTGCAGGAGAGGTGGGAGGATGTGTTTCCGTATGCTGATAAGAGGGCGTTGGAGGTTGCTGTTCAGTTCAAGATCTTGGAGGAGGGCGATGGTGCGGAAGAGCTTGCGGAGAAGGTTGATGGGGATCGAGCGAAGTTCGTCAGGCTTCTTGACGTACTTGTCGGGATCCAGCTTGAGAAGAAGACGGAGGAGGCCCTGAAAGTAGCTGGTGTCACGAAGTAAGGGTCAGTAATGGGGAATCGTGGTTGCTGCTCATCCATCATAATTCATTTGAGGTGTAGCTCGCTGATAATCATCTACTTGAAGACATTAGCATGCGTGATCCCGCCCGCAGATCTCATTCCTCTTCGCCGTGATTTTGGTCCTTTTCCTGGTCCTCCTAGTACCTAGGGTTCTGTCCGTAGTCTGGGTTTTGGCCATAGCCCTGGTTCTGATCGTATCCTTGATTTCCACCGTAGCTCTGGTTGCCTCCATAGCTCTGGTTCTGGCCGTAGTTCTGGTGCTGGTCGGGCTGGTATCCTTGATTCTGCTGGTACTGATCCGGCCGATAGTCTTGATGCTGCTGATGTTGCTGCTGGTAGTTGCCCTGGTTGTACCCTTGACCCCCAGATTCGTGATGCGAGGGCGGCGGAGGATAGTTGCCCTGAGGGGGAGGAACAGACTGATTTCCACCACCAAGCTGCACATTCGGCGAGCCGACGCTGACGCCTTCGTTGCCAATGTCGTCCGGCACGGTGATCTTCACGTTGGGAAGGTACTTCTGCACCTTGCTCTCGACCATGTTCTGCACAAACACCCAGCTCTCGCGCTCGAACCTGCGGTGGCCACCGTTCACGACACCCAGGATGCTCTCGCGCAACGTCTCCTGCACCTTCCGAATCAGGCCGCGAATCTTGCTGACCAACTTCGCCTTGATGTCGTCGCCGAAACCACGATCCGTCTGGCCACCAGCCTCGCGATCGAGCTGCGAGTCAAAGGGGTTGCCGCCCAGAATCTTTTCCAAAGGTCTCTGGAACTCGTCGGGAAGGAGCTCGAACAGCTGCTTCTCGATACCACCAAGCACGCTGCGGAACTCGAGACGGACTTCCCTGTGCACCTTGGCGATACCCGTACTGAGCTTGTCGCTGATGACCTTGGAGAATCCACCGCCGCTTCCTCCGTCATCGCCGTCGCGGTCGCCGAAGCCTCTGGAGGCACCCTCGTCGGAGGAGTGCTTCTTGCCGAAGAGACCACCGATGCCCTTCACCAAGTCCTTCACCTGGTCCTCGACCTCGCCCTTGACTCCGTCGCCGATGTCGCGAGTGCTCGTGTTGCCGCGCAGCCACTTCTTGATGTGGTCGAGGGCGATGCGGGTGAACTGCTCCGCGATCGGGGCGTGCTGCTCCCTCAGCTTCGCGCCGACCTTCTCCTTGATCTCCGGGCTGATGACGCGGGCCTTCTCTTCGGGGTTGCGGGCGGCGTCCTTGACAGTGTTGCTGAGCACGCCGAGGAGACCGTCAAGCTCGAACTTCTTGCCGCCTCCTTGGCGGTCGTCGCCAATGTGATCCTGAACTGCGTTGATAGCGGCTGAGAGGAAGCCCTTCGCCCCGCGAGAGAAGGAGTCGGTGTGCTCGATGCCGCGAGACTGTTCACCGCCGCCTCCGCCACGACCCTCGGTCAAGTCGAAGATGTCTCTCAGATCATCGCCGGCTTCATCGGTGATCATGCTGAAGCTCCGGGTGAGCTTCGCAATCTCGTCGGCGAAGGGCAGGGACTGGCCGCCATAGGCATCCGGAGGCGAGTCATTGAGGCTCCTGGCACCGCTAGGATCCTTGTCCTTGTTGAAGAGAGAGCGGAAAGCGTCGATGACCTGGTCCTCGAGACTATCGATGGTCTTGGTCTGGAAGAGCTCCAGCTCGGAGGTGATGCGGGGCTGGATCTGGGGCGCGAGCGAGTCGACGTACTTGTCGATCTTCTCGAAGACGACGTCCGGGATGCCGTGACGGGACATGGTTGCAGTGGAGGGATCGGAAATGGTAAGGACGGTGGTGATGTCTTGACGGGTAGGGCTGGTGCTATGCCCAACTTGTACTTCCCGCTGATGAGGCAAAGCTGGAGGCCGCCGGGGTTGGCTGAGCCCATTGCTGAGTTGAGACGTGGACTGGAAGCTGGCGCGGGGAGGTGGGGCAGCGACGCGTCCCGGTCACGTGTCATGACGTCAGTCTCTTTGGAAGCATTGTTGCCCCGGATAAAGGGTAGGATGACCTTTAGTCGCATACACCGATTTGATCCTTCTGTCTTAATGCGGTTTGAGCGTGGTATCGAGTAGCCTATGTAATTAGCTGTACGAATCAAACATCAAGAACAAGACGGGATCGTATTTTCTTCAAATCACAACACTGAAGCCCAGTCGCAAACTCCTTAGTTTTTACACTTCTCTCCAGACGATTCATGCCTAACCAATTATACCTCGAAACAGTGCTCTGGCGGTTTCGCCTCACTTTTCATCACACTGCATGATGCGGTGCTTATTACCAGGCGACCAGCTGCCTTTTGACCCCGGCCTCCGGTGCTGCGCCCCATCGCCGGCGAACAATAAGAATCTCACCGTTCCCCGCTCTGTGTGGTAGGATTGTTGTCTTTTCCGCATCATCAACCAGCTGAGAACAGCCACTTATCTTATCCTGGTTGTTTTCTCTATCTCTTGAATTCAGGTTTCCTCATCCAAGATGCAACGGGGCGAATCAAGTCACTCGCAAACGCACGATGACAGACACACTCACGGCACATCGAATGAAGACAGACGCAAAGAGATTGACTCCGGCATGGACGTAATTATGGCCACAGACTCGGACTCAGATGGCAGCGGCCTGGATGCCTACTCTACGGAAGAAGAAGACGACGACGATGGATTGTCGGAAGAAGCAACCCTGGCATTTAGTCGCTTGGCATCGAGACTCTGTGTCATGTGCAACTACTTCTTCCAAGAAACCATTCCTCAACACCGAACCGGAGGTACAATATTTCATCCATCGATGTCTTCCTTGAGAAGCTCCGTTCGATCTGGCTGCCCTTTGTGCAAGGAGCTTTCCGTTGCATTGGACGCTTTCTGTCAGAAGTCCAAACTGACAGCCTGCAATTCGTGGTACATCAAATGTGCAGTCGACATCAATCACGGTCAGATGGAGGAACGCGATTTCGACGAGCTGCAGCTTTATTTCCACCTTTTCGAAGAGCATGGCCGTAACCTCGATCACGACAAATATTGGGGCTTCAAGCATATATACTTGTCTCGAGTGATGGCTGGGACCGGGCGGGGGTATCCAGGGCCAAGGCTCTTAAGTAAGTTTAGTGACATTACATTGTATTCATTTTACATCAACTGACTTACAAAAGACCTCGATCTCGGGACAACCTCCCCAAAATCAGAAACAAGCATGGGTTTGATTCGATCTTGGTATCGCAAATGTACCTGCCGCGGTTGGGGAACCGAATCTCGAAAATTGCCGACTCGTTTGGTCAGAGTCTGGAGGCCCTGTGTGGGACTTCCCGACATATCAGCCAGTCTTTGCGAGACGAGGCATTTACCAAGGACCACTCGATATATTACATTGAGTCACCGGTGGCCGAACAGGACTTTCCTTAAGCTAAAAAGACAGAATCAGAGCGCGTTGCAGCAAGAGATACCAGTACCGGAGCTTCTTCAAGTTTTCAAAGACGCCATGTATGTTGCTACCGAACTCGACATTCCGTACATTTGGATTGATTCTCTTTGCATTATCCAAGACTGCTCAGAAGACTGGGCTCGAGAAGCTGGGAGGATGGGAGAGGTCTACCAATATGGAGAATTTAATGTTGCAGCGACTGGCTATCAAAATGGGGAGTCGTCCCTTTTTGGGACGAGAAGTTCAGTGTCCCCTGATCATTTCCCTATTTACTTCAACGGTGTTTTCGACCGCGAAAATGGCCAGAAGGATGAAATCAGCGGTTTCTACATCCAACATCCATCTGAATTTCTCGAAGTTATGGAAAACGCTCCACTTAACTCAAGGGGCTGGGTAGCCCAGGAGCGCGCATTATCACCTGCTGTTCTTCACTTTACACCAAGTGAGACGTGGTGGGAATGTGTCCATACAATCGCCAACGAAACATTTCCGAACGACCACGATCACTGGCACCTCATTGGGTCGGATTCAAGTGACGTAGTTCGAGTCCAATCACTCAAAAAAGGCGATCGAGGGGCAATTCATGCATACTGGAGAACATTTGTCAGTTACTACTCCAGCACTGAGTTAACATATCAGGAAGACCGGCTTCCCGCTGTCGCTGGTATGGCACGTGTCCTGAGCGAATTGTTCGATGATAATTTCCTTGCTGGAGTTTGGGAGGGCGACATAGTCTGTTCCCTTCTTTGGCATTGTAAAAGAGAGGTGAAATTTCTATTTGCGGGAATTGCGCCGTCATGGTCTTGGTTGTGCATCTCTGGAGTCGCTCACACAGCACCATTCATCGGATCCTCATGGACAACAGTGCACCAACTGAGCTGCATAAACATAAAGGTATTGTCGGACATCGATGGGTTCAAGTCGGATCTGCAATTTCAGTCGCTCAAAAGATCTGGCGTACGGGCCCTCGCAATCAGAGGCCCATTGAGAAGGTTGCCACCTGGTCTAAGGGACCTCGGTGAGGAGTGGCGGTATTGGCCTTGGCGGCATCAGAATATGCTTCTGCAACTAGTAGAAGACAGGGATTGCATCAAAGCGGGGATGAAAAATGAGGAACTTTCGAAGGAAGATGCATGGCGTCTGGATAGCTCGACACACCTACTTCCCCTCGCCAAGGACCGTTACGGTGCATATGGTATTTTGTTGCAACTAGTACCAGATGCCAAAGGTCCGGACACGTTTCGCAGGTCGGGGAGTTTTCGGGTATACTTCAGCATGACTACGGATGAACGAGATTGCAACGAATATTTCGGCATTCTTGAGAAGGACGGGGAATATCAACCAAGCTCGGGCTTTGAGGAATGTGGAGTACAAGACATAATCTTAATTTAGAAAGGATTGATGTTAGTTGCCGGACGTTAAGCTTGGGCAGTTGAGCAAAATGTACGATGGTATTTAGGAACACTTCGTATCCACTGGTAGAGACGTACCAGACAGTTCGCGCTTATGATACCTCCACATCTCAAGCGTTCTTCTGATACCTCCCTTGACAACAACCCCTTCATTTGGAATTGAGAAGAATAGGCTCTTTCTACTTCGACGCTTACACAGTGAGAAGAGATGGCTGCTAATTTCCAGCCAGGCACAGCATGGTCCGAAAGTCACGACTCACGCTATCGATTTGGATTTATTGGTTGACGGAATGGGATGATTCTCAAGCGATCTGATGTGATCGACTACGTTCTCATTGTAACGAACCAAGACGGAATTGACTTGGCTTTGTCAACAACTAGCTTGAGGAACACATGATGCAGACATCTGACTTTCTGGTCGCGTGATTCACCTCCTCTGGCAGCGGCTGAGGCTTCTTCAGATTGTGTATTATTCTCCTATATTTCGTACGAATCTTGGTTCACTATGCTATTTCATCAATTTGGCAATATTTCTTATGTGTAGGAGACTGTCTGAGTACACGGCTACTGCTTCAACGACTCCAGGATAAGGGTTTTGTACCCCTCAACAGCCCCCTCGAGATCGGAAACAAGAATTCGCTCATCATTTGAATGTGCAACAAGAATAGTACCAGGGCCATACAAGTACCTCTTGTGGTCGCCTTGGAGATATGGCACGTCGGTGTAGTAGTTGGCGACGGTCGTATTGAATCCTAGCCATGTCAGTCAAAGAACCCTTACAAATACTCAACCCCCGACAAGGCAGACTTACCATCAACATCATAGTCCAGACTGACAGGCTTGCCACCAGCATTGAACGAAAGACTAACATGCTCCGGGGTAGCATTGTACGCAGCCTGGCTCAGTACCTCCTTCACCAAATCGATATCATCAGTGGCGAGTCGGATCGAAGTCCTCGCCGTGGCATTCTCCGGAATGACATTACTGGCAATGCCACCCTCAATAACGCCCACGTTCAACGTCGTATCCCCAAACTCCTCCGTCGAAGGCAACTCAGCGTCGATGATGGCTCCCAGCGAGCGGACGAGGAGATCAATCGCGTTGCGTCCTTGCTCGGGATATCCGGAATGCCCAGCGATGCCATCCGCTGTGACATTCAACCCCAAGACGCCCTTGTGGGCGCGAACCAGCTGGTTCTCCGTCGGCTCGCCAAAGATGACAGCTTCCCATGTGAGATTGAGATTATTGGCGGTCTGCATCCCATCACCACCAGTCTCCTCGCCCACCACAAACAATAACGAGACATCCCCGTCGCTGATCTCGCCACTCTCCAGAAGAGCCTCCACGGCAGTGATTTGCGCCGCGATACTGCCCTTCGCGTCGGCCGTGCCTCGCCCACGGATCTCATCGCCGTCGCGGGAGTAGGGGATGAACGGCGGCACGGTATCGTAATGAGACGTAAGCAAGACGCGAGTCTCACGCGAGGTTCCGGGGTACGCGAAGACGTTTTGCCTGTCGCCTTCGACGGTCTGAAGCTCGACGGTGAAGTTCGTCTCCAGGTAGTTCTTTAGGACCTCGGTTCCGGGGGCTTCGGCTTTGGAGGTTGAGTCGACTTCGACCAGGGACTTGTGCAGGGCGATGAGCGCCTCGGTGTAAGGTGCGGCCCAGGCCGACGAGGCGGCGAGGGAGAAGGTGAAAGCGGCGATGCTGTGCGGCTTCATCGTGAAGACTTGGGGGCGAGAAGTTGACTGAAGAATAACAGTTCGGGTGACTGGTTTGTCGGAGGGAATTGGCGAATAATTATTCAGAGATTCCTTGCGCTATCGGCGGACGCGGCATTGATCATCTTCAGATACCATGGCGTGATGACGAAACCCTGCTTCCAATCCGACTCTAGATGCGGGTGGCTGCATGTGCTGCAGGAGGGGGCAGAGGGGTAACACAACGCCAAGCTGATAAGCGTGGGGAAGGCGATAAATACCGGCTTGCCAAAGGTCTTGCCGAAAGCTCTTGAATCGTCTGCTACCAGCGATCGCATGTACCTGAGCAGAAAAGATCAAGAATGGGGTTGAGATAGCTTGTTGGGAGAGGAGGGGAAGTTGCGGAGGTCGCGGGGGTGATAGCCGTCGCTCCGCATTCCTGCCATTGGACCGTTTTCACGGCAGACAAGTCTCGAGATAGCATATTCACAACTTTGAGTTGCCAAAGAATCTACCATGTCTGCCGGCTTTGTGATTGATTTACTTAATTGGTGAGTTTGATGCTATTGATCATGACCAAACGCTTTTTGCCGCCATAACGTGGGCCAATTCGCCTATCCAGTCATTCGTATCGCTCAACCAAGTCACACATCGTGACCCAATGAGCCAAGAATACTGCACCCTAATCATGCTTCTCCTCGAAGAACTTCATCTCGGTAAGCCTTCTTCAACTTCACGAACCGCGGGTGATCTCTGGCAGGAAGCCTCGCATCGGTCTTGCCCCCGTTCTTCAGCCGACGAAACATCTCAAGCCCGTCCTTCCTCGTTGTCAACCCAGAATGGGCAGCCGGCAAAGGCAAGGCCATGAACTTGGCATCCGCCTCATCCTGTAGCACCCATTCGAGTCCCCGTTCTTTCAGGCAGCGCAACTCATTTTCGATGATGCCATCTCTACCAATCTTGTACGCCTCGTCTCGTGACAATATTGGCGATTCCCCTTCTTCAACAATTCTGATGACCGTCTCACCTGTGGGGGTCGTTGGCTCGAGAAAACCAGCGTCGTCAAGCCAGTGAAACAGCAGACTACCAGACCCCGAATACGCTCCCCATGGATTGATCTCTATCAGCTTCACAGAAAACTGAGGCTCGAGGACTTTAGCATAGATGTCCAACACGCAAGAGTCAAAGTCGAGATCAGCAGCCATCCGAGACCACAGAGCACGAACTTGCTCCGCCAGCGACTGCAAACCCTCGTCTGTGATGCCTGCATGATTGCACTGGTAGAACCTGCTCTGGCTAATGGCGACTACTCTGTGCTTGTTGACATAGCATCGCCACTCGCTGAGTCGATCGAGGTTGGTGTGATACGGGAAGAAGTACAGCTGGTTGTCGGCAACGTCGTCGCTGTTTTCGTACTTATAATACAAGCCCAAAAGAGCTTGCACGGTACGTTTCGAGGACACCAGCTTGACAAGAGCTTCTCGTATACTGAAGACCGCTCGAAGATTCCCTCCGTCGGCGTCCTTTGGGCTGCAGTGGCTCAGGCGGACGAAGTATCCTTCGGCTGAGCCTTGGAGACCGGGAGTCGCTGCCGCCGCCATGCTTTCTCCTAGGGCTTTTAGATCTTCGTTTTTCTCGGCTTTTAGAATGTCATAGCCGACCTCGGATGCGACAGTGAGGAGCTTGGTAACTTCAGTCTTGGACAATGAGTGGATTGCTACTGCCGGACGAAGCATGTGCGTTTCGATTGTTGGCGACAGCCAATGCCCCATGTTGCATGGAGCTATCTCTCGCTCTCTTTCAAATAGAAACAGCGGCGTGAGGTAGCCTGTTTCCTCGAGCCATGGTGCCAAGGCGTGGTGGTTGAAGGAATTCAATCGGGCAGACGGCGTCGTGTTGATCGGGCGTCGCTGAATGATGACGGCTTGCCGCTGGATAACCTGCATCTTTTCGCGTACAAAGAGGGTAATTAGCAATTGAATACGTTATTGGAGTTATTTTTCGCGCTGGGCGCGATTGATTTTCATACGTGGTAGAAGCTGACGATTGAGGTCCCAACCGTATGAGTCACGCCGGTCGAAGGATCGGACATTCTGCTGAAGCTCTAAAGTTGTGTCTCAATCCGAAATCCTCTGCCAGGGAGTGCAAGTTGAATCTCGGACTTGAAGTCAAAGGCAGCAAGAGACGGCTGGTCCTTGATGCAATCCAGTGGCGAAGCAGGAGGAAAGGCTCCGACTCATAATTTGAGATCGCTCTTGCTTTTATCTTAACATTGGCTTCGGCGACTTCGGCGCATGAGGCAGTCGAAAGTCGTAATTGTTTGACGAAGGAACGTCTCATTCCATCATTGTCATAAGCAAAGTCGATGGCAAAGCACCATTCTCCGAGACTGACAGAATGGTAACGCCCATCTCAAGTAGTTTGCATGGCCCCGTTTGTTATCGAATCTACATAAGTGGCATAATTCCATGGTTTGCATTTGTCGTTTTCTAATGTTCACTTTCGACTTTCGACGATTAACCCATGCGTGTTCCGAGTCTCTTTCCTGCTGCCCCTTCTCCCTTTCTCAGCCGGCCGTCATTACCACTTCATGCCATTCACCTTCCATATAATCTAAAAACGTCTCTCCTGTCCTTCCTTTTGCTTTTTCGGTCCACCTCCCGTTCGTCCCTGCTACGAAAGACTGCCATTCTATCGTTCCTACCAATACCTGGTCGTGGTGGCTGCCGGATCTGTAACCGTCTATTTTGACAACAAGGATCATCTCCCGTCCTTTCGCTGTCTCTGCCCTCGCCGTTTTCTTCCACTTCACATCATCAGCACCGAACAAGAACATCAATTCTACAGCATCTTCTTTTCATTCATTGTCAGCTCTGCATCACCAGCTCTTCGCCATGGACTCTCCCTCTTCCTCCGGCATCGAGACACCATCCTCTTCTGCCATCGAGACATCATCTTCTTCCAGCATCGAGGAACTGTCTTCCGCCGCGATCGAGGTCCCATCTTCCGATGACTTGCCTGTCGTCGTCAGCTTTTCCGTTCAACTCGAAGCGTCGGGTATACAGCCCACCGCAGAAACAACATCCGGAGCGAAGAAGAAAAAGAGCAATCAGAAGACTGGTCCTCGCCATTGGAAGCTGCACCATTATCCAGTAGGGGTTTTTCGCACTTTTGGAAGGCCAAAGAACAAGAAGAACTATGTCTGTGGCACTTGCCTCGGGGACGTCAAACGTTTCCGCTTCCCCTGTAACAACTGCGGGACACACTTTTGCTCCCTGAAGTGTTTCAACGGCCACCACGACCACAATAACATCCCGATGTGCTTTTGGGTACGCAGGCCAAGTCTACTTCATGACACGCCTCCCAACCAAAGTTATCGCGCAATCGTTGTCGGCTGCAACGGCCGCTATAAATACATCTGGCTCAAGGCATCTTTTGACAAGGTAGATGGGATTCTGTCCTTCGAGACGGACTGCGAAGAAATTATCAGCTACGTCGACGAGTTCGAGCAACCGAGGATTCGCTGTCTGAACATCAACACGTGCCCAGAAGCCGCAGGAAAACTCGCTTACGGCCTCGACGTCATCACTTTCAACTCCAACGAAACTCAAGCCCGGCAAAGCAGATGGATCAACCAAACCTCTGCTCGGGTGGATCCAGCCGGAGCTGGAAATGTTTGCCCCGTCTCCGGCCCAGCCATCATCTTCGCCTACGATGTTGTCAAAGATAAGGAGTCGGCGGATGAAAAGACGTTTGGAGCCTTCATAGCCGGTCGTCATGCCACGTTCAAGGAGATTCAACCTTTCGCCGAGCTCCTTTTCTTTTACGAAGGTCGCCCTGGGTGGTCCAGCGGAACGTCGATTACTTTGCATGCCCTCAAAGTCAGCGACACAAGTCATGACTTGATGCAATCTCTTGGCGTGGGGTCGCAATTCGAAGAAATCTTTGCGCACGCAAATGTACTGGTTTTCTTTGTAAGGCCTCGATACCCTCTCTTCAGAGCTTTCTGTCTTGGACTGCGGTGGTACATTCGAAGCAGTCAACCATTCCACCAATCCGAGAGGGTCCAATACTCCAATGAGTACGGGGACCTCTTCGAGACTTTCGAATACACAATTCACGACTCAAGCCCAGTCCAGCTTAGGCGCTTCAAAAAGACCGGAAGCTTTCAAATCTTCCAAGTCAATGGAGGAAACGTCAAACCACATCACGTGAGGGCAATGAGCCAGTATTTCTCAACAATTCGCGGCACTGGCGAACGAGCTTCCGAAAACGGCTTCCGTAAGTACTGGGAACAGTACAAGAAAGAGCGCAAAGGGACGGATATTAACAGCATCGACTCTCCATACGACCTTGAAAAAGATGACTGTGGATTCGATCCAGATTCCGTCAAGACACGCAAAAATATGCAAGAGGTCGCCAAATTCGTTACCGTTTGGATAGCTGAAAGCAACAAGAACAACTGGGATGAAACGGAGCTGCAGTACGTTTCCGACAAGATGGGTTCGTTGACATCATTCGCGCCAGGCTTAGGCTTGCCAAGAGATAGACATGCCTTCATTCGAGATTACTATGAAGTGCGACGAATTTGTGCAGACAATTGGGTCCGGCTGCTTGTACAGGATTAAGAACTACATGTACTGGATAGCGCTTTCTTCATTCCATAGAATTATTGTCAAGCGACGCGTTCTCACTCAGTGTCGGACATCCCGTACATATGTTTGATGATAATAAATGCCATGAATCCTGATCAGTCTACGTAACGAGCGTCAGTCGGTGTCAAAGAAATGTGACTTCTGAACTGTATTCAAAAGACGGGTAAGGTAGGAGAGACATGAATAGGTGTGAGAATTCGGTCGGTCAAGATGGCAATATACCTGGGTGCAACAGATAAGCCCGGAACACGAGAAGAGAGCCATGTCTCAAACTGCAGTCGAACTGAGATTTGGGTTCTAGAGCGCCAAACACTTTATATTTTTCTGGGGTGCAGACCAACTTGCCCATCACGATGTTATAGATAGCCAGTAGTGTTTTTGATCAAGTTTATACAGCTTTCATGTAGCTATAATGGAATGTGACTTCATAATCGACGCTGAAAGCATAGTCTTTGATACTTTCAAGTATTGCAATGGGCTTGTAAGATGCGATGAGAGTCAACAACAACGCTCGCTGTGACTAGAGCCAGCTTGAGGGCTTTGAAGATTGAAGAAAGATGCCATGATGGGGCTGAGTCGAAAGAAGCCTGTAAGAATTAGTTTGGGATAACGCTTCATTCCTGGCTTGCAGAGCGATGCGCCTGATTTGGGGTGCATAACTACTCCCATGACATCTCATAACCCCGACCACCCATAATACTAGGATTCGAGAATGGGCTCTCATGTCACCGCATGTTGGTGTTCAGCATGGCTCATCCGATGATATACATGATGGCCAATATCGTCCTACGATATGAACCGGGCATAATAATATTGGTTCACGAGATGAGTTGATTTTGGATGGGCTATTTGAACGCTTGGTGGTGTGAAGAACTTATAGTTTACGAAAAGGCTAACCCTCTAGAGTGGAAAGATAGCCTGGTTGCATTCAAATGATCAAGTCTCCAGACTATGCAGTATCAGTGCACGTGCAAGCCGATGGAAGAAGAAGTCCGTGAGGACCGGCACCGGATACACATGTTCATGTCTGCCAGTGTGATACATAACACGCATCTCCTTGGACTTCTATTCAAGAATTCTGATCAGACTTCACCAGACACATGCTGTGGCCAGTAAGCCCACCTACCATGGATCATGACAACGTTCCCGTCAGCCACTCGGAACCCAAGACTGTCGAGTCTTCAAAGGCAGTTGCATTGGCGTTGCAGTGGGATGACACAATTGCCCGTGTTCTATGCCCATTTTGCGACAACATTCATACGCACCATATTGAATTCTTTGAAGGTACATGCGAGGACAGTTACCTTGGAACCGAATCCCCCACCATACGACGGGTCACACCACCATGCTTGTCAAAACCTCCAGAATATGGCGCATTCACTTATCGAATATTGTTTCCCTTTGAAGATCACGTATCGGTGGGGGACTTGGACTGGGAGATTCAACGCAATCAATGGGGAGAAGATACTGAGCCCTGCGAGGGCTGCTTTCGCACCGTGGGCCTGAAGCCCCTTCAAGTGGAGCCCATCAACGAGGAGGTGCATGAATTGACAGACGAATTCGACCGTTTGAGTATGAACGGGGTGAGTTATGTGAAAACACGTATTTTGAAACGACGGTAACTGAAGTGCAACTTTCAGGCTACCTCGAGCGCAGTGTCTGCTTATGAAGGTAGAGACGCTGGCTTTTGTGTCAAGAGCCCCAAGGACTCCTCCGATCTAGCGATTGCGGCCGCAAACGGGCTTGAAACTCGAGTTCAGGAACTGCTGAAGGCTGGCGAAGACATTAACTTCCAAGATTCGCACGAACGAACAGCTCTGATGGAAGCTGCGTTGTGGTCACATCCTAAGATTGTCAAAGACTTGCTGGAAGCAGGCGCTCTCTCATCGTTGAGGGATGCCCGTGGTAGGATGGCGATTGACCTGGCTCAAGAATCCCAGCAAAATGATATGGAGAGAGACAGACGTCATGACAATTATACGGAGAAACCTCTCGCCAAGAGAAGGGACCGGAAGTTTATTCGAGGTCTCCTCGGCGAATTGCCCTTTGAAGTCCAACAAGTAACCGAACTCAGAAATTCCAGTGACTTGCTTTTCCTCAAGTCGCCGAATTTATTAACAGCCTCTATTATCATGCCCGCGACTGGAGCGCCCATCTCCAATATGTACAAAACCATCGCTTGTCTGGACCGTGGAAAGCCGTTCCGTCCCACGCTTGCCGTCAGTGGCTGGATAGGCTCCGGTACAGGACAACTGCGGACCCCGATTGGAGAAATCGAGCAACTGACCTCCGGCTTTTGGGCGTTTCAGACTCTTGATTTGGCGGAAGAAATAGGATGTCCTTTCGAAGCCCACGACTACGATACTGACCGGACTGGACTGTACAATGCATGCCACGCGGAAGCTCAGCTGATGTGTTATGTTGTCAAAAAACATCGTATCTCGAATGGAGAAGGGCTTCTTTCGGATAGAAGCAAGGCTCTCAGGATACTTTCCCAACATCAAAAGGCGGCCGTGCGAGCGCAGATAGCTGTCAGTCAAGAGCCGTGCCAATCATGTAGGAACTTCCAGTCATCGATCAATAGCTCCAAGGACTTCCAGATTCATGTTGACATCAAGGTTGTTCGCGAGGTTATCTTATGGTAGTTACTGCGATTAACAATTTCTTTAGTTGATTGGATGATGCAAAGGCGTCGTCAAGTTTCTCGGTCCTTCAATGACCAACTTTCAACTTAAATCTTAATGCCGTGCCGATAATGGTTTTCTGCTTCTTGCGTCGTTCAAGAGATGGCAGCTGAATCTTGGCAGCTTCTTATTAATTCTAGGTCCTTGGAGGAACCTTCGGACGCTTCGAGAGGCGTTGCTGAGTTGATATTCTGCGTCGTTCCGCCCTCGGCACCGAGCACGGGGCGGAAAGTGGGTGCAATCCGAGCTTGAAGTTGACCGATCCCGTCTCCTTTCTCTCGCTTCAACCCCACCTCCCACTCTCCGCTGGGCTGAGATCAACGACTTGCCCAGCACAACAGATTCTGGAATTTAAATTGTTTTTAGTACCCCCTTTTAGCTTGTGGGCCATCTCTAACGTGCCCAGATTCTCCGAAAAAGACGGCAAGTTCCCGTGCTAAATCCAACGCCGATTCATGAACGAGAACCGTATTAAGAGTTCATCCCACTCTAAAAGCCTTGTGGGGGTAATGCGAGCCAATCAGAAGAGCCTTTTGTTTTCCCATTACAACATCACAGCACAAGTCCTATGCGCTTCACACGTTTTTTCGAGATGCTCCTTAATGATGAACGCAGGGAAGAATGACGATGGTTAATGAGGCTCAGATGGACACAACCTTACGCGGCTCGGACTACGCGTCGTGCTCGCCGATGCTCACGGAGATCCCCGTCTTGAAGACATTCATGGGCTAGACAACGATTATATATATCAGGGCTGATCATGGCCCTTTGTCACTGGAACTCTTTTGAAGTCATCGCAACCAGAGACAAGATTCGATCGCTACCAACACTCGCTTACGACATCCAACATGAAGTTTCAATACTCCTCGCTGCTGATGGCAGCCTCTGCGGCCGTTGCCCAGACCACCACCCCGGCCCCAACCACAACCGCCGGGTCCGGAGCCACGCCCTCCGTCACCCTCGACTACTGCACCGTCGTCCCTGCCGCCGGTAACGAGTCCCTAGGTTATTACAAGTACCAGAACATCCGCTTCGCCGCCGTTCCGACCGGCGACCTCCGCTGGGCCAAGCCCGAGGACCCACCCGTCGAGACGGAGGTCAACACCGGCACCCTCGCTGCGGCCGACGTCGCATGCAGCTCCGAGGAGGACTGCCTGTACGTCGATGTATGGGCACCCGCCGGCTCTGAAGGCAAGAATCTTCCTGTGATGGTCTGGACATACGGCGGTGGCTTTACCGGTGGAAGCAAGGCCGAGAACACACCCGAGGGTCTCTTCGATCTGTCTAAGGAGTTCGTCTATGTCGCGTACAACTACCGCCTCGGTCTCACCGGCTTGGCGAACGGTCCCACCTTCTTGCACGAGGGCGGTACCTCCAACACCGCTATCTGGGATGTCGAAGCTGCTTTCAAGTGGACGAGGAAGTACATCAGCAAGTTCGGTGGTAACCCCGATGAGATCACTGCTGTTGGTTTCTCTGCTGGTGCATCTCAGACTCTGTTCCAGATGACTGTAAGTAAACCACGGAAAAACTCGAGAATGAAGCTGACGAACAACTTGTAGCGTTTCGCGGGTCACGCTGAGCAGCTTTACAGCCGCGCCTATGTCATGTCGCCTGGTTTCGTTCCTGGCGCTGGCCACCAGCATGCTGAGGTGAGCATCATTCCTTGACAACACCAAAAGAGTTGAGACTGACAGAAGAATGCAGGCCTTCTGGCTGAACGTCTCCTCTGAAGCTGGTTGCCCCGGTGGAAGCCTCGAGTGCATGCGTGGCATCGATTTTGACACGTTGAACACCGCTACCACCACCATCCAGGACGCCTACACCTACCAACTCCAGCCTCGTGTTGATGGTGATATTATTGCCGATACCTGTGAGTTGCGAACATAGCCAAGGGTGCTTGACTTGACTAACCCGCCCAAGACGAGGCCCAGCTCTACCAAGGTCGCTTCAACTTCACCGGTCCCGTCGTCGCCACCCACGAGCTCCACGAGGCCAACTCCCAGTCTTACTCCGGCGTGAACACGACCGAAGACGTCGCCACTTACCTCCGCATCTTCTTCCCCGCTATCGAAGACAGCATCGTCGACGAGATCCTTGCCCTGTACCCCGAAAGCGACTACACCGAGCCCGGTCTGCGCTTCGCCGACATGAAGCAGCACTTCGACCTGACTGCTCACAACCTTGCCCTTACCCACGCCATGAACAACCAGACCTGGAACGGACTGGTTGCTCTTGACCAGGCAACTCACGGCACTGACCAGAGCTACTACTGTAAGCCCGGCCATAACCTCCGAATGATGAAAGACAGATATCTGACTCCTCTGCAGGGTACAGCACCTACACTCTCTCCAGCTCGACATCCACCGGCAGCACCACCTCGAACTCGACGACTTCTGTCTCCAACTCAACCGCCACCTCCGCCGCAGCTTCTGCGACCGCGTCTTCCAGCGCTGGTGGCCCTCCCTCGGGTGGCGGCTTCGGTGGCAGCACCTCCGTCAACGCTACCATTGCTGTAAGTCTTCACCTCAACATTGCGGAAGAACTGTGGTTGACAATTCTTTAGGTCATGATGCAAAAGTATCTCCTCTCATTTGTCCTCACCGGAAACCCCAACACCAAGTGGGCCGAGGACAAGCTCGAGTGGCCCCAGTACGGCAACTCCTCTACCGCTGGCACTCAGATCGTTTTCAACACGACCTTCTACTTGGATGAAGATGACTTGGCCAACGAGAAGGCTCTCTTCTGGAACAAGGCTCTCTGGTACTAAGCTTGAGATGTACCTGGTAGAGGCCTGTTAGATCTAAAACTTTCATGTTTATTGTTGAATCTCATGTACATACCCCATCATCTGTAGAAACAAGTACCGAAGATATCCTTTATTTGCTGAGCATCTGACCCGGTTGTCGTTGTAGAAGGGTACGCCGGCTTTCGGCTATTGGTGGCTAGTTGAAAAAACCAGTGGTATTATGATTAGTCTATCCGATTCTTTGCTTTCTCCTCACCCAGACCTCTTTGTCCGGACCGTCCGAGGTTCCCTCCTCTATTGATACTAAGGCCTCAGATCCAACAGCATCGCGAAGCTGCACCTCCCACACCCCGAGCTTGTATCTCGCCCGATCCGACATCCCCGAGAATAGATCAAAAGACCAACTGTGTTTCGGGCACGTGATTCCCGCGCTGAGAACAATACCGAAGTCCTCGATATCAAAGGGAACGCCTTGAGATAATGGGTATGAAGAATGAGGACATTTCTAATACCAGAAGCCATGGTTAGCTGTACTTCAATCGCGCAATTGAACAGGAAACCCAACTCACATGATCGATAGCATGGAACTTCCCCTTGAACCTGAATACCATAACCTGGTCTTTCAAGTCCGCCTCCATCTCGGCAGACTCAACGCAGTCCGGCGACAGATCCACTTCGGCGCTCTGCGGCGCCGGGCCGTTTGTCTTGGGGGCGTGGAAGACCTTGCATCCCGGCTTGAGATCTGTGGCACAGAAGCGGAGATCTGATAGGTTGCCGTCGTCCGACCCGAGATCGGGGAATGAGGACGCGAGACCGGCCGAGAACCACCCTGCGTCGGCCCGGGACCGCGACCCGAATGTGTTCATCTCCTCCGCCGTTGCGTGTGCGCGCGCTTCTGCCGCTTGATCGAGAAGATGAGTCGAGAGAGTGCTACTTAGCGTGGTGGATGCAAATTGCGATGACGGTGGATTCTGAATCATGTGCAGGATCACGTGACGCATTTCGATTCTAATCATGAAGTAAACATCTGTGAGCTTTTCTACTCCTGAATCAGTGATTGGGAAACATGTTTCAATGGCATGTTCACTGGTGGAGTACAACTCATTAATATGACTATGTGTTCTTACTGGAAATTGCGTTGCTGCCGTGAAGAACTGACTTGCTACCAGGGCGTTGAATATCGCCCCGCTGTTAGCTCATGCCGATAATAGCAAGTTCACCACCTTAGAGCTGTCGTACCAGGCTTGCGAGGCAACTTTCATCTGACAAGCGTCATCTTATTTTCCATCTTGCATCATCTGTTTACTTCAGCTTTTTGAACCCGTTGCAAACGTGCTCATGTTGCACGATATTGAACTCCTTCAGAGCCTCCTCAGACTTGGCCCGCTTATCACCACCAATAGCCTCCTTCACGCTCTCCTCGTTGTCCCATCCAGTGACAACCATGAAAACCTTCTTCTTCTGTCCTTCAACATCAATATCGCCGACAGTCCATCCATGAGCGCCCGCCACGTAGCCTGCACTCACGGCCCCCGAACTAGCGTGCGCCTGCATGAGAGCTTGCCACTTTTCATTGAATGCAGCCGTATCAGCGTCGGCAGGAACATAACAGGCAGTCAACAGAATGACATTAGCCGCTGCGACTTTGGCGAAGTCGTCTCCTCCGAGGTTGAAGTAGCCCATCTTCGGCATGACGGGGCCGGACGGGCTGGACAGCTCCATGACTTGGCCCCAAAGCTTCCTCATCTCCTGGCCATCGGGTGACTGCTTTGCAGCTTCGGCGGCTTCAACAGAAGTCCAGACTGAGGACGAAAAATCAGATCATTGCTTGCTCAAACAAACATGAAGAATTTGCTCACCTGCAGCAAAGTGGACACCCTTGACTGGGCTTTTATCTAGACCTCCGGCGTTCTGGACACCTTCCCATTGCCCTAGAAGGTCGGCATTGGCGATAACTTTCGAATGAACCTCTTTGATGGTTTGCGTCACGGGTGCACTCTCAAAGTCGTCCTTGACGGGTATCCACCCGAGCTCAACGACTTGAGACATGATGCTGAGTATGCTGGACCAGTGAGATTAGGTAGCCGGTTGGTATAGAAGTGTAAGTGTGATGAAATTCCTGCTCGGCCTTGCTAAACGGAATGGCGGCGTACATATACAAATATGAGAATGTGGCCATCAAATGGAATGCTCGGCAGTTCACATTTTCAAACGTTGAACTGGACTTAAACTTCATCTCATGTCATATGCGAGCGTCTGATACCAACAGAGCAGCGGGTACGAGCTTAGAAACGTTCCCGTCGGCAATTGTCAAAGCATCATATTGAGCTCAAACTCTGGTACAATATTTGCCCAAATATAGGGCCAGTCACCGTATTTACTATGGCATTCTGGGAACGGCGGCGAGCAGGTCTCTTTCAGTTCACTTATAGCTTGTTTTGAATTTTCGACGTAGCCTCCATGCATTGTACTTCAATGGAGTGTGAGCTTGAGGACCCCGCATTCCATCACGAATCCTCCGCACCATAACATTCAAGCCAGCGGCGATAGCCCGGCGGACCTGTTCATGCTACCCAAAGTCAATCAAGTTCGCTGAGACGCTTGAAAGGTGAGTTATGTGCATTAAGCTTGGCTGTGGGTGTGCGGCCACTTACAAGCAACAGGGAAGTTGACTGAAGCAAAAGCGATGGGGACCCTGTACGAACGGCAAGTACTGCCCAGAAATACGGCAACCGGACGGAACATACTAATCGCGCAGATGTTTTGCCGTGAACATAGCCAATTGAGCTACTTTTATCTCTGTTGAACATTCCAGTTGACAAATTACATGAAGAAGACTGAGCCCAAATATAATTCTTAAGCTTTTGTCCAAATCTCAGCGGATACAGCATTGAATTTCAGCAGCTTGTGTTCAGAAGCACACCTGCCAGGCATCTGAGGCGCGAGATGGAGATGACCCTGTTTCAAGCCCAGTCAACTTGCACCTCTGGCTCAATCTCTCCACAGCCATGAGCATTATTGAAGAAATCCATTGACTATGTCGTATGTCGTATGTATTCAACTACGCACATCTAAAGCTCATTGCCTCACAGCTCTAAACTCAATCGGCTTTCTCAAATCAGGTGTCCATCCCATCCCGCCTCTTTGCGGCTTCATAACCTCGTTCACTCCACCCGGCATCCGAATGTCGTAACGGAGAAGCATACGCGCCAAGATGAGCTTGATCTCATTGTTGGCAAAGTACCGACCCGGGCAGACATGAGCGCCGTAGCCCCACGCCAAGTTCTCCTTGGTAGCGTGGCTGAATGTGTACTGCTCCTTGTTCTTGTAGTGATTCGGATCCTCGGTCTCTCCCCTGCGGAGCTTGAGGAAGCGGTATGGATCGAAGGTCTGAGGGTCGGGAAATAGAACAGGGTCAAATAGTGGCGGGGCAAAGATGGCCTCAACCGTGATGCCCTCGGGAATGAGCGTGCCGTCCTTCAGTGTGATGTCCTTTTCCACGTAGCGGTGGAAGTGAGAAGGAGTCGTAGGATTCAGTCTCTGGGCTTCCTTCATGACGCTGTCGAGCAGCTTCAGCTCATGCAAAGCGACAGGACTGAGTTGTCCGTCAAACTGATCGCACACTCGTTGGGCCTCCTCCCGAAGCTCCTTTACCAGCTCGGGACGAATAGCCAGCTGGAACAACGTTTGAGCGATCGTAGAGGATGTGTTGTGAGTGGAAGCAACACCGAGTTGGACCATCGAGCCGGCCACGTCATCATCGGTCTGCTTCCATTCACCCTGCTTTGCCATCATCCAGGCTAGCATGTCGTCGTAAGATGCGCGGCCGGCCTTGACCTCTTCCCGTCTCTGCTGAATAATGGGAACCACGAGTCTCTTAGAGGCCTTCAGGTGCTCCCAGGATTTGGCAAGCTGGGTACGCTCGCGCTTGAAGAAGCGAGCGATGGGCCGCATCCAGCCTGGGTACATCTGAAGCATGTGCACCGCGGCCAAGACATTCTCGGTGAAGTGGACTGTGAGATATCTCAGCAACTATGGAGCGTTTGAGTTTAAGTTGAACACTTACTGCTGTCATGGATGAACTGCTCATTGCGGCAGAACTCTGGGCCCACGTATACGGATCCAGAAACAATGGCGACGATGCGGAGTGAGGTCCGGTAAATCGGATGCGAAGTCCACTCTTCACAAGGGCCGATGGTTTCATCAACTGTCTTCTCAATCTCGGACACTAGATGATGATTGATGCGCTCTGTTGTGGAGATGTTAGTACATGAGTAATCTATGCTTCCAAGTGACTCAACTCACTGAGATTTCTTGTCAGGTCTGAGCGGATGCAATGCACCAAGAAGGGGTTGCCGGATGGCAGACCCGTATACTGTCTGAGTACCCTCTATGATTCATGTCAGTCACAATGAGATCGCTTGGGGTTCCCGTTACAAGAGCTTACTTGATCATATGCTTTATTCTTGTTGAGAACAGCTTCCGACATGTTCCAAAGCTCATCAAGCGCCGTTCCCGGCAAAACAATTCGCTCGCCTGAGATGATTGCCCAGTCAGATCCCATAGCCTTGAGTACGCAGCAGGATTCTCATTACCTTCATAGTGCGTGACGCGAAAACACTGATTCTTGCACTTTTGGTAGCCTTCCCAGTAGAATCTCATAGGATCTCTCAAGAATTCGTTTCGTCGTTTGTAGTAGCCTCCAATCTCTTGTCCCATCAGAGGGATCCGGCTCAGCTGCTGCTTTATGCGCAGCCGCGGATAGATGTATGATGCGGAAAATACGACGGCAATGATGAGCAAGAGCGCACCGCGCTCATGTAAAGTAGAAAACAAGATCTCCTTGGCTTGAGACATTGTGAAAATCTGTGACTTGAAGATACCTTCCCGATGATTGACTTTGGAGAATGGTCATGAGAACTCATGTTATTTGAGCCAATGGAGTATCATTGCAACTATATGCGGGACGAGTAGGGATGTCTGGGCCCAGTCTTCTCGCGTCCTACTTACCCTTTCCGTGCACGGTGACATGTCTGGGCGCAGATGTGATGACGGCCGTGATGTCTTGGCAGCGCGCCCAACTCCTGACCGGCGCCGAGCCGCCATCGTTTGTGGAACCCGGAGTTGGGATATGTCGACCAGATACCCTTGCTCACGTGCCAAGAATCACGATAATGGTAACGCCGTCGGAGACGCGTGGGTTTGTCTGAAGTCATAATTATCCCAAGCGAGCTCCATGAATCAGGAAACGCATTTTGCCCGCACCGGCGACTTTCGAGAATGCGCGGTGCGGACGTGCGTAGGCATCCCCATGTTCAACGTCCACCTCGAACGTCCACCTCGATAATCGAATGTCGCATATGTGGATTTCAAGTCGGCGTCTCCTGCTCGACTTTGTTCTATTTACGGCAGAAACCACTCGTCTTGGCACCGCCACACGGAAGGTTTGGCGTCTGCAAGGTTAGCCAGGCTCGTTGGTGATCATTTACAGTGACAGGATGATGATCCTCGAGTGCCAGACCGCTGGGTCTGCGGGTAGAAGATGTGAAGATGACCAATGATCCCCAGTCAGAAATTTGGCATATCAACTTGGGTTGCATTATTGTCAACTTTGAAGTTGTGTCTTACATCGAAAGCCTTTGACAGGATTTTGTGTTGCCTCCAGAATTTTACCATGTCTTCCCTTCGTCCTGAAGAGCGCAGAGCGCAGAACAGGTCTCCGTACGAGAACCCTCACTCATCCGTTGACTCGGTTGCAAGTATTGGGCTTGAGAAGCCAGATCCAACTGTCATCGACTGGGAGGGACCCGATGATGTCCTGAATCCCCAGAATTGGGGACCGCGGACGAAGCTCGCTCATGTTCTGCTCGTCAGCTCCTTTACTTTGTATTCGTAAGTATTGCTCTGAGTTCTGATGCTCTTGGTGTTGTCTTCAGATGTCTAACACCCGGCCCAGCAACTTGGCTGCCGTTATGTTTGCCCCCGGAGCCCAGTATCTAGTTGAAGAGTTCGGTATCACCAGCTCGATGGTGGCATCGTTGACTGTGTCCATCTACGTCCTAGGATACTGCGTGGGACCATTCCTCATCGCGCCTTTATCAGAGATCTATGGCAGGGTTGCTGTTTATCACGTCTGCAACCTCACGTACGAAGTGTTCACCGTCGGATGCGCCCTCAGCACGAACTCATCCATGTTCCTCGCCTTTCGATTCCTAGCTGGCTGTGCCGGTGCAGCTCCGATGGCTGTTGGGGGCGGGACCATTGCAGACATGTACAACGCCGACGAGCGTGGCAAGGCGATGGCACTCTTCAGTCTTGGCCCTCTGTTGGGTCCGGTCGTTGGGCCCGTAGTAGGAGGATTCTTGACTCAATACAGCGGCTGGCGCTGGACGTTCTGGGTCATCTTCATCTTGGTATGCCCCAACTTTTCCTTCGCTTCATCAACTTTTACTAACGGCGAATGTGCAGGCTGGTGTCGTATCACTGATCGGCGTCGTGATCATGCGCGAGACATTCGAACCCATCCTCCTTGGCCGAAAGGCCGCATATCTGCGCAAGACCACGGGCAACGGACGACTTCGAGCACGAACGGCGAAGAACATAACTCAAAAGCAACTACTATGGAATGCCATCGCTCGGCCTACCAAGATGCTCATCTTCTCGCCGATCATCTTACTCTTGTCTCTCTACTGCGCCCTCATGTTCGGGCTTACCTATCTGCTTTACACGACCTTCCCATCCGTTTTCCAAATCAAGTATGGCTGGGGTCCCAGTCTGGCAGGCCTAGCCTACCTTGGTCTTGCGATTGGAATGATATTCGGTGTTGGCCTTGTCGGCGCCGTGAGTGACAAGCAGATCAAGAAGGCAAAGGCTACCGGTGCACCCGCCCGACCAGAGATCCGCCTCCTACTATCCGTCTGGTTGGCACCTGTTGTCTCTGTCGGCTTCTTTTGGTACGGATGGAGTGCCAATGGTGACACTCACTGGATTGTTCCCGTTCTCGGGACATTCGTGATTGGGTTCGGGTCCTTCATCATTCTCATGCCGTCCCAGATCTACCTGGTGGATGCGTTCGGTGCTGAAGCCTCTGCATCTGCATTGGCTGCAAACACGTTCATGCGTAGTCTGTTCGGGGCCTTCATGCCTCTTGGTGGTCCGTCTTTGTATAAGAGTCTGGGTCTTGGATGGGGCAACAGTCTGCTTGCATTCATTGCCATTGCGTTTATTCCCGTCCCTTTCTTATTTTACAAGTATGGCGAGCGTCTCAGAGCGCGGTTCCCTGTAGACTACTAGTCGGTAGCATATGTCAAGGAGCTTGAATGAAATTTGAATTGTTGATTCTCCAACTTGATTCGGGATATTGCATGGCATGCATATTTCTATCGACCTTTCTAATTTCGTATTGCCTGTGAATCCGACATTTACTTTGAGATCTTCCCTAGCTCAGTACACATAGAGCCTATCTTCAGATTGGGTCCCGACCCTAGTCATATTGAAAAGTGACCAAGAAATACAATCCTTGATATGATGGAGGTGTTCATAACTTTCACCATATCGCAACCATAAGCATCTTTGGGAAGAAGTTTAGATCGAACTTCTGATTTTAGGTCTATCTAGGACTAAACAGAGCGCCTCTTAACCGAAACTGTAGCTTTAGGGTCTGCGACAAGAGACCACATGAAAGTCCTCGTTTGAGGTTCGCTCCCCTCTGCCAACTTCCAGTCATATTTCAACAGAAAATGGCAAAGCGCGACTTTGACCTCATGCGCACCGAAGAATCTTCCAGGACACGCATGGGTTCCGATACCGAAGCCCATGTGCTCCGGTGACGTAGAAGACACGAGTTGTGACCGATGTTCCATTCCTAGCTTCTGCCGGAGGTTGTAAAACCGCCACCCATCCCACTTCTCTGGGTTTTGGTAGACATCCTTATCCCAGTGAAGGTGCGACGAGACAGCGATGGAAGTGCCTTTGATAAGATGAACACCATCCGACAACGTCACATCAGTGTTAAGTATTCCACGCAGACCGCTGATCGCAGCTGGCTTCATCCGCTGACACTCCTTCAGCACACTATCAAGAAGCTTCATCTTGTGCAGTGCAGCCTTAGTCCACCCGCCCTCCTCAGAGAGGACAGTTTCGATCTCCTTTCGCAGAGGATCCAACATTTCCGGATGCGCTGCGAGGTCTAGTATGACCTGAGTCAGGAGATCGGTCGTGGTGTGCATGGCAGCCATCGAAAAGAGCAATTGCACTGCTGAGGCGTCATAAGGCATTCCCTTGGCCGCATTCTCGGCCCACTCGACGGTATCGTCAAACTTGACGTTCGAATCTTCTGCCTTTGCACGGCGTCTCCGCTGGACCATCGGCTCGAACAGCCTTCTTGCGAGACTGACTTGGGTACGCGCTTCTCGGCATGAAGGAAGAATCCAGTGGACCAAAGGGCGTAAGGGGCGCGGCCAGAGACGGAGCATGACGGCTGCTCGATTGACCGTTCCTGCATATGTTGTTGTGATCTTGAGCCATTCCTCGTCTTGATACAACGGATCTCCACCAAGAAAGGCTTTCGATGAGATGCGGGAAATGAGATCCAGCAGCGACGATCTCAGTTCCACATCGTGATATTCTTGATTCATGAGTCAGCATACTGCTCTCTTTCTTCTTCGCCGCATCACGTACCCTCTCTATCAGTGAAAATTCGTTGCATTGATGCGATACACTCAGATGACAAAGAGTCTGTGATTTTGCCTGGAAATGATATCAGTCAATGTATACATAGCAGCAGATCTCTGAGAAGAGTCTCACTTAAGTGATGGGTCAATTGGCTCTTCGTGACCTCCCGCAGGATCTTTGCATCACGAGCTCCATCCCGCGTGAAGTCGAATCCCGGTATTCCCTCGTGAAAGTCCTATCAATGCAATGTTAGCCATCAAATTCACTTAATCTGTGCGTTCGTGGACCTTTACCTGTAGGAATAGCTTGACAAAATCAACGCGATGATCATTCTTGAGCTCCGATGCGTATTTGGGGGCCAGCATGACGATCTCCCCGCCATCTGCGACCATACGGAAACCAGGACTATTGGGGTAGTCCTCGAAGCCTTTCTTGACCATGTCACCCGCTCCCATAAGAAATCGGTACTTCGCCTTCATGCGAAGGAAGTCAAATGTGCTAGGCTTGTTGACCCATGGTAAAGGCGTTGACTTCGACGAGCCTCTGAAGAAAGACACTGCCGCAAACAGGAGGGCAATAATCGTTGATGCTGTGATGTAGTAGGATGACGCGCCCTGGTAGCCTGTGTCGAACGCGTTCGAGCCATTGTTCGTAGGATGGATGAAAGCCTGGTGATTGATAGAGCCCTCCATCATGTGAGGCAATCGATGTTCGTGATGTTCAATTTTTGATAGTAACGAGGAAAAATACACGCCACTCTCAACTCACGAAGTGTATTGTCCGTGATCAGATAAACTGAGAAAGCAACATCAGCTGAGAGACCTCGTTCAGGGATACCTTGTAGATACCAGCGAGCAGAATATCGTTCTCGTTATTCGAAGTTCCCGTTACAAGCATACAGTAGATCGATGCTGAAGTCTCTCGCAGGGATGGCCAGCCGAGACTCGACGAACTGATCACCGGCACGGGTTGCGGGGGTCTGGTGGAGCATCCCGCCGGAAACTTCCTCTTACATGTACCCCGGGCCCGGCGCATTCAAGGAGCTGGTTGCAAGAGCCATCTCTATTATTCCGCGGCCAAGACTGGGCAACTGCGCCCAAAATTGCCAAGGCTTCAGTGTCTGCCAAGTGCGGCATATTCACGTCGAGGCTATTCTAGACGTTAGCTGGAACTCAACCTCACATGCTGTGGGTAAGGTACGTGTCTCTCTCGAATTCTATTCCAGGTCGTCTGAAATCTCAAGTTGACAGAATTCCGAGTCCACAGACTCGGTACTGTGAGAAGGTTTGACGGTGCATTCTGATCTTCTCATCTTTTGGGCAGATATTTCGGACGATGACGATCTCGCACAGCATAGAGTTCCCAGGTAAACGAGACCTTACTATTTGATCTTGACAAGTACTTTACTCTTTGTAAATCAAATTTGCTTTATGATGTTTCGTTTGGATTCAAGTTCCTAGACTCTAAACTGAGGAGTTTCTTGAAAGCCGATTTCTCCTTGACTTCGTACCATGCCGACGCCTGTCAACTATCCAAGCCCATCGAGGGTTCAATTTAAGAGAAACCAGTTTGTTTCACCAAAACGAACTTTTAGACAAGTTGGCAGAAGTCTGTCTATACCCCAAGATTGTGTTCAATTTCAATGACATCGAAAGCCGACAGCAGCTTTTCAATTAACAAACATTTGGATGTACATAAGCACATAGATAAACAGTAGAGAGCGTCATCAGACAATTGGCGCTAAGTTGGTTCGTGATGGAAGAGATTCTGAAACGCAAACTTGATATCATAACAAAAGTACAAATCGCTAACTCCCTGGTGCAAATCGGACGCGACACGGATAGCCATCAGCTGGATGACTCCCTCCTCCACCTGTGGTCTGGTATACCCTATCACCATTCACATGTTTGGGTGCACCACCAGGCAGTAGGACCCCAAGGCCGATCTTCGTTTCTCCTTTGGCAGCTTTTGATTGAGCCGCCTCCCATTCCTGATAAGCTGGTGTAAAATCAAACTCTCTTGCGACAAGCATGATCACCGCTTTTATTTCCACCATGGCTAGCTCAGAGCCCATACACGCTCTGGGACCTTTTTCGAACTATCGATGAAGCGTTAGTCATATAATCCACAGTTATTTCCAGAGACATGGCATCTTACCGGGCGCCAGGCGTCTCGAAGCGGATGCAAGCCTGAAGCATCATCTGGAGATGACAGAAATCGCTCAGGAAGGAAGGTCTCAGGCTCCTTCCAGTAGCGTGGGTTGTGATGAAGACCATGATGATTGCCAAACACAATACAGCCTTCTGTTGGATACTTGACCGTCGCACCCGAGGCCTCGCGGTCGTAGAGGTAGAATCCAGGCTTGCCGTTCCTCAGCGTAGACGTTGGTGGGTACATGCGCAAGGTCTCCTTGATAACTGCCGTTGTGTATGGAACGTCATTGACAAGATGCGGCTTGTCTTTGAGTTGTTGAGCTGCAAGAGATACATCCGATCCCAGAACTTTATTGTGTTCGTCGCGTACCGTTGCCAGAACCTCGGGGTGCTGAGAAAGAATGTGGAGGACATACGTGATAGTTGAGCCAGTGGTGTCATATCCAGCAAGGAGAAGAAACCTCATCTGACTCCTGATCACTTTGTTGAAATGGGCTTCACCACCGAGTTCGCGGTAGGGATCAGCTGATTTCTTCTTCTCGGTCGGACGAGACCGTACTTTTGACACAGCGCGGCTGATTACGCAGTCATCCTCGTTTTTGCTGGACTCTTGCCGCCGTTGTACGCCGGTAATATATCTTTCCATTCTGAAATCGTTATACCGGTGCACCAGAGGCCGAATGAAGTTCAAACTCGCAAAGGGCATGAAGCCATCGACGAGAAGCCATCTCAGCTGAGACACAATCGCATCCGCCATGTCGTTGTATGATTTTTGGCTGTTCATGTTGTGGTTCCAGATCGCCTTGCCTGACATATCCATCGCCAGCATCAATGCCGAGTGGTGCAACTGGAAAACACCGCTTCTGCCTTTAGCTCTGCCGACAAGCTGGTCGCGGAAAACACAGATGGTTTCCACGATGTTGGGGACTAGCTCGGTTGCTCGGCTGAAAGCAGGCCGAAAGACGTCTCTCCAGCGTTTCCACTCTTCGCCCTCCATGCTGACGAGGTCATGCCCACCGCTCAGAGGCTTGATGTAGTTCTTCAAGAACGCAACTTTTGGTAGAGAATGCTCCCCTTGCGTTGCTTGTCGCATAAGATCGGGCGAAATGATCATCAACATGGGCCCTGTGAACGGCCACATGTCCAAGTAGAAAGCCTTATCGAGGTGTGGATACCGCTTCCGAACTTGGTCGGCAAGCACAACGGTTGGCATGACGTCTCGGGGTAGGGCGATCATGATGCTCAACATCAGACCAAGATGACCCAAGATGGGATGATGAGGGGGCATGGGGATGCCATCTTTCTGTAGGCGGCGGAAGAAGCTGCGTGCCTTGTATAATGAGACGGTAAAGTAGACGATGCCGCAGACTGCCAATGCGATAATAGCCATATGCATCGTGGTAAGATGCATGGTACTCGTTGTGGTATCAATGATAGTTGTGTTGGTATGAGTGCCGGTTGTGATGGTGAGTGTGAAAGTAGTTTGTCTGTGTGATTGTATGGCAGGTTGAGCTAGGATGGCACTCAAGAGACCATGTGCTCTGACGTAGATGGTGTGAGAAAGTATAGATAAGAGGATGATAAGTTTGATGATACGGGGTAGAAGATCAATGACCGAGAAATCCTTATCAACAGAGTCCTGAAGAAAGCACTTTTTCAGGTCTGAAGCGAGGCGAAGCATGAGGGCCAATGGACTATGTTGTCCATAAAGGATGAAATTTGAGTCAGATGAAAGTGTAGTGATGGATGATATTCCGTCGCTTCATGCCCTCTTCTTGTCTGTCGGCTTTGATGGTGTCAGATACTGACAGTCTATATGTCCAAGAATGGATATTGATCCTTCACCCACGGTGAGTCGGTGACATATTCTAATCAAATCCCATGATTTGCTCGAGTAATGCCTGTTCTATTCCAGCCTCCCTCATCCAGTAGGGCGGTAAGTTCAAGGCCAAGAGGTTAGAGACAACATAACCGGCCATGTGGACTCTCTGGGACAATTCGTCCCAATCTTTCCAGATTCGATGACAAGCCTGACATACTAGGAAGGTACAACGCGCCAAGTGCAAGCATGCAGCTGAGCGGTAAGTGGGGGAGTGATATGCGAAGTTTCGCTTTGTGAAGTTCTGACTCAATAGTCTCCGTCTGAATTCAGCGGTGTTATTCAACAAACCACCACAGCACTTGTCAGAGCTCAGATGCCATCTTGTGTATCGAGACTTGACTCGGTGGGTTTCGCGACACGGAAGATTTTCTGCGAGTCGTGAAACGCCGTGCAACGGCCTTCCTGCGGGCATTGCGACCCCGCATGATCGATCTCCATCTGCAGTAACCCGATGAACCATTCTTATCACGATACCTTCAACTTATATCTTGGCAAACCCCCAATAATAGCATACTGGGGATCCCCACGTCAGCTTGATCGGCAGCAGGCCCTTCTTAGGTAGAGAAACCCAATATCCAGCACAGACTGCCGGAGAAACCCATTACTATTTTCCCAAAGTCTCAGGAACTTGGCAGGTCTTGGCAAGTAAGACGCGACGAAAATGCCATGAAGGACTGTTACCAGACAACTGGGAAACAAGGTCAGGGATAGAAAACGAGGGATATCTTGTTGTTGGGTCTCGGCTCTAGAGGAGTCTTCTGACGTAGCGGAGCCTGGATAGGTCCACCGAGTAAGTCTCCTGCGGGATACGGCTCTTGGTATGTCATGGGCAGATGATCGCCAAAGACAAAAGACGGTGCACGTGGTTGGAGACCACAGGCTATCACTACATAGATCAACGCAATCGACTCTACCTTACATTGCATCAAAAGAAAGAACAATCTTCATCGTTTTCATGGTCACCAGCAAACACAACTATGGCGACAAATACTATTCTCCTCACACAACAAGATAATGATCTTGCAGCATCGGCTACCAAGTGCATCAAGCAAGCCGCCGAACATGCCTACAGCCAGATGAAACCCGATGGGCACTGGTATCTCGAAGTACGCAGCAGCATCTCTTTCACAGTCCAATGGATCTGCATCCGACAGATCATCGGGCCATCCCTTTCTCAAGACGAGGCCACGAAATTTCAGAAGTGGCTTCTCTCTCAACAAAACACCGAAGACGGATCATGGGGACTCGCCCCTTCAGTACACGACTGGGATGGGGATGTTTCCACAACCGTCGAGGCGTACTTCGGGCTGAAGCTACTTGGTGAACCCATCAACTCCAAGGCCATGCGAAAAGCCAGAGCCTTCGCCTTGCGTCACGGCGGTGCAGCTAAAGTCGGCGTGTTGACTCAGCTGGTGCTTGCGCTCTTTGGCATTATTGCTTGGAAGGACATGGCGCAAGTACCGGCCGAGTTGATGGCTCTTCCAGCCGGACTATCTCCAGTCAACATCTACTCTTTCTCATACTGGTCTCGGGTTTCGGCAGTCCCCGTTATGCTGCTGAAACATCATCAACCCATTTTCCCTCTCAAGCCATTTGGAGTTGACAATGGCGAGGAAATTCAGGGTGCTACATTCCTCGACGAGTTGTTCGTCAACCCTCTGGACCGAACACTAAAGTCTATCCCAACACTATCGGCACTATGGCAGGAAGGTCAGATCGGTCGCTTTGCTTGCACGATGATCGACAAAGCTGCCAGCGTGGTTGAGCCTGTCCTTAAGAGGTCCATGTTGCGCACCCACTGCCTCAACCAATGCGTCCAGTACATCGTCAACCACTTGGATGCAGGCGGTTTTGGGTCTCTGACCATCTCGAACTTTCTCTGCGTCGTCGGTCTTCACGCTGCGGGCTTCCCTGCCAGTCATCCCGTGATGGGTCATTTGACTCGAGCCATGGAAGACGCGCTCTGGGAGGACGCCGACGGTCTTCGGATGCAGGTTACCATCGGTCCTGTTTGGGATACAGCTCTGATGACTCTCGGACTACTCGAGACTGGTATGGCAGATGACCGGATAGATCTTTCCGTGAAATGGTTCAAGGACCATCAGATTCTTAAGACGCACGGCGACTACGTCGTGACGAACCCCAGAGCTTCCCTCCCTGGAGGCTGGTCTTTCCAGTACTGCGTAAGTCCTGCGAAAGAAAACATCAGTGGAAGTCAAAGACTAACAACACTTTAGAACGAATATTTTCCTGATAACGATGATACCCTTGTTTGCTTATTCGCCATCATCATGCGCAATCCCAAAGAGATCAACTCTGCCTGTGGCGCACGAGCTCTCAACTGGCTTCTTGCCATGCAGGGTGGCGATGGTGGCTGGGGAGCATACGATATCGACAACACAAGCAAAATCGCCAACCTCTTCCCTTTCGCTGATGGAGTTGAGTTCTTCGACCCCAGCGTACCCGACATCACAGGACGTGTCCTCGAGGTTCTTGGCTACATCCTCACCGAACCTACATGCTCCTCTATCCTGCCTCCTGCTATCTATCAGCGTGTTCGCGAAGCGTGTAAGAGAGGTCTTCAGTACGTCGCGAAATCACAAGACAAACTCACTGGGACGTGGTGGGCGAGGTGGCACGTCAACTACCTCAACGGCACCAGCAGCGTCCTTTGCGCCCTACCATATCTCCAGTCTGTGGAACAGCCAGAGGGAGGCATTCTGATTGAAGAGCCACTATCCTGGATCAAGGCAGTACAGAATGTCGATGGTGGTTGGGGTGAGAGTCTCGGCACATACAGAGACGAGTCTCTGGCTGGGAGAGGCCTCATCTCAACTCCCACACAAACAGCTTGGGCAGTGATGGCTTTGCTCTCTCATCTACCGCATACAGATCCTGCGATTAAGAGAGGCGTGCAATATCTCATGAGCACCCAGGTTGAGACCTCTACGGGCGTCACGTGGGATCAGGAAGCTTATGTCAGTGTGGGCTTTCCGAACACTCTTTGGTTGGACTTTGGATGCATGAGGCATGGATATCCGATGGTTGCTTTGGGCCGTTATCTACACGCATGCAAGCAACACAAGTCATAAGCTTTGTCTGGATTCTGGGTGGTTCATGTTTTGAGTCTTGGTTTAGCGGCAACTCTCTTATGTCTTAGTGAATCTTACTTGTCTGCCAAGAGTAGCAAATTAACGATGATCATGATCAATCAAACAAGTTTGTCAAGTTGGTTATAGGGCTGTTCAAGCTGCGTACATGTAGCTGACAACATGATGACCTCATTTTCAATGAAGCTTCCGCGCTGTCAACTCGTCTTAACTTTCAAGTAAAGCCGTTCAACCGCTCTGATAGCACCACCAGCAACTTTGGTAGCACACCACAATTTTCATAAGCTGAACTTTCTTGTGAGTTGATTTGCATTGCATATCTTGGCAACCATTCAGTCGGAATGGCGTCTGCCTTCCCACCCTTGGCATTCATCAAGACTCAACCGTCAACCGCATCGAGCGGGAGAGGAAACTTTCGCCGTGCACATTAGAGTTCATCTCAAACCCCTGTAACCTGGGATCTCAGCTTCTCTACGTGGTTCCTCTTTTTGCGGCCGCGAGTGTCAAGCGTTGACGATCACGTTGCGGATCGCCAAGAGCCGCATGCGACTCAGAACTCTGGAGAATGCCATCTCAAGATAGCCGGGGTAACCGTGTAAAAGGTGCCGAGCGGGTATGGTTGCTCCAACGTTCAAACCGCCGACTTGGGCTTGGTTTCAAAGTCCATCTCCCATCGTGGCATTGGCCAACTGAGTTCTGTAAAGTGTCCGGTCATGGCATTTGTCTCAATCCGGTTCCCAGAGGTTACCATTCTCGGAGCAATCCTACAACAGCTTCCCCTAGCTGTTTGCCCACTCCACATATTAATGACTCGTTGGTATGATCTCTTGGAAAACCCCGCGAAGTGCATACGATGCCGACAACACTTGCCAAGACGCGTAGACAAAGTGCCCGTTGGAGCTTTGATACTTTGGAGCTGTCCTCAGTCCCCAGAAGAAGTGATACGTATTACGGCCAAGCCGGGCTGGATCCAAGGTCAAAACGCCGTAGGCATGTTAGCCCGAATGAGAGATCTGAAGCGGGTGGTCTTGGGTACCAAGAGCTGAGAAGTCGGTTGAAGCATAATCGAGCTCACCCGAGCCTGCAGGCGTACCGGGCTGCTCATGCTGACTCTGAGATTCACAGAATAAAGAGCAGATGCCAGCCTGCCGTCTTCCATGATCTCGAATAACCATCACCAAGCGTCTATGTTCTGGAACATATCGAAGTAACTCATTATACCCAGCCATCATATTTTCCAGATTTCTTGCATATCAAAAACATCCATCGAAAACCTTCCCGAGATAGCTCAAATCCACAGCCCTTCATCATGGCTATCACACAAACAGTCGCGGGCTCGATTATGAGCTGCCAGCCAACGACTCTACTCGCTATCTTTCTTGCACTAGGCGCAGTGTCATATTTCTCCTTCTTCAGGAAGCCGAACCTCAACATGCCGGTTGAGATTCCTGATCCGGGTCCGGAGGGCGTCTTCAATACGCTCACTCGCATGTACGAGAAGGTTGGTTGCATTGCATCCCCGTGTCAGGAACATGACTGACAGAGACGTAGTACCCCGACACACCATTCATCCTGAAGACCTCAAGACCAATCGTTATTCTTCCCGGTAACCTGGTTGACGATGTCAAGAACATGCCCGAAGAAAAGGTCTCTCTGCATGCTGAGGTCAAGATCGACCATTCGATGGCCGTAACCAAGGTCGGCGGTGGCACTTACGGTACTGAGCTACTTCCCACTGTTCGCATCGATCTCACTCGACACACCAATGGTGCTATTCCCGCCATTCTTGATGAGCTGCGCTTCGCGATGGACATTGAGCTCAACGACGTCGGTAGCGACCAGTGGTCTACTAAGGGTCTCCACATGAGCGTCACCAAGATCTCGGCCCTCATGCTCTCTCGCATCTTCATCGGTCGCCCCATCAGTCGACGACCTGAGTGGCTTCGCTCTTCCATCGGCTACACCATCGATCTGATGCGCGCCCGTCATGCCCTGAACAAGTATCCTTACTGGATGCGCCTCATCATCGGAAAGTACTTGCCCGAGGTCAAGCAAATGCAGTCTCATCTTGAGGGTGGCAAGAAGATCTTAATGCCCATTGTCGAGAACCTGGTCAAGGAAAGAGCGGCGATGCAGGACCCCAACTCCTGGATGGATGAGAAGAAGCCCCTGCAGCACTACATGTCGGAAGAGGAGGCTCTTGAGTTTGACGACGCCCAAGGCACCTTCTGCTCATGGCTGCTCAAGTACACCATCATCCCCAAGGGCGCGACGACGGAGGATATTGCAACATCACTGGCGCTCAACCAGCTTGCCCGTAAGTCCACGCTGACATGATCTTCGCGATGTCAACTACTAACATGATCTCAAGTTTCCTGGGTCTCCATCCACAGCGTTAGCTACACGGTGACTCGTGCGATGTACGACCTTGCTACCAGACCCGATTACTTCGCTCCTCTACGCCAAGAGATTGAGGATGTTCTCCAGCAAGATGGCTTCACCATGGATGACAAGGGTCGTCGCATCATGGGTCGCACATCTTACGTCAAGCTTCGCAAGCTCGACTCCTTCTTGAAAGAGAGCATGCGCCTGTGCCCGAACAAGCTGGTGAACATGGCACGCATCGTTCAGAGCCCCGTCACACTTTCGACCGGCCACACATTGCCCGCCGGCACCCGCATCGGTGTGCCGGTGTATCACGTCATGACATCCCCTAGTACGCAGCAAAGCTACGCCGAGTCTGCCGATATGGCACCCGCAAGCGAATTCGACGGATTCCGCTTCTACAAGCTGCGCCAGCAGGAGGGCAACGAGAACAAGTTCCACTACATCACGACCACATCCGACTACCTCGCTTGGGGTCTCGGCACCCACAGCTGCCCTGGCCGCTTCTTTAGCAGCACTGCTATCAAGGTCTTGTTCGTGGAGATGCTCCGTTTCTGGGACTTCAGGCTCGTCGGCGATGTCGATCGCAAGGGTGGCCCGCCTGTTGGCCACAGGCTGAACGACTTCACTCTCACGACTGATGTCACTGTTCCGCTTGAGATCAAGCGTCGTGAGGGTGCCAACTAGTAATGCGAGGGGCGTCAGCCTCCTTGTGGTGCATACGGGCAATTGGTTCGGCGAGTCGGCGACGGTTCGGCGACGGTTTTGAGGCGTAAAGCATGGATCGGAGTTCCGAGTTCAATATGAGGGGTAGTTCAACCACAATAGCCAGAATTTCTGTAGCATGCTTATTCGGCGATGAAATACAAACTCTGATGTGTGATACTAGCCATGATTCAACTACCTAACTTGTATGTGAAGCGGACATGATATCGCCGAACTTCGAAGAGAACGCCATTTGCTAACTATCTTCACCCCTGGATGATCGACAATCGGAGATATTTGTCTTATCCAATGGTGCTTCTGGCTTCTTGGCAGTATTTTGAACAAGACTGGAGACAGATCTAGAGATGCATCGAGACTACGGGAGAAGCCGTCATTCATTCGAGACAGCTTCAACCCCCGAACAAGCTTTGGACGAAGCACCAGCCAACACGCAGCCCGTTCTTTGAGCCGGTAAACGACCTCGTTTTCCCACATCGTGACGTACTAAAGATGTTCATTCCGACTTTCTGGATCCCTTGGCACGGCCCTATCCGGACCTCGCAAGAGAGCATGTCCTTTGTACTGAAGCCGATTTAAGCGTATTAGTGTTGTTCACATGCGGGGATCACGATGGCTCGCTTCGAAAACTTGGCAGACCGCAGCAGCCACGGGCTGTGATTCGCCGGAGTGCGAGTGCGAGCTCGCTCTTTGCTATTTGCGAAGTGATTAAAATAGGTCCCAAACTGTCGGGACGTCGATCGGGCCAGCCGTTCCGCCACACATGCCAGAAACCACATGGTGTGGCTTGCCCATCCTCTATCGCGAGATTCCTCATGTCCGAACTAGGCATAGCTTACGGCCGGTCATGGACAAGGGCATTCAGCCAGTTCCACTGGTGAGATCCAGCCTTAGACTAAGATAGGAAAAGAGTTTAGCTTGGCTGTCTCTGAACGTGGGAAATGGGCAAGGGAAGCGAAAGAGAGAGAGATCGGGCCATGCGTCGATCATGCCTTCTTCTCAGTTAGGGGATAGTCGAGGATGTCTGAGATTAGATCCCGCTTCCGCCACGGGCACAGTTGAACAGGTTTCAAACGGATCGCAGCTGAGTGTTTACGGCCGGCAGCTCGGCGTTGCTCGCCGGTGGACAATGGACCTACAGTCCTACACGCGGGCGATATCTTCCTTTCAGTTTCCTCCATCTTGATTCCTACAAAAGGTTTCTTGAGTCTCGCCATTTCAACGTTTTGCCTTACCAGCCATTCCAAGTCACTCCCACCGAGCACGCAGCAACGACTCGGATCACAACAAACACAATCGGTCCGCCATGTCTGCCACGAAGCTGCCAAACGGACTCAGGACCTTCGGTCCAAAGGCCAACTGCACACTGGAGCTTTGCCCGCTACAATCCAGTTTGCTACGATACCAGCCATCCGTCCCCGCCAATGGAACGTTCATCGCCTTCTTCGCTTTAGCCATGATCATTCATGCAATCCTCGGTTTCCGATCTAGAACATGGGGATTCATGGCTAGCATGATAGGAGGATGCCTAGTGGAAATTGTGGGCTATGTTGGGCGTCTGATTCTCCACGACAACCCATTTTCCTTCGGCGGCTTTCTGATACAGATTAGTAAGTATTCTTCAGAAACTTTTCACCAGTTACAAGGATCACTAACACCAGATTTAGTCTGCATCACCGTTGCCCCGGTGTTTTTCTGCGCTGCTGTCTACGTTATGCTTTTTAAAGTGTAAGTCCAATCCTCTGCTGTGACTTGCAACAGTTCTAATCGTGCTCCAAAGTGTCACCGTCCTCGACCGATCAATCTCGCGCTTCGACCCTCACCTGTTCTACTACATCTTCATTCCCTGCGACATAATATCCCTCATCCTGCAAGCAACTGGAGGAGCTTTGTCCAGCGTGGGCGACAACAAAGCACAAGTACAAAAAGGAGTTAATGTCTCATTGGCGGGCTTGATATTCCAAGTCGTAACGCTTGTGGTGTTCTGCATTCTCTTTGCCGACTACCTCATCGCCGCCTCCAGATCAAGCGCGCGGGAGAGAATCACCAAGAGGATGGGAATCTTCTTGGCCTTCCTATTCCTGGCAACCGTCTTGATCCTCATACGATGTTCCTACCGCATCGCAGAGTTGAAAGAGGGCTACTTCAGTCCACTCTTCAGGGATGAGCCCCTGTTTATTGGCCTGGAGTCATCGTGAGTCCTCTTCAAGCTGATCCATCCTCCACGGACTATGCTGATTATCCCGCAGTGTCATGGTCGTAGCTGTATTCAGCTTGGTGATTGGAAGTCCCGCAGTCGGCTTTCAAGAAAGCGATACCCGAAAGAGCACAACTTCGGACTTCGAAGGTCGTCCATCAAGAGATGGGGATCTGGCCATGGACAATGTCGGAGGAGGAAAGCCTGTTACGGAAGATACCATGCATAATGTGGAGCTATAGCTCCGGGAACATACGGAATACTGTCAAATCTTCTTTCATTCAAGATACCATTTTACTTATCAGAGTCATAGCAAGCACATCATGTTTCCAATCAAGACCAATCTCCATTAGTCTGCTGAACCGCTGTCCCGCATTGCGTCTTTGGCATTACTGTGTTTGCCAGCTTCAAATTTTCCCTCCGCTCATAATGCTGAATCGTGTATTGTCAGGGATAGGTGTCGCCACTTTGCAAAACCTGCCTTGTGCTGTTTGTAATCGTGACTGGCTTCCATACGATACTGGCTGGATGTTTAAGCCAAAAGCTTACCTGAGTCAGTAAGTTGTGAGGTCGAAGACATTTCGAAGAAAAGTGTCTGATCGACTCTCTATTTCGTTTTTTCCAGTTAAGAAGGAATGCCATTTCACCCGGTAATTATATATAGTTCCTATTATGTTGGGCAGCGTTCACCGAACAGGCTACCCCGAAGGCCTTCGCCCCAAGTTATCTCCTATTGGTAGTCTTTTTAAAAGACATAATCATGAGATTCAATTTTTGTGTAGAATACAAAAGAAGATTGGTAACCAGAAATTCGTACGTAATGACAGTTGTGTGAAACAACATCACGAGGCCCACATGAAGGGCGCGGATGGATATCAGGTCCGCAGAACAGGTTGTGGCATTTATCATCACCGGAATTCTTTGCCGGCGACTTTCTTGGCGTCTGTTCGGGTTCTTAAAAGGAGCACTGGTAGGACATCTCTCGAAGATCTGCTCTGCAAAATATCACCGTTCGAGTTCTTTCTGTCTTTAGTTACCAACCTCAACCAACTCCTTCACCCAAGTTCATTGAACCCAATAACACCTACGCGATGCAAGTCCTTTCGGCTCCAGCTCATCATGTCTTCTCTCTTCCGAGACTCCCCGGCGGGGCAGATACTACGCCTGATTTCCCGGGATGGCTTCCTGGCCTATCCGGAGGAGACGGCAGGCTTTAAGCTGCCAGAGTCTTGGCAGAGAGTCATGGATGGCAACACGGAACCAGTGTCATCCGGTGACGGTCAGCCGCCATCTTCGGCAGAAGACACAGCTGAGGACTCCGACAAGTCCAACGATCGCGATGAGGCCCAGCTTGCTTTTCCCTCTCCAGTGCGTCTGCCGCACGACAATGCAGCTCTACATCCCGAGGCGGGCATTCCGGTCAGCCACGAGAAAGGGTTGAAGAGACTGCGATCTGTTCTTGTGGTTCCAAGAGTTAAAGATGGTATCATCTTGGTCGATTGGTACACCAGCGATGATCCTGACAACCCGGAAAACTGGTCTCACTTCCGCCGCGGCATGATCACATTCTTCCTGTACTTGTACACGTCCGTCATCTACATGTCCTCTGCCATCTACACACCTTCCGAAGATGGGGTCATGGAGGAGTTTGGGGTCAATCACACGGAGGCTGCGTTGGGTTTGGCTTTGTTTGTTCTCGGGTGAGTCTGAGAGTCGGCCTGTTTTGCATGAATCGGAGCTTACAAGTCCAGGTATGGCGTCGGCCCTCTGATCTTCAGCCCGCTGGGCGAGATACCATCCATCGGCCGCGGCTGGGTCTACATCATCACCATGTTCCTCTATGTGATGATTTCGATTCCCACCGCGCTGGTTCAGAACTATCCCGGCCTCATGGTCCTGCGCTTTCTCCAGGGGTTCCTTGGCTCACCATGCCTGGCTTCCGGCGGCGCCACGCTTGGGGACATGTACGAGCTGATTGATCTTCCGTATGCTCTGATCGGTTGGGTCTCAGCCGTGTGGTGTGGTCCGGCTCTGTAAGTATTCTTTCCTTTGATTCTCTTAATGGACTGTAGTTCTGACATCTGACTTGCACAGGGGACCTCTCGTGGCTGGATGGTCAGTTCCCGTCATGGGATGGCGCTGGTCACTCTTGGAAGCTCTTTGGGCAGCTTCGGTCATGTTCTTGGTCATGCTCTTCCTCCTGCCTGAAACTTCTCATGATCACATTCTTTTGAAGCGCGCGCAAAGATTACGCCGTATCACAGGTGATGATCGCTTGATGTCTCAGAGTGAGCTCGATGAAGCTAAGCTCAAGTTCAGGGAGGTTATGGTCGAAGCACTTATCAGTGAGTCTTTTCTCCATCCCCTATTCGTGGCACATTGACACTGACTCCGGGCAATTTCAGAACCCATCGAGATCACATTCAAAGATCCAGCAATGATCTTCCTGCAAATCTACACAGCGATCGTTTACGGCGTCTACTATTCCTACTTCGAGGTCTTCCCGCTTGTCTACGAAGATATGTACGGGATGTCGGTTGGCCAGATGGGCATCGTATTTCAGTGCATCTTCGTCGCCAATGCCATCGGGATTGCCATTTACATCGCTTACTTGGCATGCTACCTCAACCCACGCATCCGAGCTCGCGGCTTCCCGGTTCACGAAGTTCGTATGGTCCCAGCTATGCTCACCTCCTTCGGTGTTACGGGCGGGCTCTTCATCTTCGCTTGGACCAGCCGTCCAGACTTCCCATGGATCGCAAGTGTCATTGGTATCACGGTCTACAGCTGCAATCTCTTCGTAGTGATGCAGTGCATCTTCGTTTACATCCCAGTCTCGTAAGTATCCCATCTTATTCTTTGTGCCTACTGTCAGTTACTTACACTCAGTAGATATCCCAAGTACTCTGCCAGCCTCTTCGCTGCGAATGACTTCTTCCGCAGCTCTTTGGCCTGCGGATGTGTACTTTTTGGCCGACCTCTCTTCGTCAACCTGGGCGTCGACCGCGGAGTGTCCGTCTTGGCAGGCTTGTCGGGACTCGGTATCATTGGGGTTTGGGTGCTGTACTTCTACGGTGCTAAATTGCGTTCAATGTCCAAATTCGCCGCCAAGGACTAATGCGATCACATCGCTGCGATGTCGGAAACTCCTCTTGACAAATCGACCGGTTGGCTTGGGATCATAGAGCAACTGCGTGCACGATTGGAGTCCCTTCAAAACTGCTCATACTTTTACTTCAAAGACCAAATTGTTATAGCCTTGCCCTCGCATTCAACAGTGTCAGGGATACCATAGATTTACACAATAGACCTCAACGTCATCATCCCCTAGAGGCCTCCGCGACTACTCGGTGACAGTTCCTCATCTCGATGTATTATACGTATGTACGTGACTTAGAGTTGACCCATGGTTGTCCTTCGAGTCGTGAATCGTTAGGTACCATGCCCATACGAGTATCAAATGTGGTCTGTGGGCTGAGGATACAGGTCAGTCATTGCTTGCTCGAAAAGGTAGAACTGTGCTTACTCGACTGACTTCAGCTTGCTGGTCAACTGGCGCCTTATTTTAACAAGGTTCCGGTAGATCCCAACTGGGTGCAGGCTCGGTTCTTTGACGACGACGATTGACCAACATGCCGATGAAGAACGCAATGGCGATGAATGAGAGGAACATAAAAACTCCAACAACAGCCCAAAGCCTCGGCTCGTTCTTGCTCCAGTCGATTCCGTTTACGGCGCAAGCCGCCTTCGAGCTCCAATTTGTAGGTGACGAGCATGCCTGGTCCATTTTGCCGTATTGATACTCGATTCGATACAAAGATGCTTTTGATGGTTGGCGTTCTCGTGTTTTGGGGGTATGAGTGTATATATTGCGCGGCGTATTGCATTTGTTTTTGGTGGTTGCTTGGTTTATAGTAAACGAAGACTTCTTTGAAGGAAGAATCCTGTCGCTTTATAGGTCTTAATACTGGGCTATCTCCGTAATACCGGCTTTTTGGAGATAAACCTTTCTGGATGGCTTGCAGTTCTAGTGATTGCGTGCCAGCCAATGCCAAAAGCATAATCTGGAATTATGCCCCCAAAACAGGCTTTTGGAAATTTCTGATTAGACTAAACCGTTTTCTAAATCAATGCACTTTATTTTACATAAAATCATACATCTTCCGTCGTTGGTTGGCACTCAATGGGACATGGAAGCTTCACGAACAATGGAAACAGGCGGGCTTCTTATGTACACGAAAGTCCAAACCTCACATGGCCTCAGCTTCAATGGTAAAAAAGGAATATCTTCAACCTATTCTGCATTTGTCTCATGTGTATTCTCTCAGTTTTCCCCCATTTTCTGGGTGCTGGAAAATCACAATTACACCTAAGCAGCTCAGCCATCAATCCCCGAATTTGGTCATATGCACGTAGATATGTTGCAAGTCGCAATGTACGCCGTGGAGGTCCTCATTAGACCTTACTTTGATATCTTTAGAGTCAGTACCATTTACGGCTGGTCTGTGGTCGAACTCGCTTTCTTTCTCCGCTACCCATCGAGCTCTCTTGGAAATGTAAAGATCCCCAAGCTACATGTATTTTCCACCTTACTGGCTGCAGGAAGATTTACGGCTCAGAGGGATGCCTCCTAGTTTTCAATGTTTGTTCTGAAGTCAAACGATCGATACTTTTTAGGTAACATTTTGATGAGTAACAGCTATTGGCCGATGTAAGAAGGCCTCAGCTGCAAGGGTTGTTTTTCTGAGACTATATACATCTCCAAATGCAATACCCGAAAGGCTTTCAGACATCCTTCGCACCATCTGTTTCCTCCGACTTACGGGCGTACGTAACCTGGCTGTCAAGGTCAGTGGAAATCACTTTGATGTAGAGCAGAAAGAACTAACACATTCCAGTACGCATGCGTGCTCTTACTCTTCAGCTCCTTCCGTGCTTCAGCGCAAAGTGCCAGAACCTCTTCCTTGGTCCAGTTCAGAGCTCGTGTAAAGAGAGCAAGGGACAGACCCTCGAACCCTTGATCGAGATTGACGTGATGCCATCGCCCAATTTCCTTGAGCTTCTTGTCCTTTGGCCACGAGTTGAGCGGCCAGACGTACTTTTTGACTGTAATGTCAACGAAGCCCGCTTCTTTCATGGCATCCGTGTACTTTGCTGGGCTTTCGATGGAGCGGCCGATTTTCTCGCCGGCCTCGACCATCAACTCCTGCCATTGGCTGAGTGCTGATCCCTTGATGAGGGTACCATCATCGCATCCCAGCGGCAACACGAAGCCGCCGGCCTCGAACCATCCACCAGGTGACAGAGCCCTGGTCACTTTTCATCAGCGCAGATCGGCCAGAAGAGGCCCTCAATGTCATCTTACTTGTAAGCCTTACGTACAATATCCGCAGGGTCTGTGAAGGAGCCCTCCATGGTTCGACAAAAGATGTAGTCAAAAGGTTCACTCCACGTCCAAGGCTTTTCGAGGTCGTCAATTTCGAACTTGCAGTTGGGAGGGGCCCTAAAACGCGCCATTATTATTAGAGACGGGGGATCCTTTCGTCAAGCTTCGCATCTTACCACTGCGGTTGGGTTGGGCTCAAGTCAACTCCGATCACCTAGGAAGCGATCAGTCATCAGTCGGGCATTCACGTATTCAGGTGTCATATCGAACCTCTGCCTCTGGGAATGTCTCCGCTATCAATGTTTCGTCAGTATCAAGGTACCCTCAAACGGCGAAACAAAAAGTATGGTGACTACATACCGTAATCAACGGCCCAGACGCCAGTGCCAGTTCCCATGTCGAGGACACGCCTGGCGGTTTTGTGAGCCGGGGCTACTGCGAGTTCACCATCGAGAGTGAGTTTCCAGATCGTGCTCTGAAGCTCTGTTGATGTGAGCGTTACGGACAACCGTGATTTACTACCGACTGCATGTGCTTACCTAGGCGATCATTCTCTCGCTTCTCGAGTGTTAGCGAACGACAAAGGCTGATGAGTAGACTTCATTGAAGAACCAACCTCGTCATTGGGGTAATTGTACTCTTTGCACTTTTTAGCGAATGCCGCAAGCGAATGGCTTAAACAATCCATACTTCCCGCGCTCATGGCGTGATACGTGCGGCCATTCTCAGACTGGTGTTGAAGAATGCTGGATCTCAGCGACGCTACTGACGAGTCCTCGTAGTCCTAAAAAATGAAAGAAGTATTAGAACAAAAAAGCCTCTGGATGCAACCGCACGAGGGGCGTCACTGACATCCCCAAGATTGGCTGCATTGTCAGCTTCGGCCACCTGAAATCATGCTGTTAGTTGAGGTGCATAGAATCATTTATGAAGAAATCGAGTCTTACAATCCGAGAGGCGTCTTGACTCATGGCGAGAATGGAATTATCGAAGTTTAGATGACAGCTTGAGCTAAGAGAATTGCAGCAGCTAGTGAACGTTTTCCCGAGCAGAAAAGGGTCGTGGGAAATGAGTCGAGGAAACGAGGGGTCAGGGTTTGTAAGTAAATCTGGATCTCATGAATCCGCCTGTGCAGTCGTTCGCCCAGAATCATACCCGCCTCGACCGGGACATCTCGTCACATGAGACTCCCATAAAAGGCATGTCAGTTTGAAGATGCTCCAACTTCTCGCTGCAGCCCAGACTTCCAATTCAACATCATTTTCGCACTTGGACAACGCTCCGATGCCCAGAACGCGTTGAAACTGGGATGTCGAGGTTGCCAGGTTCAGTGACAGTCGTGATAGGGTAAAAGTTATTGGCATGGGTTCATCCCCGCGCCGGGCCGGACGGGCTTGCAGCCGAGGCGGATCCACGTTGCCATGCATGCATCCTCATCAGGATATTCGCCCGTCCGTCCATCAAGCATCTACACTCCCAATGGTCGAAGAATAATTATCTCACGACCGAATTGCCAATGGAATACCATTTATGGTGGACAGTCACGTAAAGTTGAGCACTCAGCCAGATAGATATCCGTGATGATTCCCCTTTGTATTTGGCATCCCAACTCCTTGATGGTATGGATGGACTAGACTCGCTTGTGCGCGTTATCTTTCCATATTTCTTTTTTTTCAGGGGAACCGCCATGTAGCGCGATGTAACACCCATGCAAGTCGGTCACCTCCGAGCCCTCATCTAATTTGCTTTCGGGTATCAGTTTCAAGCTATCGATCTACGTTGAACTTCTCGCAACGGCTGCAGAACCTAGTGGGAAATACGCGACGACCCATGTACCGTATCCTTCCAGGAGGGGTAGAATCCCCTCCTCCACCGTTTCTGTATGTGAAATGCCCTGTCAAGAGATCTACCCCTTAGATATGGCCAATTAATCCCATGTCTTCAGGGAATAATAAAGAGAGGGGGCGGATTCTACGCCTGCTGGAAGGATACGGTAGTCAGATACGTAACCAGGAGCGGCAAGTGCGATTGGATGAGACATGCATGGTGTTGATGAGGCCTCATGGCGCTAAGTTCATCGAGAAAAAGAAATAAATGAACAAGCCCAGACCGAAGCCCCCGCGTCTGAAATGTTAAGATGCGTGCGTGTCCCAGGAAATACTTCTGCGCATTCACAATTGTCTCAAATCTACAGCACTTCTTCACCGTGAAGAGCATCATTAAATCAGTGGCTCTTCATCCATCTTCCCTCTCTATGTCGTAAGTTCGAAGACCAACTCATGCACGCATATTCCACGGCCTTAACTTACCAAGTTATTATCTCGCAGCGGCATGATGCTTTCCCTCGATACTCTCCCAGCGGAGGTGTTGGGTGTCATACTATCCGAAGCCACCACCTCCGACATATCCAATGTCTCGAAAACATGCAAGAAGCTTCGGTCCGACGCTCTTCCAAGCCTATATCGCAATATCAGGATCCCGTGGAGGAACAGCATCACCACTGCGAGAGCGTTTCTTCTACTACGTACCATGGTGGAACAAAGCGCTTACCGCGGAATGATCCATCATCTGGAGTTCTGTAGAGCACAAAACCATTGGGACTATGACGACTACAACTTTTGCCGGCAAAGAAACATGAAGTTTGAAAAACACCCAATGGACGATGTTCTTCTGCCTTGGTTGCTGAGTGCGAAAGTTGATGAAGACGAAGAATGGGGCTTGACCCAACAGTCCGTTAGGGAGTTGGTCGACTCGCGTCCATATCACGGCGACTTTGTTCTCGCTACCCTCACTCGGCTCTGTACGGAGCTCAGAAGCCTCACCGTAAGTGCAGAGCTTACTACCAACGAAGACGAGCAAGAGAAACCGAAAGACAAGCAAGAGAATTGGCTGGAGGATATCATCATGGACTCGGCCCTGCCGTGCATTAGGGATTCCCAGCTGCCGCTTCCGAGACTCAACAAGCTCACAATGCTTTCCGTTCAACACGATCGTGATCCGTACGATTTTCTACCCGACTTCATCGAATTCGAAGACAGTGCGGACCCAACCAATATGTCCTTGTTTGATGACCCCGGGGTGGATCAGTATATGTCAGACACATTGGCGAACGCGTTGTACCTTCCCAGCCTCACAGCTCTGGACATGGCACGAGTTGGACATGTCGGAGACTGGACAAACAGGTTTCATGCGAAGGACTACTTCAGGAGTTGGGCGCTACCTACCAAGCTCCACAATCCCGTCAATCTGAAGATCCTGCGCATTCAGTACTCGGAGGTGCAACCGGCAGAAATCGAAGTTTTGCTGAGACACACACCTCAGCTTGAAGTTCTCTCCTGCGATATCGGGCTTCAAGACGAGTCGATGCACGGTTGTCTCGACGGCTTTCAAGAAGCTTTCCACCACGTCCAAAACACTCTGCGTCATCTCGCACTCCGTATCCGAAGAGGAACTTACAGAGGCAGTCTGGGGTCCCTCAAGCATCTCCACAACCTCGAGGTTCTCTTGATATCCTTGGGCATGATTTACGATGCCGATCAGGCTAGGTTGCCACAGCTGGCTGAGGTTTTACCAGCGAACCTTCGGGAACTCGGCTTGGGCGAATGCCTCATGCGCGACGACCCGTTGTGGTCTTGGGAAGAGGAAAGACTGCTGCAACATGTGAGGACCTACTGGCAGCGTCGTTCACCAAAGCTTCAGTTCATTTGTGCAGAAATGCCAACAATTCATCGCAGTTGGTTTTACGGCGGAGAAACACGTGGTGTTGGAAGCCAGAGGTTATTTGACTATATGTTCAATGGAAGACACAATGACAGTGTCGTATGAGGGTTGGTCTCCCTTTTAGTTCCTAATACGGCATCTTCTAAACTTATGAAGAAGACAATACACCTGTTTTCCAATTGAGCGAAGTCACTGACGTCTAAATTCCCGTTCCCGCCTCCAATCTTGTCATCTTCTGTACCCTTCCCAGCCCGGCAACTCATGAGGTTGATTCTGACCCGGCGGCGTCTTCCATTCACTCGGTGGTTCATAAACTTCATGTTGAAACGAACGTGCATCGACCGCATGCCCCAAGTCTTGAGTGATCTGTTCTCTGGCCCGCCTCCGCCGTCTCATGTGGAAGAAGAGCCATATTCCCAGACCTCCTAGGAGGAGAAGACCGGCCGAGGCACCGACAGCGGCACCTATCGTGACTGCTCGATCATTCGGTGGAGCGGCTTCAGTGTCTGGACTGCTTGTAGGACTGTGTGGCGCACCAGTGCTCGTGATTACAGGGTTCGAGCTTGGGAGACGGGACGGGTTCATCGTGGGTGCTGAAGGTGCCTGAGACGGGGAGTTCGTGACCTGAGTCTCCTGTGATACCGTCGACGTCGTCGAAGACGATTCTGTCGTGGTTTGTATGACGCCGATGGTTGTAATTGCCGTTGCGGATTCTATAGATATCGGTTAGAAGGCAAGTTACCAATATTCGTTGACAAAGTCACTCTAAGTGATTAGAGAAAGTAAGAAACAACAAACTTACGCTGGAAGAACAGCACATTCCTTTTCGCAGTACAATTAACCTGATCCTGCACCGAGTTGATACAATAGTACAACTCCTCAACCGTATCCAAACACTTCGCAACCCCGATCCCTCCCGCCACGTTGTCCGTCTCCGGGTTGATGCAGAACAGCGGACAACCTGAGCTCCTCCACGACCGGTCCGTACACGCTCCCCTCACAAGCTCCGTCGCGCCGCCCTTCTGCAACTCTTGCCCCGTCGCTTGACACATGCCGTTCGAAAGGCACGCGTAGCCCTGACCGCAGCAGGCCGACTCGGCCGTGTCATCTCGGCATGGTGTATCGTTGGGGGCGATGCTTCCGTTGGGGTAGTAGCAGGCGGCTTGAACGACAACTGAAAGATAGGAGAAGAGTAGGGCAGAGAAGAGTAGGGCAGAGAAGAAAGAGGGTAACATCTTCATTTGTTTCGGTTGAGTGAATGTCCGGAACTCCAGGCTCCAGGCTCGCACTCAATGAATTCGAAAGTCACGAACCTGAACTCGACGGACTTGAGGGACAAAAAGAGCGCAGAGACCAACGGTAACAACGATGCGGCTGATTGCTGCCATATTATGAGCGCCCTTACTTCATCATCCAGTTGCCGCCGGGGCAACTTGCCAAACCTCAGCTGCTTGATTGCCACAACCCACGCTCAACCACTTTCAGCCTCCCGCATACTCGAACAGTCCAGACAACTCACCAACAACACCAAGTCCTCAACTCGCACTGTCACCTCCTCCGACCAAACTCACAGTGTGTGGCAATTCTGCCGAGTTTACTCTTGTTGGTTCCAACTGTCGCAGATGCGACAGCGACGCCGTGATAGGCCAACCAAGACAAGCACCCATGTCGACGCAACGGGGCCAAAGTCAGCAAAGGCCAATCCGAGTTGTCAGCTCGTCCCGACAGAACGGAACGGCGGCCGAAATAGCTCAAGCGGGCGTTCCGGGCGTTAACTTGCATACGAGCGAGATTGGGCTGGCGCTTTGAGCGCGAGAGCGCGCGCCCGCGTTTCTGAGCGATCAATCGGTCGATTTGCCCCGAGGTTTGTCGTGAGCTGGCAGGATTGTACATCTGACTGGAGGTAACACGAGAGACAACACAAACGTCCTCGATAGAGATGAGTTGACTCCCTTACTTGTAAGTGAAATCACGACACATCTCCGAACATTTCTCTCATCTAGCGAGATCAAGTTTAGCGCAGTCTGTTCGCACACCCGCCGACGCCGATCTTCCCCTCCACATAAGCAATCACCAACGCGCTCCATACCAAAACGGTTTCCGTAAAACCGCCCGACACCAACACAAACACGCCAGTTGGTTCCTCGCGCCAGCCTTGCTCGTTAACCGGAGAAGACAAGGACCTCTACCGCGTCAATCCAGTAATCGTCACCCGCCAAGACGGCACCAACAGGGGGTCTCTTCTCAAAGATGCAAACCAACCGTCACAACGTCAGGGGTTTCCCCAAAAGCAGGCTTTATTTCCCCGTTCCCCAAATACAACTCTAAGCGCCGTCCTCGAAATCCCACCTCCTCTGCAGCTCCTTGTTCCCTCCAACACGAAAGAGACCACAGAGCGGCAAATCACTTCAATACGGGGGGTTGAAAAGGACAGAAACCCGGCCGGACCGCACGCCTCTCCCATCTCCGTCGTCTCACTCTCGTCAACCACCATCTCAAACCAACAATGATTCTCGCAAGGCGGAAAGTACCAGGCATCCTCCTCCTCGGCCTCCCCATCTCCATCCTCCTCCTCCTCTTCTGGCACACCGACGGCCACCTCCCAACCCTCCCCTCTCGTCACAACACCCCAAAACCAGTCCACTACCAAACACCCTCGACAGAAACCTACTTCTGGAAGACCCTCAAAGTCCACAACCCGGCCCCCCTCCCCCTCCGTCCCCTCCCGACATCCTCCCCCATCCGCTTCCCTCAAATCCAGGCCTCGACCTTCCCCCACACGACCTCCACCCGCGTCCGCGAGGAACGCAGACAAGCAGTAAAACAAACCTTCCAAAAAGCATGGTCCGCCTACCGCGCCCACGCCTGGCTCGCCGACGAACTCGCCCCCGTGTCGGGCGGCACCCGCAACTCCTTCGGCGGCTGGGCCGCCACCCTCGTCGACTCCCTCGACACGCTCTGGATCATGGACATGCGCGACGAATTCTCCACGGCCGTGGCGGCCGCTGGACAGATCGACTTCACATCCACGGACCTCGGGGAGGTCAACGTCTTCGAGACCACCATCCGCTACCTCGGCGGCTTCCTGTCCGCCTTCGACCTCAGCGCCGACGTCCGCCTGCTCCGCAAGGCCGTCGAGGTCGGCGAGATGCTCTACAAGGCCTTCGACACGCCCAACCGCATGCCCATCACGCGGTGGAAGATCGCCGACGCCAAGGCGGGTAAGGCGCAGACGACCCCCTCCAGCGAGCTCGTCGCGGAGATTGGGAGTTTATGTATGGAGTTCACGCGGTTGTCCATCCTCACGGGGGACCCGAAGTGGTTCGACGCCACGCAGCGCGTGATGGAGATCTTCGCCGCGCAACAAAACCGAACCCGGATCCCGGGGTTATTCCCGCTCGTCGTGGACCCCGAGAGGGAGGTCTTCTACGAAGGGGAAACCTTCACCCTCGGCGCCATGGCGGACTCGGTGTACGAGTACCTCCCCAAGATGTCCGCGCTCCTCGGGGGCCGCGAGGGGATGTACCGCGCCATGTGGGAATCCGCAGCAGAGCCCGCCGTCCAACATAACCTCTTCCGGCCCATGACGCCCTCCGGCGCCGACATCCTGATCGCGGGGCAAGCGCACGCGAAAGACGCCGGCGTCGAGCTGGAGCCGCAGGGCCAGCACCTCGTCTGCTTCCTCGGCGGGCTCTTCGCGCTGGGCGGGAAACTGTTCAGCCGGGCCGCGGACCTCGACGTCGCGCGGAAGCTGGTGGACGGGTGCGTGTACGCGTACAAGTCCTTCCCGCACGGCATCATGCCCGAGACGTTCTACATGGTCCCCTGCCCTTCCAAGTCCGAGTGTGCGTGGGACGAGAAGCTGTGGAAACGGCACGTGGTCTCGCGCTCCTCGAAAGAAGATGCCGACGACGCGGACCAGATCATCAAAGACGATAGACTCGTCGCGGGCTTCTCATCGGTGCCGGACCGGCGGTACATCCTGCGGCCGGAGGCGATCGAGAGCGTGTTCGTGATGTACCGGACGACGGGGGACGAGGCGCTGCTGGAGTCGGCGTGGGACATGTTCGCGGCGATCGACAACGCGACGAGCACGGAGCTGGCGAACACGGCGGTGTGGGATGTGACGGTGGAAGGGAGGCCGCCGGCGAGCGACTCGATGGAGTCGTTTTGGATGGGGGAGACGTTGAAGTATTTCTACCTCATCTTTAGCGAGCCCGGGCTCGTGAGTCTGGATGAGTTTGTGTTTAATACGGAGGCGCACCCGTTTAGAAGGTGGAGGTGAGGGAGGAACCTTTTCTGTAGAGTACGTGTGGTGACGATGATTACAAGGATACCCAGTTCATAAACCATGGAAAGATATTTCCCGTACGTGATGACCTCAATATTCATTTCCGATCGTGAACTTGCTACGAAACAACCCAACCCGAAAGTACCGGCCGCATGCCGCCGATCGATCCACACCACACCGGCTCCGCGACGGCCCACAGCGGAGACAAGGCCAGTCACGGTCCGGAAGGGACGCATCAACGCGCCGGCACCCGCGATCGGCATCCCCAAGAGTCCGGCATCTTGTCTGATCATCCATCTGACACCAAATGCCAACCAGTGGTCAGCCCAGTGCTTTAGCACCAAGACACATTCCCCGCGGGCACATCTCTGATCGTCGGTCCAAGGCGGGCCTGATTGGCTCCATGTCTCAAACCCAGCCCCGGGCCCGCCGATGCCAACATCATCGTGCATGAAGTCTGGCGCATCTTCAACCCGGGCCCTGAATCACAAGCAAAGGCAGCTGTCACGGTATGATGCATGATGCAATAGAGGCAACGGTAGTTCAAGCATGTGCGTCGTTAATTCCTACTGATTGTACGCCCTGTAGAGAGATGTATGCCGCCCTGTAGGATGGCCCGAAAACCATGCCGCCTTGACCGTCGTCGTCGGTCCGCCAACTGGAGAAAACAGCCATAGCAAAGACCGGGTATCAGCCCTCCATCATGTCTTCCCAATACCAGCCCAGCTAGACCACAGACGGACTCATATATGTCCGTCTTCAATCGCCGTGAGAGCGACACATTACTATCCACCGCGACAATCCATCCCATAGTGAGCGGGTATCTCCTTGATCATGAGCAAGCGTAACGGGGAATCAAAACCAAACGAATACCTCTAGTTGAAATGGTCCGAACAAGAAACTTCCCAAAAAACCTTTGTGAAAAGAGCAATGGCCAACGAATGCCCGGTATCAAGAGCAATAGGCACGAAACGAAGGAAATGACGGGTTGAGATGAGGGTCATGGCGAGGGCGGCGATACCCGAAAGGAAAGAAACAAAATCAACGCTATGTAACAACGCCAACGAAAAATCATGCAAAATTGCCAGCCAACCAGGAAAAACGGGATATCATCAGTAAAAAGCGACCGTATGTCATGCAGCGTTCGATGCCCCTGCCGACACGTAGGAAAGTATCATCAGTCGTAGCGTTATGTATGTTCCATGCCCTCAAAACATGGTGAGAAATTCGTTACAGTTCGTAGGTGTTTAGTAGGCGGTGGCTGTGGTGCCCTCGCTGGTGGCCACGGCAACCAGAGCCTCAAGCCGCCTCAGGGGATCAGGGTTGGACGATCGGTCCATGCCCGGTTGCTGCTGTTGTTGCTGCTGGGGCGGCTGAGGTTCGGCTTGTCTGGCAGGAAAGCCCGCAAATGCATTCATGTTCGGGTGGACCATTCTGTTCACGTGCGGACCCCGGTGATCCTGTCCGGGCGCCTCGGGTCGAGGCCCGTGAACATGACTGCTGGTGGGGCCGTGATACCATCCGTGTCGCTTTGTGTCTCTGGAAGCCATGGACGGCATCGACATGGTGTGGTGATGGCTCCGGCTGTAAGCATTGGAGCTGGAGTATGATGGCGGCTCAACCTCAAATCGGACTGTCGGAGGGTTCAACCTCACTTGCTCCGCCTGCGCCTGCACGGCTTGGTTTGCCTCGTTAGCCCACGCGCCCGCGCTGTCGCGGGGCGGAGTGGTGTTGGAGGTGATGTCAAGCCGGGTCAGGCCGCGGTGCAAGCCCATATCCCACTGTGCCACGTTCCGCCTGTCCTCGACGGCAGCGTCGGAGCTGAGACGCAGGGCGGGCGGATGGGCCATCTCAGTATCGACCATCATGGGGGACGGGACACGCCTCGGGGGCGAGATCTGGCGCGGTGGCAGAGGATCAAAAGACTCGATTCCCGGCAGCCGGAGATTTTGCTGCTGGTTGGAAACGTTGGCGATTGGCGGCGCCGGGTTCGGCTGGATCTGGCTTGGCGTCAAGACATTGCTGAGATGACTGGTGTTTGTGTTGAAGCTCCTGCTATCGGGATGCCAGGTGCGGCGACGCCATGCCTCGTCAGCGTTGGACGATGTCGAGTCGCGTCGGCCGGTCCATCCAGAGGTTGGGGTCGTGGGAGATGCCAAGTGGCTGCTGGTGGCTGGGGAGAAGGCGCCGTTGTTGGAGGCGTTTACGGGACCGCCATAGACAAGTCGGTTGACGGGCCCTCCGTGCGGCGATTGGAAAGGGTTGGCACCCCCGGAGGGCACGCTGAGTCGGCGCCCCGGAGTTCTTGAGCCCGACGAGTACATGCTTTGAGACCGAGAATGTGTCGTTGTGGGGGACGCGATGCCAGAACCCCATCGCGGACTGCTCTGGCCGGTAGAAAAGGTCGCAGACGTGGGTGTACCGTACTCTGTCGGGGAGACCGGGCGATATCCGTAAGGCCCGTCGCTTCGGTACGACTCAAGAGACAGTCGTGATCGGGGATCGCCGGCCATGACCAGAGGCGGGGGACGTCTGCGCATGTCATCTCGAATGTTAAAGGCCGGAACGATGGGCCCGACACTGGCGATGCTCGACGTCGAGAGCGACTTGGAATGTCCTCTGACGGGACCTGACGCACTGCCGGCCGTAGACGAACGAGCCCTGCCACCCTGCTGACGCACCCGCTCGGTGCGCATCTGCCTCTGGAATCTCGCGCCAGTGGCTGCCAAAGAGTCGATCGGGATGTCTTCGTTGACGTGCACCGTCTGTGCGTGTTGTCGCAGGTTGTCAAGCCGGGAAAACCGCCGGGAGCAGTGGCACTGGAATGGTCTCTCGCCGGTGTGTTTCCTAAATCGAGTCAGCGACTAGTGTTGGCTAGGCTGTAGATGTTCCTACCGAATGTGTCTCGCCAGGTGCTCACTTCGAGTGAAGCTCAGGTTGCATGGCGGGTAGTCGGTGCAGTAAAATCGTTGCGACTTCTTCTTCTTGTTCGACTTGGTCCCGTCGGCGTTGACGCTGTCGTCGTCAGATCCATCCTCACCCTCGCCGTCCGACTCGTCCATGTCGATGTCTTCGGAGTCTCTTGACTTTCTCGAGTGTTGTGAATTGGCCCTTGTCGGAGTCTTTACCTTTTCGGCACTCTCGGGAACCTGGACAGCCTGTGGAAATGGTGAGCTGGGAAGAGGCTTTTGCGAAGCCAGACCACTGCTGCCGCTGCCGCTGCCGCTTCCGAATGTCGCCTTTGTCGGCGTCTTGACATCTTCCGGTACGGGTTGCGGCGTCTGGGGATGCGGTGCAGTGCTCGGTCTCGGAGTCGTCGGCGACGTTGTCATGTTGTCGTCAACCTTGGCCTCTGTAGGCAGCGGCGAATTTACTGGTCTGAATGCGGCGGCCATTCTGTGTAGTGGGGGTGATGAAAGGGCGAAGGAGGCGGATAGCCCGGCGGTTGATTACGACCTCCGGATAATCGTGCACGCAAGCTGGCGAGGCTGAGGCAGTTCTACGGCGCGAGAGTGCGGGGAGAACAGCCTTCGCAGGCTTGGTGATGAAGACGGATGATGGGGGGACAGGTGGAGGGCGGAGGCGGGGAAGAGAAAGAGAACGAGGGATAAAAAGTTTGTATCAAGTCATCCGAGAAATGATCTAGGCTGACACAATGCGAGTGTTGTTCCTTCCGGATCGTGTGCGGTGCGTTCGACTTGGGAATCCTCGAAGCGATACGCAGAGATGTCGTGAACCGAGAGGGAAGAGGAGAGAGAGTCGCAGAGCGGTGGTAGAAATGCGACGGCGAGTCGAAGATCAATCCCGGGCCTGAGTGGGGTGGCTTGGTGGACAAGGTGCAAGGCCGGTTTGGATACTCTTTACGGCACGGTGGGTAACGTAGCGTGGTTGAGTGGAGGACGAAGAGAAGAGAGACAAGTTGGTAGGGCGAGGGGCAGGCGGCTCTAGAAAAGGACTGCCAGGGGAGTGTGGCGATGAATGGTCGATGATGAAAGACGTGCCCTGATCTGACCCTGCTGGCTGCAGCAGAGTGGTTCTTCCCAGCGGTTCCTCTCGCTGACTATTCTTTCCCCTGCCTCTCTGGCTTTGCTTTGCTTTGCGCCTGGTTGCGTTCGTTGGAGCTTAGCGGGAGGTGTAGTGTCGACAGCTGGGCTGGGCGGAGTCCTCGTCAAGGTAGGTTGGAGTAGCCAGCCAACCAGCCTCCTGTGAAGGGGGTGCGTATTGGGGGGATCCGGCGCACCAAGTCGGCGAATTTGGGTGGGAGCGTCTGTGGGCTATCGCAGAGCCAATGCAGTCCGGTCCAATGCCAATCAAGATCCGAGGTGACGGTTCTCCGACCTGGCGGATGAGCTTTTTGGTTCAGGCGTCAGGAGGAGGAGGAGGCGGCAAAGGGTGGTGAATGCCAGCGGTATCGAAAGTTACCGTTTTACAGTGCGTTCGTTGCGGTTGCTGACCGATGATCGGCTGAAGTACCGAGCGTAGGGCGAGGTTTCTCGACGATTGTGGAGTCTGTATTCTGACCCGTTGCTTAGGCGATGATGTCGGTCGGAGAAAGCTCACGAAAGACGTGTCCAATGGAGAAGAGGATGAAGGACGAGGGCCTGAAGGGGAAAGAAAGAGGAAAAGCGTTCGCGTCGAGGTGCGAGGGAGGATTGGTAAGTAGTTGATGATGGCCGTGAATGGCACTCAAAGCGAGCGGAAGCGCAGGCGGTACGAGAAAGACCTGGGTGGACACAAGGGCGGGCAGTCCAGGTCCAGGGCCACAGCCAGGGCCAGGCGCCAGGGTCAGGGTCAGAACGAGGACCTGGCGGCGGTAGTGGTGTCGGTGGAGTCGGTTGGCGGGAGGTACAAGGGGAAGGGGTACAGACGGTGCACCATCGAAGTCGGACGGGTTGATGGTGGGATCCCAGTCAGCCGGGCGGTTGGGGGTCTGGTCTGGCAGACGACTTGTTCGTAGACGGACTGGCGACGGCGGGATGGTGTGTCTGGTTTGGTGTCCGTGAGCGGGAAGGGAAAGCTAGCAGGTCGACGGCTCTCTGACGGGCTCGTGGAAACGGAGGACGGCTTGACAGTGTGTCGGCACGGGCAGGCCACGACCACGACGCCGTACTAGACGCTCACAAGCCGTACTGGGTAGGAAAGTAGTCTGACTGGAGCGGGCTAGCGGTAGCAGTAGCGGGCACAGCAAGCGACGAGGCGTCTGCGAGTGGACGAAGAACGTGGTGAGTCCAGATCTGAGCCAGGGAGGGGTGGCTGGCGAGGGTTGAAAGGTGAAAGGTACCAGGCCAGGGCCAGACGTAAGGTACCGATTAAGGCGGGCTGGCTGGGCGAGAACGAGAACAGCAATGGCCCAGAAGGACGTGACTGCAAGTTCTTTGGTGGGTTGGCTCCACGGATTTCGAAGTAAGGTAAGGTACGGTGCCTTGACTGCGTAGGCGAATGCGTATGTAGCCAGGCACAAAGGATGAAAGGTCGAGGGGACGGACGACGATTGGCGGAAGGCTGGGAATTGACGGCTCGAGGTTGACGAAGACGAGGTCGAGGTCAAAGTCAAAATGCGACAGGGCCGAGGGTGTGATGGAGGTCTGTAGAGTTGTTGACGTTGCTGACAGCGGTGTTGGTGCGTCCAGAAGCAGAAGCAGAAGCAGAAGGCAGATCCATCAGGCCAACTGCGAGTGACATTTAGCCAGGGCCGTCAGGAACCTTGAGCTTCCCTTGACGCTGGCTGGCGTTCCCTGTCGGTCTCGTGCGCTGAGGTGCCTTGTCTTGGTGTCCTGGCCTGCGACCCTACGCAGGGGTACCGCACCTCTTGTGGACGCAGACGCAGTTGGCGGAGACAAAGTTGAGGTGTTGGACGGATACGGACGCCAAAGGGGGTATTCGGCAGGATGCATTCGGGTGCCACGATGTCTGGATCTCTGGGTCTCTCGGCTCTAGGGATGGATGGCCTGTCTTGAGGTTGTTTGCTTGAGGGCGACAGTGGAGGCGGAGGGCTACTGCGTAGTATGGCGATGACGGCAGCTGAAGTGTCACTGGGACTGCGACCATGGATATCCCAGGACTCGAGAGAAGAATGAGTAGAGATGTGGTGTGCGTGCGCGTCGCTTCGGCGTCGGGGTCGGCGGGAAACGGAGACGGTCGGGCCTGGAGTTTGAGGCTTTGTTGGTGTCGAGGACGACGCCGACGACGAAGACGAGGTGAAAGTGACGTGGTGCTGAGATGGAGATGGAAATGGAGATTCAAGGATCCCGGCGGACACGGAAGACACGGCGATAAGCACGATGGAAAAATGCGATAAGGTGAAGCAAAGTCGGCGACGGTGACCTCCATCAAATTCAGAGTTTGGAAAGAGCAATTTTTGCTGGCCGTGGCTGCCGTTGCTCCCGTTTCTACCGTTCCTGCTTTTCTTTCCCTTTCCAACAACATCCATCTATCTGTAGCTTCAACCGGCAGGAGCTACTGCTGCACCTGCAGAGGAAGTTCGCAGGCGGCAGGAAGCAGGAAACAGGCACCTTACATGAGGCAAGTTCGCACTTTCCTGGAGTTGCTGGTTAATTGTACTCTGAAGCTTCGAGGAAGCCACGGCCGGGCGATGTGGAGCAGGCACGGCAGGCACGGCAGGTACCTTTTCCAATTGTTCTTTCCAAAAATGCAATGGTCGGCAACGGAAGTACCCTTTGACTGCGTCCCTCACCAAAAAGGAACTTCATCTGTGCCCCTCCCCCTCCCCCTCTTCAACCCCCTCCATTACCCCGCCCCTCTTTTTACTGCATCATGCGAGGGGTTGGGCGCACTCTGACTGGCGCCTTCCTCTGCCTCTCCACCACTTTAGGTGAGGTACATGCTCCGTGCTAGCGCGGCTATTTTCTTAGGGCCAGGTACTTGCCATGGAACCATGGAACCTGGCAGGAACCGCGGCATCGAGTGGGCCAGCTGTTGGCGTCTGTGAGTCTTTTTGCGTCCATCCCGCGCTGCACTTTAATGGCTTCTCAGGGTTCCATTCTATAAAAAGTCGCTGCCTTGCCCTGGCATTTACCTTAATAGAGAGGGCTGGCTGGGAGAGCCGTACCGCAGTAGGGCCTGTGCGCCGCCGTCAACCCGCCAAGCGAGAAAATCACCCCCGCACCCAGGTGCCAGGCCAGGCCCCCGACCTGGGATCGCTGAGATATCGACCGAAAAGAAATACCCGTACCAAGATGTGCTCTGCCGTGTCCAAGACCTTATTATGCGGCCGGCGCACTATATCAGAAGAGGAAACTATTTCAGTTTGACGAGCCGGAGCAAACATTCGGTTTTAACCCCGAACACGGACCACCCGGAAATGCGGGTCGCCGGACGGGAAGCCGGCGGGAATGGAAGGTGATGGACAGGAGGCATGAGGAAGGCATGAACCATACAGGGAGACGGCATCGGCAGCTCGGTGTCGACTGGAGAATCGTGTGAGATTAACAGCCAGCCGAGTTGAGCTTATTCCGTCTCCTTCCGTCCCTTCCGTTTTGTGTAGAGACAATGTTTGAGTCGCATAACGAATAGCAGCGCGCAGAGGCATCTTAATGAAGTGTTATTCTGGCCCTGACTAAGGTGCAATAGCAATAGCCTTGGGTATATCAGAGGGAGGTGAGTCTCTAGTGCAACAATACGTGCGTCTGATATTGTGTCTATTAGATAAGGCAGGCAGGTAGTCTGATACCAAGTGAGGGACATCTAGACTCCCGAAATGCGGATGACAGAACCAGCTAAATTATGTACCTATTCGTTCCTTCCTCTCGTGCGTCAATAGTTTCTGATATTGTTTGATATTGACAGAAGGAAGGAGCGACTCGGTTTGAGGAAAGGCAGTCGCTGCCCTATGCAAAAGCAAGAGCAAGGGAAACGGAAGGAACACCTGCGACCGCCTCGGTGCCTGGCTCTTGCCCTTCACAGACACCAGATCTCAGGTTCCAAATTCCGGATTTCAGATTCCCTGCCAAAAATGTGGAATGTCATCTGTCTCTTCTCTTCTCCCTCTCGTCTCGTCTCAGATTCTTCACCGTCCACCATCCATCGACAGACACCTCACGCCCGCCCGCCAATTCCCATGCCACCCGACCCGTTAACCACGTTTTCTCCTTGTCTCCTGCCGTCTACATCGGCTTCGACACTACCATCTCTGCATCTCGGAGCCTATCCTCCATTTCACCCGCCCCAGGCTACCTTACCTGCCAATGCGCCACTGGCTTCCTCCATGCCGTCCGTCGCATTCCTCACCTCTTCAACGCCTTCCGACGCTCCCTTCAGACTTCACCTTCAGATAAGGTACTTGGCGTCGAGGTAGTCTGAGTGTCGCCGCACGCCAGACGCACACCAGCACCAGCCAGCCCACACATACATACGTTTAACTCGGCAGACGCTAGAA